GATGGATTGGAGCAGTCAGGAAACATGGAAAGAACTCAGTGAGTCTCATTTCCACCAATGAGTGGCACCAACAGAGTGATGAGAAACAGTGCCCTGAAATAGGGCCACTTCTTTCAGTGTGCCAGTTTCTCACTACCATGAGAATATTCTAATGAATAATTTGAAGATTATTGTAGCGAACAGAGGGATGTGCTGGATCTCTTTGCAAGAATTTGCTGACGTTCTGCAAGGACTGGGATTAGCTAGCAGCACCCCCAACTAGTAATGTCTTTAGCTTTTCATCCATGGTCACATTCTAAGCACTGGTTGAGACTATAGTATAAGGGCTGAGCTATTCTCCCATATATCTTGCTTCTTCAGTGGACCATTTTTACTCCAGAGCTTTTGTGAGGCTAGCAGAGATTTGGTCAGCTGTGTGTGAGGTGTGATCTTAGAGATTTCTTGCCTATCCATGCTTCTGTGTTTGTTGCTCCTTCATAAATAATTGCTCTCTAGTCTACCATTAGCTCTTTAATTCTCTACAGTATTTGTTTCCCAAAAAACTCAGCCTGCAACAATTCTTTGTTTGTTGTCAGACATTTTGAACAAGAATTTCAGTCCCTGGTGCTTAGTTTCAGCTCTAATGTTTGTTTTCTTGTGCTGTTTTCCCATAATGTGTATACAGTGCTGTAGGTTTCCACTCTCATCAAAGCCTTCTACAGCTCCCGCGATGTTTCAGGATTATAGTCTGTTGGTGGAATGATGACAGAGCATATTCTGTAGAGAACTGACTTGACTCTTTCTGATTATCATTGAGTGTAACAGAACTTAACAAAACAACACACTTTTCCCATTTAGTTCTTTTTTGTTTTTATTAGCTATCTAAAATTTATATTGAAACTTGTTACAAATAGAGGCCTACTTTGATTTTTATTCCCTAAAGTCTCTTGCTTCACATTCAGTATCTGGCTGACAAAGGTTGTAAGGTTCCACAGGCAATAGATAATATTAAACTTGTTTGCTTTATTATGGAGGTTACTTTTTTATATATCTTTTTGCAGCACTATTTGTAAAACTAGTTGTGCATTTAAATAGTCATAAATATTTCTTATATATGGGGGATGGATAACAGTGCTCAGGGAATCATATGAGTGATGGTGATCTTATTAGGGTGGACCATCTTAGCCCCTGTACCATTTTTTCAACCCATAAATATTTCTAGTCTTTAAAACAATAAAATACAGGCTATATTTATCTTTAACTCATGTACTACTTTCTTCATTTTTACTTTCAATTTTGGTTGGAGGGATGTTTGGGTCACATCTGACTGTGTTCAGAGCTTACTCTGTGCTCAGGGATTACTTCTGGAATTGCTCAGGGGACCATATATGGTACCAGGTTGTATGAACCTGGATTGAACGTATGGCAAGCATCCTAACCCTTGCACTATCTTTCTCTGGAGTTTTACTCTCTTAAGAAACATTCACCATGCTGATACCCCTAAAATTTTATCTCGTCTTTTTAGCTCTCTCCAAGAGGGCTCGCACATGCATTTCTTCAATCGTTGCCTTTATCATGTGCCACCTAAACCCTGTCCTGCTTACCAGGCCATTTCATTCCTACCATTGCCTCCTCAATGACCTCTCTTGCCTCTCTACTTAGCCAACTAAAATTTACCTCCATTTGAAACCCACGCAGATACTACACACTGCTCTGTGTGAACTCAGTTCCAACTGCCTCTCCAGTCCTGTCTTCTCCCTCCTTGCTTACTTATGACTGAGAAGCTAAACTAACCCTCTTCCTTGCTGTTCTTCCTTTGACTATTAATTTTTTAATGAAAGAGCTATGGTTTACAAAGTTATTAATAATTGAGTTTTAGGCATACAGTAATTCAATACCAATCCATCTACCAGCTTACCTTCCCTCCACAGTTATCTCAGATTTCATTCCTCACCTTGACAGGCACATTACAAATTTCCAGTGGTTGCTGCTTAGATCTCCTGCTTTCAGTTCTGTTGAATCTGTGTTTGGGATGTATGGCTCTGGCCATCACTCCTGTCACTGGGATAACTGAAGCCTTGCTGCAAGTTAACCCATTACTTCTCATTCTTTTCTTCCCCCCTTGATTCATTTTCTTTACATTTTCTTTACTGAATCCTTTATTATGTAAAGTTTTTCACTAAGTAGCATCTCGCGAAAATGATTTGTTGCTGTTGTTGTTGTTTGTGAATGTCACATAGTAGAACATGATATAAGAGACATTTTAGTTGTGGGTTTAAAAGATAACAAACCAACATGGTCTAGGGGAATTATAAAAATGGAAATGGAGGAGAAAATTTACTTTATTTTTAACATGTATATATAGTCATAAAAAATCTTTGATATAGTTTGTGTTTGTCTTGTGGACGTTTGGATATTTAGCTGTACCGTTCCTTTATCCCAATGACATACTGCCTCCTGACCTCTGCCCCATACTGCTTCCTATCTATCTCTTCTTCCCCCTTCAGTTTTTTTCCTTCTTTTTCCTTCTCCTCCTATATATATTCTGGGGCTAAGGGTGATTTAAGCATTGCTTTCTTTTTTCTTTTTCTTTATTTTTTTTAAAAATTAAAGTACCACTATTTGCAAAGTTATTCCTAGTCAAATTTTAGACATACAATATTGCAGCACCAATCCCTCCACCAGTGTCATCTCCCAGTGTTCCCAGGTTCGATCTATATCCTTCACCTCCCATAACTCCCCACCCCCACCCCCGTTCGAGCCCCCCATCTTGACAGGCACCTTTCTAAGTTCAATTGTTAAACTTTGGGTCTTTTGGTTTCAGTTTGTTAACTCTGTGGTTTGAATGTTTGACTATCGTTCCTTAGTATCACCTTTGCACCTGAATCCCCTCACCTGTCCCATGGCTTCTCTTCTGTCTCTTCAGTCCCTCCCCTGCGCTTTCTTCCCTTCTCCTCCCTATACACTAAGGTCAAGGCTGTTCTGAGCATCCTCCACTTCAAAACATTGCATTCCCTCAGGGATTCTATATGTATTTCCTCAGCCAGGTATTTTATATGCCACACATAGGTGATCTCATCCTATGTTTATCCTTCTGGCTTACATGTTACATTGAACATGATGTCTTTCAGTTCCACACATGTTGAAGCAAATTGTATGATTACACCATTTCTTAAAGCTGTGTAGTATTCTATTATGTATATATACCACATCTTAGTGATCCACTCACCTTTTGTTGGACATCTAGGTTGATTCCAAACCTTAGCTATTGTAGTGAGTGCTGCAATGAATAATGGTGTGCATACATTCTTTCGAATGAATGCTTTTCTGTCCTGGGGATAGGTACTGAAAAGTGGAATTACTGGGTCATGTGAGAGTTCCATGCTGTGTTTACTGAGTGCCTTCTATACTGTTTTCCATATAGCATTCCCACCAGCAGTGGTTGAGGGCTCCTTTTTCACTCCTGCCAACATAGATTGTCCAGTATTCTTGATATGTTCCATTCTCCCTGTTGTAAGATGACATCTCATTGTCATCTTCATTTGGATTTTGGGGGATGGTGAGCATTTGTTCATGTACCTCTTGTTCATCCATTGTTCTTACTTAGAGAAGTGTTCGTTTGTTTTATCTCTCCATTTTTTGATGGCACTTTTAGATTGGGCATCCCTCCTTTAAACCATTGCATTCTCAATCAGTCTAACTACATCATGTAAGTGATATCATCCTGTTCTTTTCCTTCTGACTTCATTTTTAATGTGATATCTTCTAATTCTATCCCTTTTGCAGCAAATTGCATAATTTTATCATTCCTTACAGCTGTGTAATATTCCATTGTGTATATATACCACATCTTCATGATCCCGCTCATCTATCATTGGACACTAGATTGAGTTCATATCTCAGTTATCGTACTATAAATAATAGTGTTCATGTGTCCTTTTGAATGAGTGTTTTTCTTTCTTGGGGGTAGATACTCAGAAGGGGATTTGCTGGATCCTAAGGCAGCTCAATACTAAGTACTACATTTTTAATTGCCAAATAATCTTATATATTAAAACTTTATTCTCCCCTCAATCTTTTTTCCTTCCCTTTTGTTAATGATGTTGAAATGACCCAGGGTCACACACTTGGTTGTGTTTATTCACTTGGTTGTAATAATTGAGAATGAGTGGGGAGGGAGGGGAGTCACATACTTGGTTTCGGTACCCTTGTGGTTCAGTTTTAGTGCTTGCTGGGGTTACACACATTTGTTGTGTACTCATGCACACTTGGTTGAATGTATCAGAGATCACCTATTCTTTTACAAGTTGCTGGGGATCACCAATGGCAATGACACACTGGGGTGGCACTCAGCATGTGGGGATGCAGGGGATCAATCTTGGGGCTCATGTCTGCAAGGCACATACTCTGCTGCTTGGTATCATCTTGGGCCCCCATAAATGTGTTTTTTTTTCTTTTTGTCTCACACCCATGATGCTCAGGGGTTACTCCTGGCTCTGCACTTAGGAATTACTCCTGGCGGTGCTCGGGGGACCATATGGGATGGTGGGAATTGACCCAGGTCGGCCGCATGCAAGGCAAACACCCTCCCCACTGTACTTTTGCTCCAGCCACCAATAAATGTGTTTTTATTATATTCTCATTGTGTGGATTCATAACTGTAGTTATTTATTCTTAAGTATTCAGTTCAAGACAATTTTTGCCACTGATTTTATTTCTTATCTGATAGAATTGTTTATAGTCTCATCCTCTTTGTTGAATGCTTTTCTTCCCAACTCTGTTCCTTGTCCATAGACTAATAATGGTGTCATATAAATGGGAAATCATGAAGAAAAAGAAGAAATATGGAGAATCTGGCATTTGAAAAGTTTTTTTTAAATATTTATGCAATGCCTTTGATTTAATTGAGATAAAATTACTATTTTAGTTTTTTTCTTGACATGTATCTATATCAGTTTTTATGTGACTATCATGAAAAAATATGATTTTAATTTGTTCATAATTTTGTGTTTGTCTTTTAGAAAATACTGCAGTTTCTACCTGAGCGAATTTTCTTTAAATGGCATTATCAGAGTATAGGTAAGAATAAATTTAAAAGATTTTAATTAATGTATAGTTTCCAATTGAATTTTGCAGTATTGTTTTATATGATCAATGCAGTTAGAAGTGTTTTAGAAAGGAATTTAATAATACTATGCTAATTAAAACTGCTAACTCCAACATGCACTTGGAAGGCAAATAGACCAGATGTCTCTAGTTCTGAAATATTCCTGAGTGTAGCCGAGTGGCTACAGCAAGCCTCACCTGAGAGCTTATTAGAAAATTGCAGAACATTGAACTCAGCCAGACCTACCCTATCATGCTGTCCTAGACAGTTCCAGTGCACATGAAGCCTGAGAAACACTGTCACTGTGACCCTCTTCCAAACTTGGTTCCTTCTTGTGACTCACCAACCTGCTGGTTGGTCGCTTTCTGCACCCCCACTGCCCACCCCACCACACACCTCATTTATTTAGTTTCATCTGTCGCTCTTAGGATATGCTGGTTACTCAAAGAGGGACCCCAGTTGAAAGACACTGAGCTCGAGTATTTTCTTAATTTTGCATTGTTCATAGAAAAATAGCTTATACTGCAAGTCTCTGTTATTGAAAATTAATCTTATTTAAATGCTTTAGGATGTAACAGCGAGAAAAACTGTCAAAGCAAGTTACTATGGCTACCCTTCCTGTTTAACTTTTGATATCTAACAGAATTTTCTCTTAGCTTAATTAATATTCACAGTACAATTGGAACAATTTGTTTCTGATTGTGAATTATACTTTCTGCTTAATGTATGTGTGGCTTAGTCCTTCTGCCTTAGAAGAGTCTGACTTATCAGAGAATTTTCTTCTTTATCATGTGATTGGGTATGAGTAAAGCATGACCTTAAAAAAGAATATTGACTACTTAATCGTTTATTAATTCAGCTATTTATAGAGGCATTTGTGTGCAGTTTGGGAGAATAATTCACCACCCTTGTATATTATAAGCCGGTTGTCCTAGAGGAGGTTTGACAATATATATATGTACATATATATATATATATATATATAGAGAGAGAGAGAGAGAGAGAGAATAATTGTTGTTGTAAAGTAAATATAATGGTAGCTAAGAAGAAAAGTTTAAATAATTCTATTCAGAGGAATTGAAGACTGCCTGAGAGTTCATTTCAATCTGAGATCTGAAAGATTCAGTGTGGAAATTGTGGAAAGGGCATTCTAGAAGGGAGATCAATACATAAGAGACACTGGAATCTGAAGGGACATAGATGGCCAGTGAATAGTCCAAAATTCAGAATCATGAATCTAATTTAGGATTATTTAAGTGAAAAATATAAGTCTTACGTAAGTTAAATTAAACTTATAAGTTATAAATATTTGGAAGTGTACACAGATAATAAGTGCATTTGTTGACTAAATCATTACTCTCCTGGAGCTCTCTCTACAAGCCCGGGTTCTCTTTAGAACACACCTTATTTGTTTCTGTCTCTTTGCTTGCTGGCTTATCCTTCAAACCAGTGTCTACCCTTGAACACATCTCTCTCTAGGCTTTTTCCACTTTAGAGAAGCCCCTGTTCTTCCTTGATCATGTATTTTTCTCTCTTTCTCTCCACTTATATTTTTCTAACAAAATTAATTTTGTTCAATAAAAACTTATCTTGCTTTACTAAAAGAAAATAATAACAGCACCTGGAAGAATGATCAATCAAGCATCCTTTGATGTTTTTAATTTATCAAAGGTAGAATTTGTTGTTTAGGCAGTTTCATCCCTTTTATAATTGATATTCAGATTAGGTGTGCTAGAATCAGAAATTTCTAGATTTAGAATTTCAGTATGGTGCATTGGTGTACAGTACACATCAGCACAGTGTTAATCTATGTCTATTACACATGGAGGCCTTGGCAGTACTATTTAAGGAGGATTATTACTTCTGTAGCTTAAGATATGAGTATTTGCCCTCAATGGGTTAACTATAAATGGGATATTAAACCCAAAATCTCCTCTGCCAGGTTAGTCAGGTGGTGTTGGTACTACATGAGTTCAGATCAGGTGAGGTTCTGTTCACTAATGAGTTACATAAAAAATGTTTACTTTCCATAAGCTGTTTGGATTTTGAAACTGCCCATAAGGAATTATGGACTTTAAATACTGTACATCATTTTACTTACCTCGCTTGTACCTCTTTCATCTTTCCTAGTTTATTTCTCATTTGTCACTCTGGGTCTTGACAGGTTAAATGAAGAAACTAGCAGTGGCACCTTGACTTCTGCAAAAATTCTGACTGAGTTTGGGATAGAAAGCTTTTCACCAGGCAATGCCTAACCTTCCAGGAATCTGTGAAGGCCTCTTTCGGTCCTTTAAAAAAAGACAGATATTTGTTGTTTAATATAAAGAGCACTGCTTTGTAAACTTTCTGTTGAAATATTATTTTGGCCAATAGGCTTAAAGTACTCTGAGGTACTGTGTTAGAACCTTCAAGTTCTATTTCAACATCTCTAATGCAGAATGATTTTTGTTCTACATTACACAGTATTACCAAGCATCACTTGATCACTTGATCACTTGACATCCCCTTACTCATCCATTTGCTCAAGTGGGCACCAGTAACATCTCCATTCATCCCTGTCATGTGCTAGTGTAGCATTACCAGTAAATATATCTCATTACCACGCATTAAAAACTAAAATAAGAGTAACTTATGAAGTCTCAAAAGAACGCATACTTTCTATTTAAAAATTGCTCTTTAGCTTTGCTTTGGAAGTGTTCAGGGGCTACTCCTGACTCTTTGCTCAGGGATTGCGTCTAGAGGGCCTCTGGGAACCATATGGCACCAATGATGAACCCAGGTCTCTCTCATGCAGAAGATGCACTCAGCACTCTGAGCTGTCGCTCTGGTTCCTAATAACAACATTTTATCTTGAAATGGAGAGAAATAATTGGAAACAATCAGCTGCTACAATGGTTGAGGTCTTTCTTACCATGGCATCATTTTTTGTTTACAGAGATATTCTTTTTTTTCTTTTTGGGTCACACCCAGCGATGCACAGGGGTTACTCCTGGAGCTGCATTCAGAAATTACCCCTAGCAGTGCTCAGGGACCATATGGGATGCTGAAAATCTAACCCGGGTCGGCTGCATGCAGGGCAAATGCCCTACCTGCTATGCTATTGCTCCAGCCCCTACAGAGATATTCTTTTCTCTGAAAATTGTTTTTGGGATTGGGCTTTGGGTGGGTAATAAAAAACCATGCTTCTTATATGTGAACCTATTGGCTCAGTCCTCAGCACTGGAAGAACATAAATTTGAATCTGAATTTATTATGTGAAATGAACCCGGGTCATTCTTGTGAGCACCAAGGAATCCTGCTTTAAGTGATGTTTGCAGAGAAATATGGTTAAGGAGGTAATTGGCCCAACACTCATACTCTCTGTATCAGAGTCTAACCTCTGACTCAAATCTTTCTAAATTTCCACTACTGATTACAGATGGAAAGATTTGTTCAGTGAAATTTTCCTGTGAAGTTATTTTTAGGCCAATGAAGTAAACTGGTCTTATTTCTGGATAAAAATGAGAACTGACAGAAAATTAGGTTACATCATCACACCAGGGATTTGCTACAAGGGCAAACTCTTGCGCCCCTCACTGTGTCAAGGAATAACTGGACCGATGGCCCTCCCTCCTAGTATCTCCCCAGATTCCTCTCTGGAACTCTTACTTAATTCCTCTGCACTTCTTCCTCTCTTCCCCACTTCTTTGTGCTCTGCTCTCTGGAAGTTCTCTCTGAGTTGAGCAATAGTCATGTTGTTCTCACCTCTCTGGCTTCATGAAACCTAGCTTTTTGCGAGACTCTCTAGTTCCCTCTGTGGTTCAGGGATGAATTGATGATTTTTCTTTTTTAATCCAAGGCGAATTCTAGACATTATCTCTCACCTTCTCTGTAGAAACTTCTTTCTCTTGACTCTGCTACCTTTCTCTCTTTTTAGTGCTAATATCCTAGTCCCCAGTACTTTTCCTCTGTGCTAAGTACCTATTAGACCCTTTGCTTGTCTACCATGTGTGGCTTCCCGACTTCATCTTTAAACCTTTGTCATCATGTTCACTTCTGTTGGATCATAATTTCCACTGACCTGATTTTTCACTTACTTGGAGGACAAATGCTCTGTTGCTGTTTTTTAAAAACTCAGGTGTTTTCTTTTTGGATTAATATACTGCACACATTTAAAATGTACCTTTTGTTAAGTTTCATCTATAAAGATACCCATAAAGCAAGTGTCTATCAAAATGATTATCATAGCATCAGTTCGAAAAGTTTTCGTGTGCCTTTTTTTCAGGTTTCATCATCCGACACTCCAGTTGCCAGATATCCAGATTGTGTCCTATTGTCACTATAACAGTAGTTCATTTTCTAAAGTTTTAATAGAAATAGATTTTTTAAAATTTATTTATTTATTTAGCACAGCGGGTAGGGCGTTCGCCTTACAAGCGGCCAACATGGCCGACCCGAGTTCGATTCCTCCGCCCCTCTTGGAGAGCCCGGCAAGCTACCGAGAGTATTGGATATGCCAGACACAGTAACAACAAAGTCTCCAATGGAGACGTTACTGGGCCCGCTCGAGCAAATCGACGATCAACGGGAGGGCCTTTACCTTACCTTTTATTTATTTATTTATTTATTTATATTTTTTTATTATTGAAACACCATGAGGTACAGTTATAGACTTATAAATTTTTGTGCTTGGGTTTCAGTTATACAATGATCAAGTACCCGTCCCTCCACCAGTGCCCATCCTCCACCACCACGAGTCCCAGCATCTCCCCCACCCCCCAACCCCCCTGTCCCACCCTGCCTCTGTGGCAGGGCATTCTCCCTTGTAATAGAAATAGATTTATGCAGAGCTTACTCTATTATTTAACTTCTTTCACACAACATAATTATTTTTAGATTCAGATGCCAGGGCTGGAAACTGGGTCAGCTGTGTGCAAGACAAGTGATTATCTACTGTAGTATTTCTCTGGCCCCTGTTGTCAGTTTTTTAAGTTGACTTGTCTGTTTTCTTTAATTGAATTTAGAGAATACTCTGATTCTGGATTTAAATGTTTTATCAGACATTCAACTTGAAAATATTTTTATCCCATCTCTGATATGTCTTCTCATTCCTAGTTCTTTCAAAATATAAATCTTTGAATTTTTAGAAAGTCCAGTTTGACAACTTTTATTTGATGGATTGTGCTTTTGTTATTATGACTAAGGAATGGCCTAACCTATGATCACAAGGAACATCTCCTATATTTTCTCTTAGCGGTACTATATGTTCTATACTTAGATTTTTGATAAAAATTTTTGTTAATTTTCAATTCCTCCAGTAGATTGCCTTTCCGTTATCCTCAGTGTATTTGTTGTTGTACTAGAACATTTTGTGTTCCTGCTCCACTAGTACTTTTTAATCAAATTTGAATACTCAGAAGGTATTTTTTTTTTCTGTGTTCTTGCCCCTTACTTAGATCTCTGTGGTGGTTAATTGTTGTTTGGTTTAAGCCATATACAGTGGAAAAAAATTTTTCAATGTAAATTAAATAAGAAAGAACTTAGTAATACTAAATTTATAAATGTGTAGTCTTAAAAATACCTTTACAAGGTCTCTGAAAGTTGTCACTTCATCAGAAGAAATTGCCAAATGTGGCAGATCTCACAGTTAAAATGAGATAAAATAGATTCTAAAATACTGATTAATTTGCTTCCATTAAAAAAAACAAAATTACCATGCATTCTTTTAAAAGTTAAGATATATAAATTAACTAAGAAGCTAATATGAGTTTAATATACATGCTTTTTGATTTATGAGTATGTGTGTATATATGTGTTTGTGTGTTTCATTTTGGACCATACCCATTGGTGCTCCTGGCTCTGTGCTCAGGCACTTGCAAGACAAGTGCCCTGCCTACGCCCTACCTCTCTGCCTGAAGAACCTGAACTCTTTTTGTCGTTTGCCCAACCTTGCCTCCTCGAAACTAATGACTTACAGTTTTAGGATATTTATTGTTAAAATACAAGCAAATTTGATTAATGGAAGTATTGTGACTATTAATTGACTATTTATGCATTTATTCACTCCTTTTTTCACATGTGTCAATATAGTGGCTACCAGTAGGGTTGATGAGACACATAAAAAAGAATTTTTATGTGTGCAAAATGTGGTAGGATCATATTTTGATGAAGACTTTCAAACGTTAAACAAATATAGATGTATAGAACACATTAAAATTAATATAAAAGAATTTAATTATGACAAAATCAGAGTAGAATTATCTTTGTGATCTTAGGGTTTTAGGAAACACTTAAATGTACAGGCCAGGCTTTCACATCCTTTTGGGTCTCATGTGGAAACTCTCTGGTATATGCCCCACTGCATAATTTTTTTTCCCTAATGTTGTTCTTATTTTAAAAAACAGTCCCTTAGAGAATAGCTAATGCTATTTTATAGGGGGAAATGTGTTTTCCATATACCAGAAACAGTGTTAAGCATATATGTATGCTTGAATTTCATTAGTAACACATGTAAATTTCATTAGCAATTTAAACTTTGTTAACTGTTCTCTCTGGTGAGCACTGGTACCCTTTTACAGATAAGAAAACTATGCCCTGGTGATATTAAGTAATAGGACTTAGATTAGTAAGCCCAGAGCATAGATGAGAATCCTAGCAATCTAAATTCTGAATATGATTAGTAATTGCTTTAACTGTACTTGTACAAGAGTTTCTGAAAACAGCATGATGGAAAAGATAAACATTCATGTGTAGTTTTAATAACCATTGTTACAAATTACTGTTTACTTTAAAAGTTGGGGACTTTGGACAAATTTCTACATGTCTTTGGTAAAGTTGGTCCTTTTAATAAACATTTTCCTCACCTCTGTGTTGAAAAGAATGAATTCAGGCAACTATGGTTAGGTTAAAAGCAAGAAAAATAAGTGTTGGATCTGTTCCTCGAAGGGAAGTACTGCAAAGACCCAGCAGTCACACAAGATGACCAGGAGACAGTGCTTCCTAGAACAGGCTGCAAGATGATGGATTTGCCAGATGGCTGAGGAAAGAACTGTCTGTACATTCTTTATTCCATGTCTCTGAAAGCCGAAGCGTCTATTTACTCCACCAATCATTCTAAGGTCCTCAGAGCTGTAATGAAGCGACTTTTGAACTGGAACACAATAGACTTTGCCCACGACAGGAAACAAGATGCCAGATTGAGGAAAGGTGTAGGATAAAGTAGACTTATGAACGCTGGCACTTAGCTGAGAGAGGGACCAGCACCATAAAAGCTGACTCTTGACTAACAATTATATGTATGACTTGAAAATTTGAGGATGGAGAGTACTTTAATTTCCTTTACTAAATCTTAAACCGTTAGTGATTTTGTGCTATAACCAAGTCATGACATAGCTATACATTTCCACTGAGCCCCACTATTGGCTGTAAAAGGATATATCATATAGCCAGTGGTTTTATTTTAGTTAATGCATTTCCATACTATATATATATTTAACTGGCATACATTTATCTATCCACGTAGATTTTACTTCCCTCACCTCTTCTCCTGTCTCCTTTTATTTGTTGTTTTATGATGATTATATCTAGAGGTTCAGCATACAAGACATGGACACTATCGCTAAGTCACATTCCTGGCTCTATTTATTGGCAGAACATCTCTTTGAAATACTTTTGTGCAGTGGAGAGATAACAGCTAGAGCACATGCTTTGCATGCAGGAGGTGGGAGTCAATCCTGGTACTACACAGTCCCCAAACACTGCTGTGCTTTGAGACACCCGCCTTGCACTGAATCAGGAGTAGCTTCTGATTAGCACTACTGGTGGAGCCCCCCAAATGTGTGTGTGTATATATATTATATACGTTACTGGTGCCTGCTTGAGGAAATCGATGTTCAACAGGATGACAGTGATACTGTGATACAGTATATATGTACACATATATGTATATATGTGTATATATATTATGAATGTGATTGATATCCAATCTTAACCATAACATTTAGGAGATTTTTGTAATTGCATAATTTTTTTCCTAAAAATATGTAAATGCGAGAAAGGTTCTCTTATCTAACACTTAAAAATATTTTTATATTTGAGGATGAGATACTCTTTAGAGGATGTGTATAGGATAATTATTTGGGGTCAAGACATTGTCTGGATGAAAAGCATGAACATACACTTATAGAATAATAGGTAATATGTTTTCATCCTCATGACAGAGACATCTCTAATTTGGGGCTGCAACACCACAGATTTTGCAGTTGAATGTATAATTCTGAATAAACCTTGGCTTATTCTCATTTACTGTTACTAAAAAGTTCTGCTAGAGGATTTATTAATTAATTGAACCCATAAATTTATTTGTCATTGCAAGAAAGAAACATGCTGTCTTGAATACTTGTAAAACATTTTTGCAGAAATGTTTGTGAATAGCAAATTAAACTTATTAAATTTTAGGTTTAATGAATTTAAAATCATCACCTTTTGCACAATAAGAGATATTTGCTCATAATCCACTGTAGGCATTTGGTTTATTGTATTCAATCATTTATATTCTTTTAAAAGAATTTGGAAGAGTTTCATAGTTAAATACCTTTGTCTTAAAAGCATCTCTTCTCCTATATTTCTTTCCTTCTCAAAGTCAACTTTCTTTCCTTTATTTAAAAAAATTACATTATTTGTCATAAATACATTTTTTTCTCTCAAACTGATCTTTTCAAAATAGATATGCATCTACATATTTCATTTGTTAATTCATTGTTTTAAATTTTAGGTTCAACTTTAAAGAAGCTTTTACATACTGGAAATTCTATTAAGGTACTTGCTTTAGATGAAAATGTAATTTTATTTTTTTATTCCAAATTTCTTAATGTGAAATTGGTCCATTTTGAAAAAAAAATCTTGACTTTGTTTAATGGACAAATTAAACCCAAATATTGTTAGGGTTTTTGTTCTTACAGATTAATCTCTTCTGATCATCGTTTTAAATATTGGGAGAGAGCGGCTTGGGCTTGGTATTGGGACCCTGAGCTCTGATTTTGGTTTTGCTGTGAATGGATAGGGAATCAGAGCCGGTTGCTGGCAGCGCCCTTTGATTGTTGGAAAGGGGACACGGTGAGCCAGTTCCTCTACGGCTGCAGCACGTATGTGCTGACTCTTCGCCGGGATAATCTTGTTACAATTACAGATGTGGGGGCTGGAGCGGATTGGGCGTTTGCCTTGCAGGTGGCTGACCTGGGTTTGATCCCTGGCATCCCATATGGTCCTCTGAACACCTCCAGGAGTAATACCTGAGTGCAGAGCCAGGAGTAACCTCAGAGCATCACCGGGTGTGACCCAAAAAGAAAAAAAAATTACAGTCGTCTCTGAGGATTTTTGTTTTGTTTTGATTTTGCTATCTTTGAGAATTGTTGTAGTTAAAATGAGCAGCAAAATCCTACTTTTGAATATGTGTATATTTATAGCAGTTTGACCTGGAAATTTAGATTGAATTTGTCTTATTTCAAAATAATAAATAATAATATCTTTTATGTGACATTAAACTCCGTTTAATCATTGAATAAGAAGACTCTAAATACCAGAAGAAGCTAACCTGGGATAAATATTTTATAGATGATAACTTACTTGTAGCTAAATACATTGTGTATATACTTTTAATAAGTTAGTGCTATTTTCTTGTTTTGTTTTATGCCAGTTTAAATAATCATAGCCACTTACAGATTGATTTGGGAAAAATAGAGGTCAAGTATTCCTAGCTTCATGATAGAAAATATACTTTGTTCCTCCTATTTTTAATGGAATAGATATATAAAATTAAAATTGAGTTATCACATGTATGTAGTCTTAAATATAGTTTACTAAAATATTGGAGACTTCTAATAGAATTTTGTAGAAACTTTCCAGTAAGTTTGATTAGATGTACAAGCTGCAGTATTTTCTTCCTTTGCTGCGTAATGCTGTATATTCATCAGTGCTACTATATTATCTGCTCAGAAAGGGAAGGACAGTTGTCAGTGAACTCAAAGGTGTATGCTAGGTCTGGTGGAATTGGTGGGCTTGTCTGGATGTACAACATGGGATCTGCTCCATTAGTGTGGCATTCATGTCACCAGGCAGGGTGTCTGTCTTGATGTATTTAAATTTTCTGGGAAATCATCCCAAACAGCTTTTTCTCTGTTTCTTCCAGTCACCTCACCTTCCCTCCCCACATCTCTCCTTCAGTTTCCTATATTTATAGCAGTGTTTTGAGGTCAGTTCTGTTATTTTCTCTGTTTTTGCATATGAGGAGACTGAGAGATAAAGATGTAAAATGAAAAAGTGAAATTGTTCTCCAGGGGTCACAGCTGAGCAGAGTCAGCGTTTGAAGCCAGGCATTGTGTCTTCCGTGCCCATGCTCTGGAGCCCTGGTGCCATACTGTTGCAGATGGGCTTCCTTGTCACCAAGAGCTTAATGTAATACCTTAATGATGTTTTTGCTTGTTTATTTTGTTTTGTTTTGAGGCCATACCCAGCAGTGCTCAGGTTACTCCAGATTACTCCTGACTCTGTGCTCAGTGATTACAAGCTGCAATATTTTTTCCTTTGCTGCATAATGCTATTTATATTCAGTAGTACTACTGTTTTACCTGCTCAGAAAGGGAAGGACAGTTGTAAGTGAACTGAAAGGTGTGTGCTGAGGTCTGGTGGAGTGGGTGGACTTGTCTGGTTTTACAACATGGGATCTGCTCCATTAGATTACTCCTGACTGTGCGTTCAGTGATTACTCTTGGCAGGGCTCAAGGGTCTGTATGTGGTGCCCAAGATCAAACTCAGTTTGGCCACAGGCAAAGCACAGGCTCTACTCATGCAACTATCTCTCTGCCCCCTTAACAATACTGTATTGCTAGTTTTCCTTTCTCAATATTCTGAGATACTGCTTTGCACTGCACACTTCTGTGTTTAATTTCATCATATTCCTTTTGTTCTTAGATAAGATGTGAAGGAATCAGACTGTTTCTGCTGTGGCTTCAAGCACTTCAGACAAACTGTGCAGAAGAGCAGGTGCTGATTTTTGCTTGTCTTGTGCCTGGTTTCCCAGCACTCATGTCATCTAGAGGCCCCTGTACCCTAGAGACACTCATCAACCCTAGCCCGAGTGTAGCTGATGGTGAGTAACACTTGGATTTATTTCTGGTTAATATCATCCTTGAAGTTATATATATTTTTGTGTATTTGTTTTTTGGGGGCCCACATCTGGCAGTACTCAAGGGCTGACTTCTGGGCCCTGTGCTCGGGGTCACTCCTGGCGGGCTCAGGGGGCTATGGGATTCCGCAGATCCAACTTGGCTCAGCTGTTGAGGGCATGATCCCTGTCTGCTGTACTATCATTCTGGCCCTTCTTGTAGTTTTTTTTTTTAATATTTACCTATTCATTTTCCCAGTATGCATTCTTACAAACATTAAAAATTTTTAAAATATGGTGTTTTTTGCCTGTTTTTTTTGGTGGGGCATACCTGAAAGTGTTCAAGGGTCACTCCTGGGATGCTCAGGGTGGTGCAGAGATCAAACCCACGTTAGATATGTGTAAGGGAAGTGTCTTGCCTTCTCTACTATCTCTCCAGCCCTCCTCGGGCATATTTATATAACAGTTACAGGAAACATTTACTGAAGTGGTGGGAAAAAAAGAAATAGAAGGGAAGAGGCAGATGTAAGCAATAGAAACATGGGTATATCTGTAATATTTTTGTGGATATTAATGAAATTGTGCTCTGTTGGAGTTGAGTAATAGTTTAATGGGTAAGGTGCTTGTCTTGCCTGTCGCCCACCTAAGTTCAACCTCAGGTCCCCCGAGCCCACTAGGAGTGATGACTTAGTGCAAGTCAGAAGTAAGCCCCGAGCACACCCAGATATGGCCCATGAATCAAAAAACAAAACAGAAAATCAAAGCAAAGCTGTATTTTGTTGTTCCCATTGCAATTAATTTATAACCGTTGTTTGCTCACTCAGATTTTTCTGGCTCTGTATTTTAATATAGCATTTATGGAAGGAGAATAGTGGTTATGAGCAGTAGCTTTTTTTGTTCTGTGAGTTTTTAGGAAACTTATCTGTTAGTGTCATTGAACTGACTGCTGCATATATTTTTATTATCCAATGACAATTATTTGATCTTGGACTGGTCAAAGTAGAATTTGGAAAGGAAACTAATGGTCCAGCTGGATGTACTTCAGGTATCTTTTCTGCATCCCTGCACACTAACAGGGAGGTTTTTGCAAGCAACTCTAGTCGGTGGAGAGAAATATGTGACCCATGTTTAAATGACTGGGTAAATAAACTTTTATTATTGTTCACTCTACAGCAAAGATATATCCAGAAGAAATTACTCCACTCCTTCCAGCCATATCTGGGGAAAAGATCACTGAGGACCAAACATGCTTTTTTCTTCAAATACTGCTGAAATACATGGTTATTCAGGTAAAATTCGTAGATAATTCATTCATTGATAGATTTATTCTCAGTAGCAGAGATAAATCATTGCCTCTTTTCTCCTTGTGTATCCATGTTTATGGGTTTTTTGTTGTTGTGATGGTGATTTTTTGTGATATTTCACTAAATACAGACCACATGCAGTTAGTAACTTCAGCAAAGATGAGGCATGTACTATTTTGAGTAAATGTGTGCTAAACTATTCCTGCCTGTTTAGTCCCTCTTTGCCCATGGTCTAAGCTAGCTAGATAGGATAAAGGAGTAATAAACCCAGAGGCTAAGGGTAAAGCCACCAGAGATTTGAATGAAAGCTTCTGTAATTACCTCAGCATGTCATCGGTAAGTATGCTTAGAGTATATGTTCCTTTTTCTTAAGTTTACCAACCGAACAAAAAACTAAAATCATATCTTAAAATTATAATAGATGGTTTATGATTCTTGCTCTCTGTATAAAATTTTTTATTGTCACTGTCACTGTTACTGTCCTCCCATTGTTCATCAATTTGCTTGAGCAGGCACCAGTAACATCTCACAACAAATTGTGAGACTTGTTGTTACTGTTTTTGGCATATTGAATACGTCACAGATAGCTTGCCAGGCTTTGCTGTGCGGGCGAGATATTCTCGGTAGCTTGCCAGGCTCTCCCAGAGGGGCGAAGGAATTGAACCTGGGTCAGGCGCATGCAAGGCAGATCCCCTACCTGCTGTGCTACTGCTCCAGTGATAAAATAAAATAAAATAATTTTTTATTAAAAACTATAACTTACAAAGTTGTTCATAGTAGTCGTTTCAACCACTCAGCGTTCCAACACCAGTCTCCCACAGAGTGACCTTCCCCATGTCCCCCGTTTCCACCTCCCTGCAAACCTGTCCCCTCAGCGAGCACACCTTTGCTTCATATTGCTTGCTACACAAAGTGGCAAATAGAATTATCAAAAAATAGATCAATAAAAGTCAACTTGTGATAATTGATGTATCTCACCATGGTGTCACGAAAGTAACTGAGGGTTTAATGAGCTGACTGGTGCTAGCTGAGCCTTCTGTGTTACTGTTTTTACTCATTAGGCTTTATGGACTTCCCTATAACTTTCCCATTAAATTTGCTCTCACTGTCAGTACTGTGAAACTTGGAGGTATTGTGCAACCCCATGCCCCAGAAACTGCAGAGCTGGGACAGTTTGGTGGTTTGGCAGATTGATAAAGTTCTGTTTTGAATCTTGGTCACCATATGTCAGATGTTGGGTGTTGGACAAGTTGCCATGCCTTTCACAGGGAGGATAATCTGCCCACCTCCATTCTGAGAAGACCACGGAGTTCTCAGCCTGGAAATGGATCTACCTGGGATGATTGGATGATTTGGCAGCTTGGCAACTTGATATCTCTCTCTCTCTCTCTCTCTCTCTCTCTCTCTCTCTATATATATATATATATATATATATATATATATATATATTTAAGTATAGGAGTACTGCCACTGATTATTGCTCTATATTTTTGAATATCAGTATAATTAAGGGAAAAGTTACTGATTCTTTTATTGTACTGAACACTTTTCTCATCCCTGATATTTTCCTGGGCATGGTCCTAATCTCTCTTTTTCCTTTCACCACGGAGTTTGTTGATGCAATAATCTCTGCCATGTCTCCTTTCTTTCCTAGCATTCCACTGACACTTGCCTTAGCCTGCCACTTTTCAGTCACTACTGTAACAAATTTTAGGTGGCATTTTAAAATTTTCAGTAAAATGACTTTTTTTTGCCATAGTTATATTCTATTTTGAAGTACTTATATTTGTCATCTTTTGACTTTCATTTGATTTCAGTTTTTTGTCAGTATTGTTAACTTTTATTACAATACAATTTTAGCATAATGGCATTGCAGTTCAGTGTACATAAACTTGAAATGTAAATGTACATGTGTTCTTTTTCACATATTCAAAGGCTGCAAGCTTGGAATGGAAGAATAAGGAGAACCAAGATACTGGATTTAAATTTCTTTTTACCTTGTTTCGAAAGTATTATCTTCCTCATTTATTTCCATCTTTTACTAAATTAACAAACATCTACAAACCTGTACTTGGTAAGTACTCATTAAGATGTGGGTAGATATATTCATTGGGAACTGTATAGTCTTTCAATGTTAACTTTGCTTATTTAATGGTAACTTTATTGTAAGTTTAAATTTTCCTAATAAATGAAATAAACTATTCGTACAAACTAGAATTTCACATCAGTATAGGGACCCATGACCTATAAATGCAGAAAGAACTTAGAGTATTTAAAATACATGCAACTCCATCCTCTCCCCCAAACCTTCAAAATCCCAGACACACAGATGCAGACAAGTATTTAGCAGAGGTCAGGGTTAGAGTATATGGGTTGTGAAGGAGGTGTGGGAATATGTGAAGGTGCTCAAAATATACAACCCTTACAGTTACAAAATAAGGTGGGCTGGAGCGATAGCACAGCGGGTAGGGCGTTCGCCTTACAAGCGGCCAATATGGCCGACCCGAGTTCGATTCCTCCGCCCCTCTCGGAGAGCCCGGCAAGCTACCGAGAGTATTGGATATGCCAGACACAGTAACAACAAAGTCTCCAATGGAGACGTTACTGGGCCCGCTTGAGCAAATCGAAGATCAACGGGAAGGCCTTTACCTTACCTTACCTTACAGTTACAAAATAAACATCCTGGGCATATAATGTACAACATACTGTACCTACTTAATGATACTGCACGTGTATTTAAAATCTGTGACAAGAAAGAAAATGTAATTGTGTTATGGGAATGGATATTGACTGTGCAGTGATCACTTTGCAATAAGTACAATGAAATTAACTATAAAAACAAATATAATATCAAGTATACATCTGTTTAAAATTTATTGAAGAAGCATAATTTCAAATGTATCACTTTTTGATGTAATTGTATTTAAATTTTTAGTAGACAAAGAATTCCCTAAGTTCTTTTCTTAATTATAGTGGGGCCTGACTTGCTCACTGATGAGATGGCCCTGCCCAGACTATGCAACTGCCCAAAATATAGCCTTTATTTTCTCCTGGATAGTTCATCAATCAGATACCACTGATATCTGCTTGCTCAGGAGCATATGTTTAGATAATGGAAAAATCTAAAGCAGTAAAACCCAGAGGGCTAGGGAGCATAAGAGAATTCATACATTAGCTTCTAAAAATTTTCTTCTGTAAGAATAAAGAACTTCGGGCTGGAGTGATAGCATAGTGGGTAGGGCATTTGCCTTACACGTGGCTGACTTGCGTTCAATTTTCAGCATCCTGTTTGGTCCCCTGAGCACTGCCAAGGAGTAATTCCTGAGTGCATGATCCAGGAGTAACCCCTGTGCATTGCCAAGTGTGACGCAAAATAAAAGAATAGACAACTCATAGAACAGAAGCATCCATTGGAGTGGTGATGGAAATCTTCCTCTCACTTTATTTTAAAGCAGACAAAATTAAGTCGGATGGGTAATAAAGAAAAGGTTTGCTTCTTTGCAAGAGATTGGGGAGACAATTTATCTGCACAATATGTGCATAATAACTAATTTAATTGTGAGTGTATATGTGTATATAGACACACTTTGACAAAGGTAAAACAATTGAAGCATAATGTGTTTTGAATAAAAATTTTATAACGATATAGATATAGAAATATATTTTTGGCTGCTGTATATGTATGTGGGTGTTTTTTAAAATTCAATTCATTTTATGAGTAGTCAGAAATCATTATAGAAAACATGTTGCTTTAATATACTTAACTAAGTTATTTGTTGAGAGTTTTTCTGCCTTAAATCCTTCCAAATGAATGTTAGGATGTTGGAAAAGTTAGAATGTTGGAGTGATAGCAAATAGTAACTTAAATAGCATAAAAATTTTTATATTGAACATGGAACTTAAAGAATGGAAATTGACCTCTAATTATTTAAAAATGATGGTACCCAATATCTCAAAGATGAACTATGTGTCTGAGTTATGTTAGACACAAGGAGAATATACTGATTTCTTTGGATTCCTCTAAAGAGAAAATATGTGAAGCTACAGTTCAGTGGATGTGGTCATTGTAGGTTTAGATATTCATATACACAAAATGATACATGCTCTCACCTTTTCTTCTATCTCCTACTGAGAATAAGTCAATCATTGAATGAATTATCTACTGATTTGTCCTTACCTAAAAAAATGCCCTTTTCTGTCCTAATGTTTTGGAGGGAAAAGTAAATAGTTTTACTTAGAGAAATATGAGGGTAGAGAGAAAGGGAGAGGGTGAGATATACATGTTCAAGAGAGAAAAAGGCTTACACACCTCAGAATGACATGTGACAAAGCCTCAAGATAAAGAATACATGTGTTTCTGGCTCTAATCTTAGTGAATATTGAAACAACAAATATTGTCTAACTGGAAATGGAAACACTTGTAGGGGTTGCATAATGTCAAGTTTTCCTAATGTAGTCATGTGTTTGTTTTCCCTACCAGACATCCCCCATTTGAGACCAAAGCCAGTGTACATTACTACAACTAGAGACAATGAAAATATTTACAGTACAAAAATCCCATACATGGCAGCTCGTGTTGTTTTTATTAAGTGGATTGTAACTTTCTTTTTGGATAAAAAGTATCTGACTGCAACACAAAGCACTAAAAATGGAGTTGATGTATTGCCTAAAATCATACAGGTATGTCACTCATTAAAAAAATTTTCTTAATACCTAATAATGTCAACACATACCAAAGTGATTGATTATTAGCAGTACTACTTCTCACAGGTTGTTGTTTATAGGGGCTTGAATACTTTTCATGCTCTGTCTATAATGTTGAGTTAGAAGTGCTTGCTTTGGGCATTGCTGACAGTAATCTTGTAGATGCCGGAAACTTTCTGAGAAGAGGGGTGGTATGTGGAAATTCTTGGCTTCCTCTCATTTTCTCTTCTTTACTCAAGTACCAGTGACCTCTGAGCATAAGAAGAACCTATCTTATTTTTCTGTTTAGTTTTTGGGCTCTACTTGGTAGTTTGTGTTAAGTCTTACTCCTGTCTCTATGTTCAGAGATCACTCCTGCCCGGCTCCGGGACCATATGTGGTGCTGGGGATCTAGCCCGGCAGGGCTGTGTGAAGATAAGTCCCTTAGACCTGTGCTAACTCTCCAGCCCCAAGAGAATCTGTTTGCCTTCACCAACACCCAGTGCATGAAAGTCCTTCTGGAATAAAGCAGGTGATTCATGAAGAGGACCAGTGAGACTATACAGTTCCCTCTGTGATCTCAGTGGGTAAAAGGAGCAGAGCAGCTCCTCATGAGTGAACACAGCGTTCTTACAGGGAAGACTTTCTCTCCAAGGCCTTGGTACGCTTCTTGTACAGAGCCTATAGTGCTTTACTATTCGCCTATGTCAGACTCAGGGATTGTTCTTCATTGAACTGCTTAAGGACTTTGTGCCAGATAAATCAGGTGAAAGCATCTTAGATTAAAGAGAATTTATGGTTCAGTGGGCTGGAGGGATAGCACAGCGGTAGGGCATTTGCCTTGTGCGCAGCCGGCCAGGCTGAGCCAGGTTCGATTCCTCCGCCTTTCTTGGAGAGCCCGGCAAGCTACTGAGTGTATCTTGCCTGCTTGGCAAAGCCTGGCAAGCTACCCGTTACGTAGTCAATATGCCAAACACAGTAACAACAAGTCTCACCATGGAGACATTACTGGGCCCACTCGAGCAAATTGATGAACAACGGGAGGACAGTGCTACAGTGCTACATGGTTCAGTGCTTTTTTGGGAGGGGGTCCTAAGAACGAAAATAAGAAACTTGGTCCAATTACTACAGATTTGCTCAGATGCCCCAGAGTTTTCAAATGGGTAAAACAGGTCTGAAAATATCAAAGCTATATCTCTAAGGGGTATTTGGGACCTGGAAGAGCACCAAACTGAGGTTCAGAGGGTTTAGAGCATGCTGTTCTTTTGTAATAACTAACTGGAGCTAGAGGAAAAGCTTGGTTTTAAGGATACCCGAGTTTATAATAAGAACCACAAAAAATTTTGAAAAAGCCTTGTAAAATACTTTTAATTTCTTCATTTAAAATTTTGTTAGAAAACCAGTAATGGCCATAGTCACTGCCATTATTGTCACCAGAGAACAAAACTGTTTTCTGAAGAAATAAACTAAAACACTGAAAAGAAAAGAATGGAAATTAAGAATTGGTTGATAAAACTTGAGTACAATACCTTCCTTGCATATATATGCACAGATAAACATATATACTGAAAACAGAAGGAGAAATCAATTAAAATTAATAATTATACTAATAAAAATTAAAATTTACTTGAACTGAAATAAAAGTTATTTGGGGACTAGGGATGTGACTGAAGGGGAACAACATGTGCCGCCTAGTAGGAGACCTTGGCCAGCCCATGGCTTTTGAACTGAGCCCTCGTCGACCACTTCATGAAAAGGCATGTTATTCCCAGAAGAATTAATGAAAGAGGCACTAGCCAAAAAGCAACTTTGATTTTTAGGAATTAAAGAAAAGTACATAGGTTTTTAGGGAGAAACCATAGATTACTTCAAAGCAGTGAATCTGAGGTTAGCATTAAATAGCAATCTAATCTTTAAGCCTGGACTACCAAAAGAATCTTTTTCCTGTCTTTTTCACAACTTCACTTTGATCAATTCTTAATGTCTAATATGACTTAAGGTCAAAAATATAAAAAAGGGAATGATAACAGGAAAAAATTGAGGGAATGTTTAAGTTTGAGAAGTGATGAACTGTCTTAGGTAAATAAAAGGTCCACAGAGGTGTTATTTAATGTTGCTTAAAATTGTTAAAGATTTATATGTCAAAGAGAACATAAATTCATACAATGTATGTGTAAAGCACTAGGAACATCATGATTATTAAGAGTTCATGTCTCTAGTAATCAAAGAATGCCTAGAAATTGATAAAACGGCCTTATTGAAAATGGAGAAAGATATACCATTCTCAGAAGAGGAAGTAAAAATGACCCTGATTTCACTAACTGTTAGGAAAACAGAAACCAGAAACTTGATAAGATAGCTATCTACGCTTCTGTAAGGTAGACAGAAAACTTTTATTTGTAAGAAACTCAGTCCCATTGTGATGAATTTTATTTTTTCTAATTGTTTCACAATTGAAGTTTTATTAACCATCAGGTGTTTCTACATGCTGATCACAGAGATAAAATTTACAATAGACTATCACATCTCTTTCCTTGAACATAACTTAGAAAATAAAATAAAGCCTTATGTTGTTAAGACATAACTTACCCAAAAGTAGTAAAAAACGTTTTAAAAAATCTAAAGAAAATGCATAACAAAAAACCCCTAAAAATGCATAACTTAATAATAGAAGGATAATTCCTATTGTGATATAACTGTGCAGTTTAGCCTCTTCAACTAAATTTAAATGGGCATTGACAATAAATTAACTAGGTGTTTTCAAAACATTTCAACTAAATTATTATTTTCAATTAGAGTTAGAGTGGTTCTTATTTTTGTAATAACATTAAAAGATTTTCTCAAAGTTTCAAGATAAGACTTAAGTGAGAATTCCTATGAGGAATTTCATTTTAGTTTGTTGGGTTAAAGGTAAAAGAATCTGATGTGGTAGTTCAGTTTAAAACCCTTTTATTTAAATAATGTAACTTTGTCCTACTAGTTTCAAAATTTTAGAAAGCTCTCACTTATATCTTTAAAAATAAGTTGCTCATTTTGAAGTGTACATTTGGATGTAAAGAAGTAGCATGGCTAGGAAATTAATCCCTACCTCAAGGATCTCAGTGTTTTCCCTTAATCCAACTTTTTAAATGTCATAAAAAAAATCTGATTTCCTCAATCAATATGGTTTGATGGTAAAGGTCATATGCATACCTATGTTTATCACAGTTAAACATTCAATTTACAGTAACCAAGATGTAGAAACAACCCAAGTGACCAACAAGAAACAAATGAACACTTGTATTTATTTTTTGAGGAAGCTTCTGTTCATTTATTCTCCCCATTTTTTGATGGGGTTGGAGGTTTTTTTCTTGTTCAATTCTACTAATGTCTATCCTGGATATTAATCCCTTAACAGATAGGTATTGGGTAAATATTCTTTCCCATTCTGTGGGCTTTCTCTCTATTTTGGTCAAAAAAGAAATACAAGTGGCCAAAAGGCACATGAAAAAATTCTCTACATCCCTAACCATCAGGGAGACGACAATCAAAAAAACAATGAAATATCATCTCAAACCACAGAGACTGGGAGACATTCAAAAGAACAAAAGCAACCCGTTTTAACATGGATGCGGGGAGAAAGGGACGCTCCTTCACTGTTGGTGGGAATGCCGACTGGTTGTGCCTTTTTGGGAAACAATATGGACATTTCTTCAAAAACTAGGTGTTAGTGTCCTTGTCGTTGTCAGCATGAACTTGGCCACGAGCATTGATTCATTCGAATACTTAACAACCCGAATCAGATGATTATACTTGAATAGATGTGGCTCACTGCCGGCAGTTTCTATCTTCGTTGTCTACGCACCAACATCCAATTATGGTGAAGGAGAAATTGAGAAGTTCTACATGGAGCTGGAGAAGTTCTATAAAGAAAACCACACCTTCTGCAAGATCATTGTTGGTGATTTTAATGGCCAGATAGGACCAAAAAGATCGGCTGAAGAACTCCACATCGGGACTGGTGGCCTAGAATAGAAAGAACAGGGTGACAGACTGTCTGAGTTCATCATGTTGACTAAGACCATCCATGGTAACTCACAGTTCCAGAAGGCTGAATCTAATTGTTGGACATGGGAGTCTCCCGGTGGATGGTTCCACAACGAAATTCACCACATCATATTTAATCGATGGTTTTGCCTGACCAATGTTGCTATTGTCCCAAAATTCCAAACGGGATTGGACCACCATCTCCTTCATGCAAAATTCTACTCCACAGAGCAGGGAGAAAGGGTGGCAAAGTTTAAGACGAGAAGTCCCAGAACGACCACCAACTGGGACCTCTTTGGCGCTATTGCAGCAACATGGGAAGATGCCGTTGTTGACGACATTGATGAAGAATACGATTGACGAGTTCAGCACCTCCATGATTGTGTGAGGAACGCCGAGAGAAGTAACTACAAAAAGAATGCCTGTCTTCAAAAACTCTCATGGCCATTTGCCAATGTGGCTTGGCACGAGCCTCAGGCAACCACAAGCAAATGTCCGAACTCACAAAGCATTGCAGAGAAGTGATAAAGGAAGACCTCAAAAAGAGACGAGCAGCAGTGCTGGCCGATGCTGCAGAAGCTGGGAAAAGCATTTGCAATACCACACTGTCCTTGGCCAACTACAAGACCAAGATGACTGCTCTCCAACATCCTGATGGATCTGTCACGTCTTCCAGAAGAGCAATGGAGAAGATAATCCATGACTTCTACTCAGATCTCTTCAATAGCCATGTCCACATGCCCACATAGCAAATTCCGCAGGATGGATATGTCGTTCCCAAAGTTCTCCCTTCTGAAATCCAACACGCCATTTCATCGGTAAAGAAGTGAACAGCACCTGCCTATACAAGGTCAGACCCGAAACACCTGAAGAACCTGCTATCAGTACTCATCAATACACTGGCTTGGCTCTTCACATGCTACCTGTCTGAATGCAAGATTCTGTCCCAGTGGAAAACCAGCAGGACCCTTTTACTCTACAAGAAGGGAGACATCCACGACATTGGCAACTGTTGCCTGATCTGCCTGTTATCTGTCATCTACAGGCTGTTCACTCTAGTCATCCTGAATAGGATCGGCAGAACACTAGATGAAGGACAACCATGCGAACAAGCCGGCTTCAGAAAAGGATTCAGCACGATCGACCATATCCACATGATAACCAAGCTCATTAAGGTTTCTCAGGAGTTCAAGATGCTGCTCTGTCTAATGTTCATTGATTTAAAGAAGGTCTTTGATTCTATTGAGACTGAAGTGGTCATCGAAGCCCTAGCCAAAGAGTATGTTCAAACTCAATACATCAGGTTCCTCCATGAGCTGTATTACGGATTCACTACCAGGATCTCACCATTCTACAAGAAAGTGATCGTCAACGTCAAGAGAGGGGTTCGGCAGGGTGATACCACTTCACTGAAACTCTTCAGTGCCACTCTCGAGAGTGTCATGCAACGACTGGAATGGGAGGGAATGGGAGTGAAGATAGACGGTCAGCAACTACACCACTTCCACTTCGCTGATGACATTGTTCTAACATTAGCCAAACGGCACAAATGCTAGCCAACTTCGACTGTGATTGTGGAAAGGTCGAACTGCAGGTGAATCTCACAAAGACAATGTTTATGAGAAATGGACTTGTTCCTGACATTCCATTCACTCTCAACGAAACAAACATTTCCAAATGCAACACTTGTGTATACCTAGGTCGAGAACTCAACATGGTGAATGACCTGGCACCTGAGTTGCGCAGGAGGAAAAGAGCGGCTTGGAACACCTTCAAGAGCATCTAAGAGGACGATGAACCTCTGGCTTCAGGCACATCTCTTTGACTCCACCATTCTTCCTGCATTAACATATGACTCGGAGACCTGGGCCCTACGAAAACAGGATGAGAACGGTATTCGGGTCTCCCAAACAGGAATCGAAAGAGCTATGCTTGGAGTATCACGCTTTACTCAAGTGAGAGAAAGAATCTGGAGTTCCAACCTCCGTCGACAGTTGAGAATCAGGGACGCTCTCTCGTTTGCCAAAGTGTCGAAAATCAGATGGGCTGGACACGTAATGTGATTTGGAGATGACCGCTGGACTAGAGCCTTTACTGACTGGATGCCATGGGATATCAAAAGATTGTGTCGCCGCCCATCTACGAGATGGTCAGACTTCTTCCTCAAGACCCTGAACAATCAGTTTGAAGCTTTTCATGTTCCTGGGGCGAACAGACAGCATTGGGCTACACTAGCATGCGACAGGGACAAATGGAGACGTTACTGGCACCTGCTCAAGCAAACTGATGAGTAACGGGATGTCAAGTGAGTGATCAAGTGATTAGAGGGTACAATATTACTATGGTTTCCCGTCAACCTGGTGCCAATGTGAACTGTTAACACAGCCCAGTGAATCCTTTCAACCCAATTCCCCCCTTGGTAACCTTTGTTTTCAGAACTTTAAGTTTTTGTATTTTTTTAATCTATTTTGATTTTTGCCTCTTTTTTTTTTTTTGCTTTGTTTCTTTGTATTCTACATATCAGTGATATTCTCCAATGTTTATCATTTGGTGGGGAGGGGTAAGTGGAGGTACTTTGGGTCACTCTTGCCTGTTCTCAGAGTTTACTCCTGACCAGGGTCATGTCTGACAATTTCTAGGAAATCAAACTTTGGTGCGGAGGACAGAGTCTGGGCTGGCCGCACTCATGGCAAGTGCCTGATCAGCCCTGTCTTTGTTGTTTTGGTTGGCACTTGGATTATTTCCATATTTTAGCTATTGTAAATAGTATTGCAGTAAACACAGGCGTGCATATATCTTTTTGAATTTCTGCATTTGTGTTTTTGAGTAAATACTTACAACTATCATTGGTAGATAATGTTAGTTATATTTTTAATTTTTTAAATAAGCAAGATTCAATGATAATTGTTTTTTTTCTATGATAATTCTTTGGCTACACCAATAAAGTAACTGTTTTTACTAATTTTGAATTAGCTGTTCAATCCAATCACAGGGTGAGTTTTCTAAAATTGTAACTCCTGGGATAAACTTCTTAATAAGTGAATCACACAAATGAACAGTTCTACATATTTTTGTGTATTGTACAAGCTCACTGGTTTGTTGACCACCACACTAGTATCCTCTGCATTCTAAAGCTTTACCAAGACCAAGCAGGCTGCCTCTAGGAATGATAGTAAAGCAGGAGAGAGGGATTGAGGGTATTAGGAAGCAGTAAGAGGCTGGGGTCTGCTTCCTCTTGTCCCCTGCCTGCTTTGACTTGCCTTTCTTTAGCCTGACCCCGAGGACAAACAAGTCTGAATAAGAGTGGTGGGTTGAGAAGAAATCAGAGTGATGGGAAAGGTCAGTAGACATACTGGTAGCTTGTATTTTGTAACTGACCAAGCCCTGGCTGCACAGTTCTGCTCTAAATGGATGTAGTGGATGTATGCTTGACTGAGTCTTCATTGTATGCCCAAAAGTAAAAGTCATCTTTGTGTTTACCACAGGAATGAATTAATCCTAAATTACAGTCGACATCCCACTGATTGTTGTGGTTGGAAAATGAACCTCTCTCTGCAGTTAATTCTTATTCATTCTATTATTGTTGATCCTTACAAAAGAGTAATGAGATTTGAATTTTAAATTTGTTTTCCCCCTCAACACTAAACTAAAATTGTAAATGTATGACTAAACGTATAGATGGTTTTTGTCCGGTTTTTGGAGTGGTGCCTTTTGCAGAGGGAGTATGGACTAGAGGAAGCTAAGAAAGCATTGTATTATTGATAGAAGTAGTATCCATTATATGTGTGTGTTTGTGTGTGTGTGTGTGTGTGTAGGAATCGAACCCGGGTCGGCCTCATACAGGACAAACACCCTAGCTGCTGTGTTATTGCTCCAGCCCATATGGGTAGGGTGTTTGCCTTTTATGAGACCAACCCGGTTTCGATTCCTTCATCCCTATTGGAGAACCTAGCAAGCTACCGAGAGTGTCCCGCATGCACGGCAAAGCCTGGCAAGCTCCCCATGACGTATTCGATATGCCAGAACAATAACAAGTCTCACGATGAAGACATCACTGGTGCCCACTCGAGCAAATCGATTAACAATGGGAGAACAGTGCTACAGTGCTACATAGATAGATAGATAGATAGATAGATAGATAGATAGATAGATAGATAAAGAGATAGAATAAGGAAAAAATTTAATCAGTGGAAAAGAGCCAAAATCAGTGTTAAACTTGGTGAGTCACTGCATAAATTATTTTATTTCTATGTTCTTCAAGCCTTCTAAATATTTTAAGTTTTATGCATATTTTTTGTTAAATTTAATCTGAGATTCTGAATATAAAATTTAGATCATGGTTCTTCAATAAAATATTTTTTAAAGATCTTAGCACTTGGGCTTTAAGCCCATGTTCTCTCTTAAGCACATGTTTCTTTCTCTCTTCTGCTTCTTAAACTCTTGATAACAGTGTATTCTCTCTCTCTGTCTCTGTCTCTCTGTGTCTGTCTGTCTCTCTCTTTGTTTTTTTCCATACCTGGCTGTGCTCAGGGCTTACTTCTGCTTCTGCTCTCAACAGTCACTCCTGGCTGTGCTTAGGGACATATAGGGGGACAAGGATAAACAAGGTGACTGCATGAAAGGCAGACTCTTTACTTGCTGTACTCTCTGTCTCTCTGTCTCTATCTCTGTCTCTCTGTCTCTCTGTCTCTCTCTGTCTCTCTGTCTCTCTCTCTCTCTCTCTCTCTCTGACCTCTGTATTCTCTTGAATGTATCTCTTTCTCATTTCTGTGGTGTCACATAGTCTTGTGAAACAAACGATGCATTCCAACATTTTTTCTACAGAATATCCACTGAATTTTAAGTTTCCTTAAATAGTAAGTGCTGAAATGTAGACGCCAAATGTGATGATAATAGAAATTTGTTCATACACAGTAATTCATTCTCTGATTTTTTAAATATAAATAAAACTTTTTAGATTGATAATGTTTCATGGCCTTCCTCCCTGTGAAAATTTGGTTATGTTTCTGTTAAAATAATTGTGTTGGGGAATATGTTCATTGATGAATTAGAATTTTGTTGTTTTCAAGTCCTGGGGCTCTTATGCTTCCAGAAGTGTTGGTTTCAACTTGTTCAACACTGGCGATGGTAACCAGTGTTCTTTAAAATAAGACAAGTCTTGGGGCTGGAGCGTAGCACAGCGGGTAGGGCATTTGTCTTGCACGTGGCTGACCCGTGTTCGATTCCCAGCATCCCATATGGTCCCCTGTGCATTGCCAGGTGTGACCCAAAAAGCAAAAATAAATAAATAAAATAAATAAAGAAGACAAGTCTTCAGTTTTGTGCATATTTAATCTTGAGTGTTGAAAGGATACTGATAAGTATTGATTACTTTCTTCTAGACTGTTGGAGTTGGCATGGCCCAGGATAGGGCACCAGAGCTGGATGGTGGCATGCCTGAGCCAGACAGAAACCATTCCAACAGTAGTACCTTGTCAGACAGAAGGCTCAGCAACTCCAGCCTTTGTAGCATTGAAGAAGAGCACAGAAGTGTGTATGAGATGGTGCAACGGATTCTCTTGTCAACACGAGGCTATGTCAACTTTGTGAATGAAGTGTTTCGTCAGGTTGGTGTCTGCACAAGTGTGTTATAAACTCACAAAATTTCAGAGTTTTATTCTTGCACTTTAAATTCTCCACTAAATGGTATTGAGTTGGTCTGAAGTACAGAACTGAATAAATAATGATCCCTCAAATTCCCTTTTTAATTTGTTGTATGCAGTTTTGTGATTTTTAATTTTTATTTTGTAACTTTCTTACATGTGGAGAAAAAGTTCTATGTTTGAAAAAAAATCCCTTCATCATATCTTCAATAGCACAGCGGGTAGGGCGTTCGCCTTACAAGCGGCCAACATGGCCGACCCGAGTTCGATTCCTCCGCCCCTCTCGGAGAGCCCGGCAAGCTACCGAGAGTATTCGATATGCCAGACACAGTAACAACAAAGTCTCCAATGGAGACGTTACTGGGCCCGCTCGAGCAAATCGACGATCAACGGGAGGGCCTTTACCTTTACCTTTACCATATCTTCAAGTTTCCATATTAAACTTTGAACCTAGTGGTAGGTGGAATGAAAGCTGTTTCTTATTATCTGTAACTAAATTAGCATAGACCCGCAGTGATTTCAGTGAGGTGGGGAGGAGAGGAAGTAGCCTTGAGAGACGGGAGTGCTGCCACCTTTCTTCTTCACCCACCTCCAAGAAAATGCCACAGAGGACCACGGCTGGTAAAGTCTGCCACGAGTCCCCATGCACTTTCTTGCTTCCTTCTCCCCAGCTCGGCCAGGCCCTCACATGCTCCACCTCGGTTCCGCTTGTTTCATAGAGCAGGGCACGCCTTCACTGCTCACTATGCAGACCCTTGGGGCGCTGTGGAGCCCTACTATGAGAATGAGGCACAAGCCTTCCTGTGACTGAACCCAGTCCACTCCCTGGCGCCACACCATCCCAACTCACATGGGTACAGCTCTGGAGTGCTACAGGATGGTCCAGGCGATCTCCAACAGTGCGGGATCAGATCACATGCCATGCTCAGGCCTCTCATCTAACTGCCAGCCTATTTAACCAAGAACCACTGGGAGCCGTGGAATTCCTGAGCACTGTTTACAAAGACCCCAATTTTTATCATTAAAAAAGGAAGGCAATACTGCAGTTAGGGCACATGCTGAGCATGCACCCAGGCAGGACTGAATTTCTGAAACCACATGATTTCTGAAACAATGCTGGGGAGCACTGTGACGTGCAGCCCTCGGAGACCCCAGGCACCACCGGGTGATCCAAGTATCACTGTAACTGAAGAACCAGAGAAGCACCACATTATCCAGCCCCGCGATGACCACTGACCCGGCTGACCAAGAGCTCTCAGTGGGGCTCCCGGACTAAGTAACCGCCACTTAGAAGGCCCTAAATAAATAAACATTCTTTAACACTGTTCTTCATTTATGTCATTTTTGACTGTAATGATTTTTTCACTTCTACTCTTATACTTTCTTGTGCTTTGCTGACTTTCTTGTGTTATTTCTTTGAACATCCTCATAGTGTCACTGAAGACACTGTCTGAGGATCTTATGACGTTAGATCTTCAGTGATACTATTTTCATTCAAAGAGCTTGGTGGCCTTCTCAGTGCTTTGCCCATTGTTTTTCTGTTGTTTTTGTTGTGCTGGGGCTGAGTCTTTGTAGTAACCCCCCTTGAAAGATCCTCAAGCATTACAGTGGAGATTGCTCTCTGTCTTCTCTGCCCATCCTCACAGAATGACAGGAAAATAACTGAGCAGCATATAATTTGAGTAGCTGAGTAGCTATGTTGCATTTCTCTGGCCTCACACTTCAGGGGCTGAGGTGTGAACCTTTCATATAATGCGGGTCCAGTGTGGTGTCTGCTGGGACCCCCAAGTAGGGAGGAGCTCTGGTTCTCATTCCAGACTAATGATACAAGCTGGAGGCAGGCCTCCCCTGAGAGAGTGGAGCAACAAGCAGAAGGTTCAATGTTTTAGTGAATTTTTTAAAAAACTTTATTTGAACATTATGGTTTACAGTGCTGTTCATAATACAGGTCTGGGCTTTCAGTGCTCCAGCACTAATCCCACCACCATGGTGACCTTCCCTCCACCATGGTTCCATTTTCCCAACCACCCTCCAAGCCTACTTCCTTAGCAGGCACACAATACTTTGTTTTATATTGTTTGTTACAACCAAATAGATAAAGAACTTATTAAAAGTTCTTTAGCAAAAGGAAATTTGTGAAAATTTTTATATCTTACCCCTGAATTGCTAAGTCTTTCCTGAGGATTTACTTTAAAAGCTTTTTGCTGCTAGTTGAACCTTGTGTGTTGTTTTGATTTCTTGAGTTCAGTGGTTTTCTATGTTACTTTCCTGTCTAATTTGGTGTGCTTTTATTGGAATTTCAGTATTGTGGAGTTTGGAGCTGTCCAGAAACTTTAGGATCTATAGAACGGGGACGAGTCTGCAGAGTGTTATTGAAGCTGTGCAACTGGGCCATGGGTGTGGGGGCAGCCGTGGGGTGGGTCTGGCTGCAGCTGTCCGGGCTTCTGCAGGGTAGAGTCCCCGCCTGCCCCTACCCAGGCTGCCTCAGGGTTTCCAGCCAGGAGACTAGCGTGTCTGTCAGTTGGAGCTCCTTGGCCTGCACCTCCTCGGAACTTCAGATATGTTCTACAACTTTTTTTTTTTTATCTGCTTACTTGATTGTGTTACAAATTCATATTATAAATGTACCATCATTTAGAGTTGTCTTTCTATAATGGAGAATAATCTATGAAGGCAGTTAAACTGGATAGTTATTTTGAATTTCTTTGCCACTCAGAATTTTTGTAGATACAAAAAATAAAAAAATCAAAGGAAAGGAAAAATTTGCAAGGATTTAAATTACACATTTAAAACTTTATTATACTTTTGCAACACAAAATGTATGTTCATAACATTTTGTTTATATTTTTGAAATAGAAATGTTACTAAGTACGAATAGTACTACAACTTATTAATGACTTTGTTAGCATTGGTATTTATTTGAACTCACCGTATGTGCTAGTGTTTAGCAACTGGCTCTCAAAAAAGGAAGGAAGGGAGAGAAGGGGAAGGGGCAAGGAAGGGAAAAGGAAGGGAAGGGAGAGAGGAAGATAGGAAAGGAGTGGCAAGGGGAAGAGAAGGGAAGGAAATGGAATGAAAAGAAAAGGTGAGGGGAAGAAAGGAAGGAGGGAGAAGAAAGAAGGTGAGGGGAAGAAAGGAAGGAGGGAGGAGAAAATGGAATTAAACTAAAGGTAAGAAGGAAAAAGTAAAAAGAAAAAATTAAACAACCAAAACAGAAAAGCCCCATTTCATAGTATATCCCAACTTCTGTGGTATAAATTCTCCACATGATCAGTTTAGACTACCATATGATATTATTGAACATAAAGCTACGAAATTGTGTGGTAAAATGCTTACCATTACATGTACCAGTTAGTATATCTATTATATTTTTAGTATATTTATTGTTTGGAATTTCCCAATTCAGTTATCTACATAGCTGATTAAAATATCTACATAGTTTTACATTTTGCTTATTTTTGTGGTAAAGTCATTCATTCCAGATATAGAACTTATTTTATACTTCCATTAACTATTTTAGCCCAATTAAAAATGTTTATTCCTCATATAAGTTTAATGTACACAAAAGTTTGTTACCTTGTGTAGCTTATGAAGAATTTTTGTTTTCTTTTTTGGGTCACACCCAGCGATGCACAGAGGTTAATCCTGGCTCATGTATTCAGGAACAACTCCCAGCGGTGCCTGGGGGACCATATGGGATGCTGGGAATTGAACCCGGGTCAGCCGCAGGCAAGGCAAATACCCTACCCACTATGCTATCCTTCCAGCCCCAAAGAATTTTTGTGTATCAATGGAAAAAGTTATATTTTGATGGCCATTGGAATTGTATGTCATGTAGTACTATAGTTCTGAGCTTGTATTTTGTTAAAGGGAATTTTCACTTCTTATTTTAGGCATTTTTGTTGCCTTCCTGTGATATAGCTGTAACAAGAAAAGTAGTTCAAGTATATAGAAAATGGATTCTCCAGGACAAGCCTGTGTTCATGGAGGAACCGGATAAAAATGATGTTGTTCAGGAAGAAGCTGAAAAATTAGGATTTACAGAGACTGATTCAAAGGAGGTAAAATTTTATCATTTATTTAAATCATTTGTTACGTATAATCTGTATACGAGCTCAGTCACAGGTCCTGTTCAGGAGACACAGTAAACTGGCAGCTCTCTCTCTCTCTCTCTCTCTCTCTCTCTTTTGCTCTTGCTCTCGCTCTCTCTCTTTCTTCCCCCGTCTCTCCTCTCCTTCCCCTTTCCTCTCTCTCTCTCTCTCTCTCTCTCTCTCTCTCTCTCTCTCTCTCTTTGCTCTTGCTCTCGCTCTCTCTTTCTTCCCCCGTCTCTCCTCTCCTTCCCCTTTCCTCTCTCTCTCTCTCTCTCTCTCTCTCTCTCTCTCTCTCTCTCTCTCTCTCTCTCTCTCTCTCTCTTCTCTCTCTCTCTCCTCCCATTCTATGCAAGCCTGGTTCAGTGAAACTGCTACTAAGGATCATTGACCATCTCCATACCTTACACAAATTTGCACAAGCATTGCACCTTTCTTTTTATTGTCTGATGCGACTTGTTTCATTAACCATCATATCTTACTGTGACACTAAAAGCATCTTTGATATGTTTAAGTATCATTTGAGATAGTATGCTTAAAATGTTTGGGCACATTTTTCTTATGTAGTGGCCTATCCCAGAAGCAGTTGGGGTACTACATTGTTGAAAAGACTTATTCTTTTCAGTAAAGCCTCACTGGCAGGTGGTTGGTACTCTTAAAGTTGCTGCTGTCTGAATGAACCACTAGGTTGTGTTAGATAAAACCGGAGGTTATGTAACTCTAAAATGCGAGAGTGGTCCTCTTCCTGCAACACGAAGGAATCAAGCCTTACTTATAGTTCCAGCATTCTCTTTTCCAATTTAATTAGATAAGTTATTTCTAGATTAGATGTATATTTGCAATTGTAGCAAACTTTCAAAAATGTTTATGACTAAGGTAGTATTACTTTTTTTATTTTTTATTTTTTAAATTTTTATTAGTGAAACACCATGAGGTACAGTTGTAGACTTACAACGTTTTGTGCTTGGGTTTCAGATATACAATGATTGAGTACCCATCCCTCCATCAGTGCCCATTCTCCACCACCAATGATCCCAGTAACCCTCCCCTATCCCCCCCACCCACCCCGCCTCCGTGGCAGGGCATTCCCTTTTATTAACTCTCTCCTTTTGGGTGCTGAGGTTTGCAAAAGAGGCATTGAGTGGCAATCATGTTCAATCTATAGTCTACTTTCAGCATGAATCTACCATACTTGGAGGATCCTCCCAACATCCTTACTTTGTGCTTCCTTCTCTATCTGAGCTGCCTTTTCCTCTAGCATGTGCAGCTGGCCTCCAAGCCATGGAGTGAACCTCCTGGAACTTATCTCAACTATTCTTGGGTGTTAGTCTCCTATTTTGTTACTCTATATTCCCCAGATGAATGTAATCTTTCTATGACTGTCCCTCTCTTTCTGACTCATTTCACTTAGCATGATACTTTCCATGTAGTACCACTTGTATGTAAATTTCATGACTTCATCTTTTCTAACAGCTGCACGGTACTGCATTTTGTAGATGTACCAAAGTTTCTTTAACAAGTCATCTGTTCTCAGGCACTTGGTTTTTTTCCAGATTTGGGCTATTGTGAACAGTGTAGCGATGAACATATAAGTGCAGATGCCATTTCGACTATACTTTTTTTGCCTCTTCAGGATATATTCCCAGGAGTGGTATTGCTGGGTCGTATGGGAGCTCAATTTCTAAATTTTTGAGAATCATGCATACTGTTTTCCAAAAGGGCTGAACCAGTTGGCATTCCCACCAGCAGTGAAGTCCCTTTCTCGATGCATCCAGGGCAACACCAGGTGCTTTTGTTCTTTTGGATGTTGGCCAGCCTCTTTAGTGTGAGATGATATCTCATTGTTGTTTTGATCTGCATCTGCCTGATGATTAGTGATGTAGAGCATTTTCTCATGTGCCTTTTAGCCATTTGGATTTTTTCTTTCAGAAATTTTCTATTCATTTTATCACCCCATTTTTTTGATGGGGTTGGATGTTTTCTTCTTGTGGAGTGCAACCAGTGCTTTGTATATCCTTGATATCAATCCCTTATTGGATGGGTATTGGGTGAATATCCTTTCCCATTGTGTAGATTACCTTTTTATTCTGGTCACTATATCTTTTGAGGTCTAGAGGCTTCTTAATTTAAGATAGTCCCATTTGTTTATCTCTGTCTCCACTTGGTTGGTCACTGGAGTGTCGTCTTTGAAGATACTGTTAGCCTCAATATCGTGGAGGGTTTTGCCAACCTTGTCTTCAGTGTACCTTATGGATTTTGGCCTGTTGTTGAGATATTTAATCTATTTTGATCTGACTTTTGTGCATGGTGTTTGGTCAAGGGCTAAGCCCATTTTTTTTTTTTTGCATGTGGTTGTCCAGTTATTCCAGCACCATTTGTTGTAGAGGCTTTCCTTGCACCATTTCACATTTCTTGTTCCCTTATCAAAGATTAGATGTTCATAGATTTAGGGTTGTGTGTATGGATATTCCACACTGTTCCATGTTCTGCGGCCCTGCCTTTGTTCCAGTACCATGCAGTTTTAATTATTACGGCTTAGTAGTAGAGTTTGAAGTTGGGGAAGGTAATGCCTCCCCACAAATTTTTCTCAAGAATTGCTTTAGCTATTCGTGGGCGTTTGTTGTTCCATATGAATTTCAGGAGTGCTTGATCTATTTCTTTGAAGAATTTCATGGGTATCCTTATAGGGATTGCATTGAATATGTATAAAGGTTTGTGGAGTATTGCCATTTTGACGATTTTAATTCTTCCTATTCATGAGCAGGGGATATGTTTCCATTTCCTCGTGTCCTCTTTCATTTCATGAAGTAGCGTTTTGTAGTTTTCATTGTAGAGGTCCTTTACCTCTTTAATTGGGCTGATTCCGAGGTATTTGATTTTCTGGGGCACAATTGTGAACGGGATTATTTTTTTTATGTCACTTTCCTTTGTCTCATTATTTGCGTATAGGAATGCCATGGATCTTCGGGCATTAATTTTATAGCCTGTCACTTTACTGTACAAGTCTATTGTTTCTAGGAGTTTCTTGGTAGAGAATTTAGGATTCTCAAGATATAGTATCATATCATCTGCAAATAGTGAAAGCTTGATTTCTTCCTTTCCTATCTGGATGCCTTTAATGTCTTTTTGTTGCCTAATTGCTTTTGCAAGTACTTCCAGTACTGTATTGAACAGAAGTGGTGATAGTGGGCATCCTTTTCTTGTCCCTAATCTTAGAGGAAAGGTCTTAATTTTTCCCCATTGAGGATAATACTTGCTATGGTTTTGTTGGAGATGGCTTTGACTATCTTGAGGAAAGTTCCTTCAGAACCCATTTTGGTGAGAGTTTTCATCATAAACGAGTGCTGGATCTTGTCAAAAGCTTTCTCTGCATCTATTAATATGATCATATGGTTTTTATTTTTACATTTGTGGATATGATGGATTATGTTGATTGATTTCTAAATGTTAAACATCAGTGGGATGCATCCCCAGGATGGATCCCACTTCATCGCAGAGTATAATCTTTGTGAGGAGTTGTTGGATTCTATTCGGTAATATTTTGTTGAGGATCTTCACGTCCATGTTCATCAGAGATATTGGCCTATAATTTTTTGTTAGTGGTGTCCTTGTTTTCTTTAGTTATTAGGGAGATATGTGCCTCATAGAAACTATTTGGGAGACTTCCTGCTTTTTCAATTTCCTGGAAAAGCTTGAGGAGAACTGGCAACAGGTCTTCTTTAAATGTTTGGAAGAATTTGGTAGTGAATCCATCTGGGCCTGGGCTTTTGTTTTTGGGAAGACTTTTAATTATGGTTTCGATTTCCTTGATATGAATGGGTCTATTCAGGTATTTCAAGTCTTCTTGGCTCAGTCTTGGTAGATTGTAGGAATCCAGGAATTTATCCATTTCTTCTAGGTTCTCTTGTTTTGTGACTCTCAAAGTATTCTGTTGAATTTTATTGGTTTCTGTTGTGATATCCCCTTTTTCATTTCTGATTCAGTTTATCAGTGTTTTCTCTTTCTTTGTGAATCTTGCTAGTGGTTTATCAATCTTGTTTATTTTCTCAAAGAACCAGTTCTTGCTTTCATTGACCTTTTGGATTGTTTTTTGGGTTTCCATGTCGTTAATTTCTGCTCTAAGTTTTATTATTTTTTCCTTCAGCCTGGTTTGGGTTCCTTTTGTCGGTCTTTTTCTAAGATCTTGAGCTGTGAAGTCAAGTTCTCTGGATGTAGGTGCTTTCTTCCTTCCTGAGGAATGTTTGCAAGGCTGTAAATTTTCCTCTTAACACAGCTTTAGCTGCGTCCCATAGCTTCTGTTAGCACGTGTCTTCATTCTCATTTGTTTCCAGGTATCTTTTGATTTCTTTCTTGACTTCCTTCCTGACCCACTCATTGTTCAACATTGAGTTGTTTAATTTCCAGGTGTTTGATTTGGTTTTCCGCATCTGTGTGTGATTTGCTTCTATCTTCAGTGCATTGTGGTCTGAAAAGATAGTTGATACAATTTCTATCTTCCTGATTCTATTGAGGTATGTTTTGTGACCCAGCATGTGGTCTGTTTTAGAGAATGTTCTTTGTGCACTGAAAAAGACTGTTTTTTTTTTCTTTTTGGGGTGTAAAGCCCTGTATAGGTCTGTTAGCCCTCTCTCTTCTATTTCTCCCTTCAAAGCCGGTGTTTCCTTGCTGAATTTTGTTCTTGTTGATCTATCCAGAGGAGATAAGGCGATGTTGAAGTCTCCAACTACTATTGTATTGTTGGCAATGTCCTCCTTAAAATCTGTTAGCAGTTGTTTTAAGTATTTAGCTGGCCCCTCATTAGGTTCATTTACATTTAAGAGTGTAATTTCTTCCTGTTATACATACTCTTTGATAAATAGAAAATGGCCTTCACTGTCCCTTCTAATCTTTTCCAACCTGAAATCTATGTTGTCAGATACTAGCTTGGATACCCCAGCTTTTTGAGGGAGCTGTTTGCTTGCAGGATTGTTTTCCATCCTTTAGAGTCTGTGTTTGCTCTGACTGTTCAGATGAGTTTCTTGTAGGCAGCAGAATGTTGGTTTCAGTTTCTGGATCCATTTTGCCACTCTGTGTCTCTTGATTGGTTCATTTAGACCGTTGACATTGAGAAAGATTTTCACGGGGTTTTGTGCCATCTTTCTGTAAGGGTTTGTTGTGCTTATGGGTGTTTTCCTTCTTGAATTATAGGAGCCCTTTTAGTCCTTCTTTTAGATTCGGTTTTTTAGTCTATGAAGTTCCTGAGTTGTTGTTTATCTATAAAATGGTGTATTGTTCCATCGAGTTTGAGTGAGAGTTTAGCTGGATAAAGTATTCTTGGTGAGGCATTCATTTCATTGAGTTTTTTCACTATATCCCACCATTGTCTTCGGGCTTGGAGGGTTTCCTCTGATAGCTGTGCTGTGAATCCAAGGGGTGCTACTTTGTATGTGATTTCCTTCTTTGACCTTGCTGCTTGCAGTATTGTGTCTCTATCCACCGCATCTATCAGACTATGATATGCCTTGGAGTGTTTTTATTAGGGTCTCCTTTATCTGGTACCCTTCTGGCTCCTTGGATCTGGTTGTCTGCATTCTTTAACTCTGGGAACTTTTCAGCAAAGATTTCTTTCACTGTGGCTTTTTCATTGAAGTTGCCTTCCTGTCCTTCATGTAGTCCAATGATTCTAATGTTGTTCCTCTTGGAGTTATCCCCTAGTTCTCTGATTCGCCTTAGAGCTATTTTGAGGTCATTTCCCATTGTTTGCTGTTGCCTGTATGATTTCTGTTGCTTGTCTTCAAGATCACTAATTCTGTCTTTAGCTGTAGACATTCTATTGCAGAGGGCACCCACTGAGTTTTCAATTTCATCTACTAAATTCTTTATTTGGGACACTTCTTTTTGTAGCTTTCTTATTTCTGCTCTCATTTCTTCCTGTACTATTCTCGACTATTTGTTCCACTGTTTCTTTATATTCTTCCTTTAATTTTCTGGATGTCTGCTCCATTGATTCTTTGAGTAGTTCCTTGAACATCTTCAGCATTTCATCTTGGAATTCTTTATTGGAGAGATCATATTTGTGGGTAACCCCCTGGTGAGGGTTTGGGACTCTTCTCTTCATCCTCTTTTTATAGTGGAGATTTGCGCTTTTTCTTCATGCTGTTGTGGTTGTATGGAGGTAAAACCTTGAGGTTCACTAGCAGTGTTCCCTCTTATTGTGGGAAAGGATTCTGAATAAGGTCGGTTGATGGTGCTCAATCTTCTCCCTTTCTAGAATACGTCCTTCCTCTCAGACATTAATCTGTGACTTATGATAGGTATCTAGTAAAGTGTTAGAGGAGGTGCTCTTTTATATTGGGCTTGAACAGCTTCTTGCACACTGGCCTTTTGTTGGAATTGGGTTAGACCAGTGGATTATGGTTGTATTGTGTTTGAGGTGGCCAGAAATTTTTCCAGAGTATTAGGTGATACAGATTGGGATGTGAGTCGAGAATGCTGGGGTGTGAAATATATCTGTGTCCTCAGAGAAGGTCACACCCACTTTTGAGGAGACCATGCCCCTGTGAAGGCCACGCCCCCAGCCGGTCCTGATACTAGTCCACAGACCAGTGCCCAAGGGCTGGAACTCCCGGGAGTGTCCTCAGGCCACTGTCCGGGTGCCAGGCCAGCGGGATCCCGGGGCTGGATGGGACTCGGGGGTGCCCAGAGGGACGCATCTTGAGGAGGGAAGGTGGGGGCTGGGAGTATTACTTTTAAATATATAGTTCTGATTTAATTAATTTATTTGCTTTAGGTATTTTAGTTTTTTCAGTTTTTATTTTAGTTATTTAGCAAGTCAGTGAACAATGGGAGGAGTGACAGTTATTTTGGGGCCATATCCTCTATGCTCAGTGCTTCTAGCTCTGTACTCAGGAATCACTCTTGCTGGCTCTTGGGTACTATATATGATGCTGGGGATAGAACTCTTAACACCCCTGGGTCTGCTGTGTGTAAGGTAAGTGCCCTACCCACTGTTCCCTCTGGCCCCAGTTTTGAGTTTTCATTATCAGTGAAATCGTGTCAGTAACTAGTCCCAGTATCAAAATTAATAGGCAAGCAAATGTAATTGTTAGTGCATTAGAAGGTTAATATGTCTGTTATGTACTAATCCAGTTATAGGACAGACATTATTTCTTCCACACATACCAAGTACTAATACATACTATTTAAGTACTAGCGATAAAAAGTGTACAAATAGATAAAAGCATTGCCTTGTTGCAATCTATATTCTCATGAATTCTGGTTAATGGAGGAAATTAAATGTGTAGCATATGAGTCTCTTCATTCTGTTAACTGCTTTTTTTTTTTACAGACAGCTTCTGACGGTTCCCGTCATAAGCGATCTTCCAGTTGGGGACGGACATACTCGTTCACTAGTGCAGTAAATAGAGGCTGTGTGGCCGAAGAGGAGAACAGGAATGTGAAGGCTGGGTCCCAGGCAATGCTGCAGGTACAGTAGCCTGAGACAGGCGCCTCAGCGGGAAGTCATTCTCAACAGTTGGTTTATTGGGAGTAACATTGATATTTTTTAATCCACCAGTAAGAAAGCTCGTATACTCTTATTGTAAGGTTTTTTTTTTTTTTTTTTTTGGCGGGGGGAGCTGGGGAGAGGTGGGAGGTTTACTTTCTGTTTTCCCACCTTCAGTTTGTAAAGACTTTAGTTTTCAAGGAAATAGCTGCACTGGCTGCAGTTCCGTCAGAAGGATTTTTATATAGTGAATATGAAAAGGCCAGCTCCAACCTTTAAAGTATCTTCTGAAGAAATATGGGTAGTTGTTTACTTGGATTATTATTATCAGGCAAACTAGTAACTATATAATTTTATAAATAATTCTCCTTTTAAAATGCACCTATTTATGAAGGCAAATGCTAAAGAGAAATCTTTAGTTGTTTCTCTGAAAGCCTGTATGACATAGACATGATACGACTTGTGAACATTGGCAAGAACAGCTTTGTCTCCTTACCTCAGGATATTTTCTTGGAAATGGGAGTTGTAAATTACTTCTGAAGGCCATTCAGCTTGAAAGTCATGACAAATGTAAGCAAAAGGATCAGTGTCTCTGCTTCCCCCGTTCTCTGACCAGATAGCAGATGAACCAGAGGAAATTCCCTCCAGCATCAGTCAGGCTTTCTTTTCACCACATTCTTGTCAAGACTGACTGCTTGAAGTCTTTTTTTTTTTTGTCATTTGAAAATAAAATATAGTTTTACTTATTTCTATTCAGTCTGATTTATCCTTTAGGGTTTTTTTTTTTATTAGTGAGACATCATGAGGTACAGTTGCAGACTTGCAAATTTTGATGTTGGCCATTCTCTTCCTTGTGAGGTAGTGTCTCATTGTCATTTTAATCTACATTTTCCTGATAAAAAGTGATGAGACTTATTGTTAGGAAAATACTTATCCACTTTTGTATCCCTGTTAGCCAGCCATGTGTCTTCTTTAAGGAAGTATCTCTCCAACTTCTCTCCCCGTTTTGATTTTGTTCTTGTTGTTGAGCTTTGCAATTACTTTATATATCTTGGATATTGGCTCTTTGTCAGGTATGTGATTTGCATATATTTTCTCCCATTCTGTAGGGTATCTTTTGATTTGTCAGAGTACCTTTCACATATAGTACCTTTCACATTATGTTCTTTGTTCTTTTTACTTTTTAATTTTTTTCCCTTTTTTTTGTTGATGATGTCATACATTCAGTGACTCACGTTTTGATTTCTTTCATTCTATGGAGAGTCCTGCCTAATGTATTTCGTAGCTCAGCCACTGTGCTCTTTATCTTCTTCATTTCTATTTTAATGTTTTTTTACTCTGAACTTATTGATTGTCTCTTCCACTGATTTATTCAGTTTTTGAACATCAAAAAAGATTGTTTTTTAAATCTTGCTTGTCAGTTTAGAAAATTTGGTATGGTTGGAGATCTTTGCTGACTTTTGTTTCTATCCATCACAATGCCTATATTCAACCCCATACCCTCTATCTGGTTATTTCTGGTGCTCTGTGGTGGAAAAAAAAGTGGTTCTCTGAGTCCAAGTTGGCCCGAGATGGTGCATGTACCTATGGCTTTGTTTTGGCCTGGATGGCGTTTGTGGGGAATAGTGCTTGTAAGTGTCCTGCATATGCAATGCTGAGTTCTAGATGGTCTGGGCTTTGTCCCAGGGTTCACAGTTTCTAGGCAAAGTATGACCAGGCTGAGCAGTGATTTGGGTCATTTATGCATGTGTGCATAATAGCTCTTCAGGAACATAGTACTCTTAGTAGTTAATTAGCGAAGGAGGTGGTTGTGTTTCTGTTTCTGTCTATACTTACAGAGCTGAAGTTTTGAAGACCTGGGTTGCACCCCATGGTGTGATGATGCAGTTGTTTAGTATGTCCATGGTATGAAAACTGTTTTTTCGGTGGGTGGTGCAGTTGGGAGGTTATACCCATATGCGTTTAGGGCTTAGTCCTGGCTCTGTGCTTGGGATCACTCCAAGCAGTTTTCAGTGGGATGCTCTAGATTGAGAACAGGTCAGTTGCATGCACCCTACCTGCCTTACTATCACCTCAGCCCCTATGCAACAAGTTAAAGTGGGTTACAAGGACCTAGTAACTGTTTGGTCATGTAGGTTCATCCACTAAAAAATATCTTGAGTATATATTGACAATACTAGCTTTAATTGAAATAACTCATAGTTGATTCATTGGTTGAGTGAAATTAATATTGTCTTTAGGCAAAATTTGTTCATATGTCCTGGTGCTGGGAAATTACACTGGTCGAGGGATGGGTATCAGAACATCATATGACTGAAATCCAATCATGGACAGCTTTTCAAATAAATAAATTTCAAAGTAAAAATTTGTTCATACTTAGTAACTTTAGTAACAAGTCTCACAATGTTACTGGGCCCACTCAAGCAAATCAATGAACAGTGACAGTGACAGTGACTTACATGTTTATTTTTATTTTATAATATAAAATTTGTTGATTTTAAGGTATTTTTGACAAATGCTGCAAACGTATTTTTGCTGGAACCTTGTGCTGAAGTTCCCATACTCTTGAAAGAACAAGTTGACGCCTGTAAAGCCGTTTTGATTATTTTTAGGCGAATGATAATGGAGCTCACAATGAATAAAAAGACATGGTGAGTTTAAAGTCTATTACTATTGTACAGTAATTGTTTCTGCTTTGAAACATGATAATTAGGATATTAAAGCCGCTGTTTATTAGGTGACTTTACAAAGTTAAAAACAAATTGATTGTAAGACTTTTGTTATTATTTATATCAACCAAAAAGATGGTACTTGTCATTAATTTTTTAATTTTCTTGAATTAAGAGGTTGTATTACTTAATAGTAGTTTTCCTTTTTTCCTCTTTTTGTTGGGGGGAGGACTTTTTTTGAGGGGTAGGAAGCTTCCCTCGCGGTGGTGCTGAGGATCATTAGGATTGTACAAGCAGTATACGGGAGGCTATACAGGACTGGGATTGAGCCTGGGTTGTATGCCAGGCAGCCTTTTGTACTATTTCTCCAGCCTCTGGACTTTTACGTTTTTAACTGTCATCATCTAGTTTTTGTGAAAAATGGTATCTGGTATTCTAGTCCTCTGGTGGTGGGTGTGGTACTGTAACATTGCATGCCTAAAAGAAATATTAAAACTATTATAAACTATTATATACCTCAATTTACAAATTAAAAGGAAAACAAAACCCAAAATATCTTCATAAACACAGAATTTTGTTAGTTGTTACAAATCTGAGATTTTAATTCATTTTGAAAAACATTTTAAATGATAAATTATCAGAACAATTAATTTAGTAGCTTCTTTTAACTGTTCTTGTGTAAACTATTTTTAGCCTTCATTTTTATTTGATGTTTTTAATAATATCCTAAAGATAATAAGTGGATTTTGTTTTTGTGTCTTCTCTTGTGGCTATTTCTACATCACTGCAGCTTAGGAATTGCTTATGAAAGTTCTTAGCAATACACTAGAGAGCCTCTGTGCCACTTTGTACTTTTATTCCCCTTGCATCAGAGACAGTTACTCTGCCCTGCCTTTGAAATGCCCATCTAGTCTGTCCTACCAAACTAAGACTTCTGATCGGACTGGTCAGTTTGTCACCTGAGTCTTCTCTCCCTTCTCTCCATCCAGAAGACCCTTCACACTAGCATTTGTGGCAACCCTCCTTACTGGAAATCTGTGGGGTCTGTATTCGCAAGTCTATTCTGCTTACTCTCTTTAGATGTCCTCCAGTCAGGAAGAATTCTTTCTGCAGTTGGTGGAAATCAGAGAAATGAGGTGTGATTGAGGTCGCAAAAGCTGCAGACCATTGAGTCCAGCCCTTTAGTTTCAAAGATGAGGGATGAATGGGCCCATAGGAATTGCCCTGCATCCTGTGAGACTGTTTCTGCCATCTCCCCCCAATACCACCTGTAACCATTGAAGAGGAGGCCTCAGTTTAACCTTCCAGCTGTTGTGAGCCATCCTCTCCTCTCCTCTCCTCTCCTCTCCTCTCCTCTCCTCTCCTCTCCTCTCCTCTCCTCTCCTCTCCTCTCCTCTCCTCTCCTCTCCTCTCCTCTCCTCTCCTCTCCTCTCCTCTCCTCTCCTCTCCTCTCCTCTCCTCTCCTCTCCTCTCCTCTCCTCTCCTCTCCTCTCCTCTCCTCTCCTCTCCTCTCCTCTCCTCTCCTCTCCTCTCCTCTCCTCTCCTCTCCTCTCCTCTCCTCTCCTCTCCTCTCCTCTCCTCTCCTCTCCTCTCCTTTCCTTCCTTCCTTCCTTCCTTCCTTCCTTCCTTCCTTCCTTCCTTCCTCCATGCTCGTCTGGAGCATGTTTGCTGCCTGCAGATTTCTGTCATCTCTTTCCTGGGTGCTATTCTGTTCTTTTCTGGATTAAAACTCAGGTTTGCAAACCCTTTGTATTCTAAAACTTAGATCTTAGACCTAGGTAACCTATTTTACCTAGGGAAATATTCCAACCTTGGGGTTTTTTTCTTAGGGGGAGGATTTCCCACTGGAATCTTGTAGTGTAGAAAGATCATGATATAAGCCTCACAATTATTAAGTGATTATTTTGAGATATACATTTTTGTCACATATCTCACACCTTTAAGCTTTATACTGTTTATGTAAATATTATAGTACTGAACAATAAGGACTTAAGCAAAGTTAAAAACTGAAGTCGGTGGGCCAATTGTCTCTCACTAAGGAATCACTCCTGGTGGTGCTCAGAGGACCATACGACATGCTGAGGATTGAACACAGTGTTAACAAGGCAAATGTCCTACCTGCTGTACTATCACTCCAGCCCTGTTAGGTAGTTTTTATTGAATGAAATTTACTGAGGAAGAAGTGAGGGGAGAGAAAAAGAGGATATTGGTTTCTTTAAAGAAGAAAAATAAGAAACAAGCAACGATATGCGTTTAAAGGACAAAACAGGTTTGAAAGAGCAAGCTTCACTCTCTTTTTTTGTCCAAAAGAGTCTGCACGTGAATGTCATAGTGTTCTAGCTTTCGTAGGTTCAGAAATTTCATAGGTTTTGTGGCAGTAGTTTTTATGATTGAGATTTGCTTGACAATTTTTGGATGTCTTGTTTTCATCATGTACCAGCAGTGGGTAGGAGTGTGGAGGGAGCCACTTAGGTGCAGGGGGTCATTCTTTCCTGTGTGACTGATGGCACTGAGGGCTCCCTTTTCCTTCCCTTGTGACTGGGACCATAGGACCCTGAACACAGCAAGGATCAGGCTATCCTCCACTCTGAATATTTCTTCCCTCATTCAGCTCATAACTGTCACTGTCTGCTCCATGCACAGATTTTCTATGATGTGGTAGGTGGGTTTTTTTTTTCCTACCCCCTGTAATTCTAGAATCCACAGTGTATAGGAACTAGCAAACTAGTACAAAAAAAGTGCATTGAGTATGTTTGCTAACAGAGAACCATGGTAACCAAAATTCAACTGAAATCAGCTGCAAATAAGATAGGAAATCTGATGATCATTATATACCATGAGAAGTTTAATGAGTTTCAGTGCCATGTTAAAAGAAAATACTGTTCTGGTATGCAAAAATGTCAGAGAAGCATAAAGGAACTGTGACTCAGCTATTTTATTCAGATCTGAACTAGGCTACTTTGTACAAATCTCGACTTTATCACTAAAAAGTGGTATCGATTCCCAGCATCCCATATGGTCCCCTGAGCACCGCCAGGAGTGATTCCTGAGTGCCGAGCCAGGAGTTACCCCTGTGCATCGCCAGATGTGACCCAAAAAGAAAAAAAAAAAACAAAAAAATCACAACAGTATAGGTAAATTCTCTGTACCGAATCTGAAAATAGAGAAGGTACAGAGACATAATTACATAAAGAATGTAACAGTAGCAAGGGAGAAAAATGTCCTTTGGTTAATATAAAGTGATTTTTATTGTTCTTATAAAGCTCAGTGTTTTTTTCTCTCTCTAATACTTTTTACTCTACAAGTGCCTTTGATCTGAGTTCCCCTGTGAGGAACAAAGCTCCTTACCTCGAGGTGTGAGAGGAGACCTTCCAGAGAGTACTGTGTAGTTCAGTCAGCTGAAGTACTGACTGAATGGAGAGCTGAAAGCCAATTTTATTTTCTGTCACAAAGACAGATATGGAGCTTTAGTTATATTCTGGCTAAATAAAGTAGTGAATGTAAAATTTAGAAAGGTATATGATTTCAAATAAGCACAGCTATTCATGGTGGGACTGTAACGTTTATGGGACTGCCACACTTGGAGAAAACAATCATGCCTCCCCTTTTATTTTAGAGATAAAATCAGACTGGATTGATGTATCATTTATTCTACTTGTTGTTTATAGTAACGTAGGTTGTTTATTTTATTATTTAATATAGTATTCAGTATTAGCAATATTATTTTTAATACTTTTGAGTTATCAATGTTGCTAAGAGAATTTCTTGTACCTATAACTTAAAGTGATTTGGAAATGTGATTTCTAACATGAGCTTTTATTTTGGGTGGCCCAGGGAACAGATGTTGCAAATACTACTCAGGATAACAGAAGCTGTCATGCAGAAGCCAAAGGATAAACAAATAAAGGACTTGTTTGCCCAGAGCTTGGCAGGGTTGCTGTTTAGGGTAAGTCTTCCTTATTCCACTCTGACAACGCAATGTGAATCATATTTTACATCAGTTTCTCTTTGATCATTGAGGTTTTTTTCATTTTCACTAGGGGCCACACCCAGTCAACTCAGGGGTGCTGGCGACCATTCCCAGCAGAGGGTCTGACAGTTCAGTGCTGCCCCATCTGGAATTCAGTGCTGTTCGGGTCCTGTAGTGCTAGACATGTGTTTCAACCTTTTAAGCCACATCCTCAACCCCTCACTAACAATTTTAAGAATTATTAATCTAAACCCCTAGAACCTTACTCAGACTTTTTTCTTCTTAGTTTTTTTCCCTAAAGGTCACTGTCTATGTTTATTCTTATGTTTTTTGGGGGCTCTCCTACATTTCTACCATCTGTTGACACATTTTGACTTATTTTTGGTAAGAGAAATTTGAAAATGAGAAGAGTTGATAGTCTTGGTAATGAGTAGAAGCTTGGGGATTATAATAAGGTCAGCGAGGGGTTCAGGATAGAAATGAAATTTACCTATTAATGTTTGTGGAATGCATAGAATGTATGTAGACATGCAAGAATTTATATAGCCAGTAGGATTATCTAAATGAGAAGAGGGTAACCTGCAGGACTGGTGGAGGAAACAAGCAGTAGAAGACGCTAAGGAAAGATGGCTAGTGAACTTGGAGAAGAAGTGTGTGTTCAGGATATCTCAAGAGTTTGGGGGGATGTTGGAGCAGCTAGTTGATTGTGACTTTTGATAATATGTATGTGGTTGAGAATTTCTATAGTAAGTACAATTGGAGTGGATAGAAGATATAACGAGAACCTGGTTGTGGAGCTAGCAAATTCAGTCAAGCTTTGCAGACATACTGATGTGAAGGGGCAAAAAGAGCAGCTGGGTGCTATCCTTGGAGTCATGTTTTAAGGTGGGTGATAATAAATGATGTTTGCGAAAGGGTTGTGTGTCCTGATGCATTTAGAATAAAGTCTGATGGTTTATAGAGAAAGAACAGGATTGGGGAGAGACAAAAACAGTAGTAGTGAAGCTATAGAATAGGCGAAGAGGGTTGAGCTGGCTTAAAGGGGGCCAAGGATCTGCCTGTGTTTCTGGCATTTCACCTGTTGTAAGTGGGGAAGTACATGAATAGTCTGATATCCACCGGGCAGGGTAAAAGGAATATGGTGAAATCATCACTAAGGAAGTGCACGTTTTAGCCAGTCTGAGAGAGAGAAACTATTGTACATTACCTAAGAAAAGACTAAGTTATCTGTGGATACACAGAATTTGTCCAACATTTCTCAGAGATCCTAACTCCATGGCAGATTTGAATTTCTCTCCATATAATGCCCATCCTGAAATAGAGGGACTTAATAGGGTGATTGATAGTAACACACATGATGAACCAAGAGAGTGTTGCAGAGAGAAGCCAACTTCATTGCTCGTTTATTTTATGATTGTCTTAGAGGGAATGTCACTGTCACTGTCCTCCCGTTGTTCATCGATTTGCTCGAGCAGGCCCAGTAACGTCTTCAGTTTGAGACTTGTTGTTACTATGTTTGGCATATTGAATATGTCACAGGTAGCTTGCCAGGCTTTGCTGTGTGGGCAAGATACTCTCAGTAGCTTGCCGGGCTCTCCAAGAGGGGCGGAGGAATTGAACCAGGCTCGGCTGGGCTGGCTGTGTGCAAGGCAAACGCCCTACCGCTGTGCTATCGCTCCAGCCCCTTAGAGGGAATAAATTGAATATATTTAAAGTACAGTGAGAATATGTAGGTAAAGGTGACAAAAAAAGAGAAGTTATTTAAATAAAGGTAAATATTTGCGTTATAACATGATAAGGTAGTTAATTTTAGTAATGTAATATGATATAATAATCTTGGCCTGATAAAAATTGTGAGAGGCTGAACAAATAATTGACATGTCCTAATTTGCCTCCTGCATACTATAATTGCTTTCACTCTGATTGCCTTGTTTACTCAGTTACTGAATATATGAAGTGGCTGCCCACCCTTCTGCTGGTGTCCGGCTTTTCCTTGTCTAACGGCTAATACTGGTCACTGCCTCACTTGCTGGATATATTGACTCTCCTCACTTGACTCCTATGGAGCTTCTGTGTGGGGGCACAGGGAGGAGATAGCGTTTGTCCCAGGGGCTGTTTCTGGCTCTGTGCTCACAGGTCACTTTTGGCAGTGCCCAGGGAACTTGCAATGCCAAGAATCAAACCTGTTTCTCCTCCATGCAAAACTGTTCTCATACTATTGGACTATCTCTCCAGCCCCTTATGGAGCATCTCACTGCCCCGATGGGATGAGGGCATGACTAAAGCCGGACCAGGCTCGTAGGTGCTTGAATTCCATTCCTCAACCAATTTCCTGGCCTTGCACTTGTGTTTGTTAAAATTAGGGTGAGAAATTGCCACTAAATTAAACAAAAGTCTATTTTGGCATTGCGTAGTCTGTTCTTTTTTTTCCTAGAATAAATCCCTTCATTAATGGAGAAATACTGTTACATCTTAAAAATTAGCTTTATTGTTATGATTTTTGTATTGCTATTTATTTTGGCAGTCATTAGATATATCAAGAAATCTGCATAAGATGTATTGGAAAGAAGATGAGTTGTTTTGATTCTAGTTCTAGGTTCTAATCCCATGTCTGGCAAACCTGGTTCTGTGTCCTTGAGCAAATGATCTTGTTTTTCGAGTCTCTTCACTAATCCTTGTTACCTTGCATTGCTGTTATAATAATCAGTTGGGTTTTTGAGGGTTTATGATTATCTGTCCAAGAGGAAGGGAAATATAAAAAGTCTGGACTGATAAGCCCTTTGTAATCAAGTGAGCATCAACTTATTCCCACAATAAAACTTAAATGTCATCTAATTAATATTCATTTGCTCATGTAGATTGTCTACAATTGCCAAGTACTTGATTTTTAAATTTTGAGTGAAGAGACTCCTAAAGGGGACAAGAAGTTATAAGCTGCCACTGTCCCCCCCCTTTTTTTTTAATAATTTTTTAATTTATTGTTTCATTTTCTTTGCCAGTAGAGAACTTGGATTGGCAACTTTTCTTAAAATGATAGTTGGATTTTACTTAGTTTTGAATGTCTAATAAGGGTTATTTCTATAAAACACATTTTTAATCCATTGTCAGAGCTAAATTTGACTTCATGCTTGAAACACTAAAGGCAAATCATGAAACTTGGGCTAAGGTATTTCTAGTTATGAGCCACTGCTGTAAAGTTGTGTTAGTACCCTAATTTTGGTAATTAGAGAAATACAGACAGTGATTTGTAGGAAATATATATTAGAAAAGGGATGATTTACAAGTTAAGGTGTTTTTTTTTTTAAATTTAGCTTTATATCATAATGCATTTGCTAAAACATAAATTTTAATGTCTAAGGGAACTTGGAGGTGCTTTTTCAACTTTTAATTTTTTTATTTAATTTTGGAGAGGCAAGGCTATGTCTGGTGGAGTTCAGGGATTATTTCTGATTCTGTGTTCAGGAATGCCCCCTTTTGGTGCGCAGGAAACCATATACTATGCCAGGAACCGAGCTGGGGTCAGCCACATATAAAAAAGTGCCTTAACCCAGACATTCTCTCTCCAGCCTCAATTTTTAAAAGAACTCCAGAAAAGTGAAGGACATTATGCAAGGCACAAACCAGTGCTCTGACAGTGATAGAACCAAGAGTCTGAAGCTCACTCTTTTTCTTTTATTTTTTCCTTTTAGAAAAGTGTTCATTATTTAAAGAGTACCATGTCCTTAGGATCAGAGGTGCTATCCACCAGGAATATGGCTCAAAGCAGTGCTTTTCTGATATGTCTCAGCAACAGACACTAAAATAATAATTTTGAATCCTAGTTGTAATCATCATGATACATAATTTCTAGTAGCTCTCATGTTTGATTAGTGGATCAGATGAATTTTGAGAATTAGAAAAAAAACTTATTCTAAAATACTTATTTTAAAATTTTAATAGTTATTTTAAGATATTTTGTCTAAAACGATGCCTCTTTCAAATGAAGGAAATTAAATTATTTTGTTGATTGTTTGGCTTTAGACACTTATTGTGGCATGGATCCGAGCCAACCTGTATGTGTACATTTCGCGAGAACTCTGGGATGACTTTCTCCGAGTGCTGTCCTCCCTGACGGAGTGGGAGGAGCTCATCAACGAGTGGGCCAACATCATGGACTCCCTGACAGCAGTGCTCGCAAGGACCGTATATGGAGTTGAGATGACAAATTTACCTCTGGACAAACTAAGTGAGCAAAAGGAAAAGAAGCAACGAGGCAAAGGTATTTCTTTTTTTTTTTTTCTTTTTTTTCCCTTTATTATATTTTATTTTTTTTAAAGTTGTAGATTTACAATTTTTTGTGCTTTGGTTTCAATCATACAATGATCAGATACCCATCCCTCCACCAGTGCCCATCTTCCACCACCATGGATAATATCCCTCCCACCCCCATCCCCCCTGTCTCTGTGGCAGGGCAATCCCCTGTGTTCTCTCTCTCCTTTTGGGTGTTGTGGTCTGCAAAAGAGGCATTGAGTGGCAGACATGTTCAGTCCATAGTCTACTTTCGACATGCATCTCCCCTCCTGGGAGGATCCTCCAAACATCCTTTATTTGGTGCTCCCTTCTCTATCTGAACTGCCCTTTCCTCTAGGATACCCGGCTGGCCTCTAAGTTATGGAGTAATCGTCCTGGTGCTGATCTCAGCTATTCTTGGGTATTAATCTCATACTTTGTTACTTTATATCCCCCAGATGAATGCAATCTTTCTGTCTATCCCTCTCTTTCTGACTCATTTCGCTTAGCATGATACTTTCCATATTGTACCACTTGTATGTAAATTTCATGACTTCATCTTTTCTAAGAGCTACATAGTACTCCATTGTGTAGATGTACCAAAGTTTCTTTAACCAGTCATCTGTTCTTGGGCATTCAGGTTTCTTCCAGTTTCTGGCTATTGTAAAGAGGGCTGCAATGAACAAACAAGTGCAGATGTCACTTCGACTATACATTTTTGCCTCTCTGGGATATATTCCCAGGAGTGGTATTGCTGGGTCAAATGGGAGCTCAATTTCTAATTTTTTGAGAATCGTCCATACTGTTTTCCAGAAGGGCTGAACCAGTGGACATTCCCACCAACAGTGAAGGAGTGTCCCTTTCTCGCCACATCCACGCCAGCATCGGTTGCTTTTGTTCTTTTGAATGTGGGCCAGTCTCTGAGGTGTGAGATGGTATCTCATTGTGGTTTTGATCTGCATCTCCCTGATGATTAATGATGTAGAGCATTTTCTCATGTGCTTTTTTGGCATTCAGATTTCTTCTTTGAGAAAGTTTCTGTTCATTTCATTGCCCCATTTTTGGATGGGGTTGGATGTTTTCTTCTTGTGGAGTTTAACCAGTATTTTGTATATCCTGGATATCAACCCCTTGTCAGATGTGTATTCGGCGAATATCCTTTCCCATTCTGTAGACTGTCTTTGTATTTTGGTCACTGTTTCTTTGGAGGTGCAGAAGCTTCTTAGTTTAAGATAGTCCCATTTATCTATCTCTGTTTTCACTTGCTCGGCCAGTGGCGTGGCATCTTTGAAGATACCATTAGCTTCAATGTCATGGAGGGTTTTGCCAACTTTATCTTCAATGTACCTTATGGTTTCTGGTCTGATGTTGAGGTCTTTAATCCATTTTGATCTTACTTTTGTACATGGTGTTAGGCAGAGTTCTGAGCCTATTTTTTTGCATGTAGCCGTCCAGTGATGCCAACACAATTTATTAAAGAGGCTTTCCTTACTCCACTTCACATTACTTGCACCTTTATCAAAGATTAGATGAGCATATGATTGAGGGGAGATGTCAGTGTATTCAACCCTGTTCCATTGGTCTGCAGTTCTGCCTTTGTTCCAGTACCATGCTGTTTTAATTATTACTGCTTTGTAGTACAGTTTGAAGTTCGGGAGGTTGATTCCTCCCATTTTCTTTTTCCCAAGAATTGCTTTAGCTATTCGTGGGGGCTTATTGTTCCATATAAATTTCAAGAGTGTTTGCTCCATTTCTTTGAAGAATGTCATGGGTATCCTTATAGGGATTGCATTGAATTTATACAATGCTTTCGGTAGTATGAGGCAAAGGTATTTCAACCCTTACAGGGCAATACTAGGTTCCTGGGAGTGAGAAGAAATGTGTTTTTGTACATCTACATCATTTTCTGTGAACTTTAGTAATAACCAAATCCACCTAACTGTGTCTTTCTAGTGGTGGCAATTTATTGTGTCTTCAAGCGCTCAGTCCCTTTAATGAGAATTATAAATTTTTGAAGAGACAGAGGAAGTAAAGGAAAAGAGTAATAGAAGTAATAAGAGTAATAGCAGTAGCAATAATGATGCAGATGAAAGCAACAGTATAATAATATAACAATAAAGTTGTTATCGATGACAAAATCAACAACTGGTATTATGCACTTGTGATCTCTCTACTGTTTTAGTAACCAGTGAAGTAAATAATATTATTGATGATGAAGTGTGGACCTGGGGAGATAGGATTGGTGAAAGAAGTCAGTCCAAGTACCTATACCAGTCTTCACATGGCAGAAAATGATTTGGAGAGAAAATAGGCACTGGAGAGGTAGTGTACCAGTTAAGGTGCTTGCCTCACATGAGACCAACCCAGCTGGATTCTCCGCACAGCCTGTTTCCCGAGTGTTTCCATGTACAATCCTGGAGTTCCTGAACATAGCTGGTGTGACCTGGGTAGTTCTGGATACCTCAGGGCCCAAACAACACCGCGTCTCCAGGCCTGGATAGCAGCAGGTGGTCCTCAGGTCTCCTAAGCATTGCTCGGGAGTCCCCGCTTCCTTAAGAAGTAAAATAAAATAGCTTTATTTAGAATACTTGAGAGAGAAGAGAGAACTCTGTAAATTAAAAGAAAGAAATTATGCATCCCAAGTAGCAGGCAATTTCAGAATAGAGTGTACTGTAAAATTAAACAAGTTGTGTGCCTAGGTAGAGGTGTGTGTGCCCCTCTGGAATGGAGTGCTGTAAAGAAAAGATTCAGAAAAGACACAGCCAGAGTTGGAGTATGTGTGACCCTCAAATGGAGTCTGAGTTCCCCAAGCTACTTTGGGAAACGAAGTTTATAGCTTTCGTTTGTCTTCTTCCTCGGCTAGGCCTTAGAGTCTTGCTAAGGAGCTGTCAGGAAGGACTTGTACCTAGGGTGGTCTTTTCCTCACAGATTCTGATTTGTATCCAGAGCTGGCATCAAAATATTTCTTTTCAGAATATATCTCATCTCTCCATACATTTCTTATTTCCTAATGACTTTTTATAGATCTAAAGTTTTCTTGATTTTTATGGCTCCCTGAAATTTGGCAAGTGTCCCCTGCCCAGCTGCCGTGGGCCACAGACAAGGAAGCTAAGCCACACAGCTTATGGTGATTGAATTCATTTTAAGTCACATGCCTGAGAAGTGGTCAAGTCAGGCAGGAACAACTCAAGACACGAAATATTAAAACATACTCTACTGCCAGCAAACAAACAGACAAATCCAACCTCAGAAAAAGAGATCAGACTCATGTTTAGCAGACAGGGATGGAGTATGGGCGCATGGGATGAGTGGTAGTTGATAATAACAAGGACCGGGATGTGAGTGCAACCTGGTGACTTTGCTGACGTTTCTGTGTGAGTTGAATGTTGCTAACATTGTAAGAATTCTTATCAAAGGCTGATTTGTTTTATTACTTATTTTTTTGAGACATCACATAGATATTCATATTAAATGACAGATAAAATACAGAGGAAATTGGTGCAAAGTTAGGTGAAAGGAGCAAAAGTATGCCTGGTTAAAGTATCAGATGTCGATTGGAGAGTCTCATGCTTGCAAGAGGGCAGCCTGACTGATTCTAATTTTCACAGGGTCTCAAAACACAGAGAATCAAAGGATAAAAAACACTTCTATATTTCAATAGTGTAAATACTGACTGGCAAGCTCCTCATGGCGTATTAGATATGCCAAAAACAGTAACGAGTCTCACAATGGAGATGTTACTGGTGCCCACTCAAGCAAATCGATGAACAACGGGAGAACAGTGCTACAATGCTGTGTACTGACTGCTTGATTTAGTTGAAACTTTGATTTTCCTGATCCTAGGAACTGGGAGAAATTTTCTCTCCAACATCTCAGAGTACTACAATTTCAACAATAGTCTTTTTCTGCATTTGTGAATTAAAAATTATGTCAGTTAGCTTTTCTATTTTTTTCATTTTTATTAGTGATACACTATAAGGTACAGTTATAGACTTATAACTTTTTGTGCTTGGGTTTATTATACAATGATCGAGTACCCATCCCTCCACCAGTGCCCATTTTCCACCACCACGGGTCCCAGTATCCCTCCCACCCCCATCTCTCCCATCTCCCCCTACCTCTGTGGCATGGTATTCCGTTTTGTTCTCTCTCTCCTTTTGGGTGCTGTGGTTTGCAAAAGAGGCATTGAGTGGCAATCATGTTCAGTCTATAGTCTACTTTCAGCATGCTTCTACCATCCTGGGAGGATCCTCCCAATACCCTTTATTTGGTGCTCCCTTCTCTATCTGAGCTGCCTTTTCCCCTAGCATGTTCGACTAGCCTCCAATCCATGGAGTGACCTCCTGGTACTTATCTCTTCTATTCTTGGGTGTTAGTCTCCTATTTTGTTACTTTATGTTCCCCAGATGAATGCAATCTTTCTATGTCTGTCCCTCTCTTTCTGACTCATTTCGCTCAGCATGATACTTTCCATGTAGTACCACTTGTATGTAAATTTCATGACTTCATCTTTTCTAACAGAGGCTTTTCCTATATAACAAACCATTCCAAACACAATGCCTTAAAATGAAGCACTGTATAAGCACTGTCCTCCCGTTGTTCACCGATTTGCTCCAGCGGGCACCAGTAACATCTTACAACAAATTGTAAGACTTGCTGTTACTGATTTTGGCATATGAAATACGTCATGGGGAGCTTGCCAGGCTTTGCCGTGCAGGTGGGATACTTCGCTGTGCTATCACTCCAGCCCAGTGCCTTAAAATAGCAGCCCTTAATTGAGATCCTTGTTTTATGAGGTAGAGCCCTGGGTGGGTCTCAGCCCCTGGCTAGTCTTCACGAGACTGGCTCCTGTCTGTGTAGCCAGGTAGGCAGTGTTACCATGGACGCTGGCTTGCTTCCAGCAGGATCACTGGACTGTAACTCTCTTACCATTCATTTGGCTAGCTTAGACAGTTTATGGCTGGAGCAATAGCACAGCAGGTAGGGCATTTGCCTTGCACACAGCCAACCCGGGTTCGATTCCTCCGCCCCTCTTGGAGAGCCTGGCAAGCTACCAAGAGATTCTCACCACACGGGGCAGAGCTTGGCATGCTCCCCATGACATATTTGAAATGCCAAAAACAGTAATAACAAGTCTCACAATGGAGACATTACTGGTGCCCACTCGAGCAACTTGATAAACAGAGAACAGAACAGGAGGACAGTGACAGTGACAGACTGTTTATATAATGGTTTCAGGTTTCGAAATAGCAGGTCCAAATTCCAAGTGCATTTTTAATTTCTGCTTGCTCAACTTTGTCATTGAATTTATATATTATGTCTTATGACATATAATATTATGTTATATGTTATATATTTTGTCATATGAAGCTTAGTGTGAGAGAAGATACCATACGGTATGTATATGGGAAAGTTAAACTAAATAACCATGATTAATTAACCATAAAGAAATGTAAGTAACTGACTTTCAGATTGTCCATATTGCTATCTGAGGATGACTTGCTAAAGCACCAATTAGTGAAAGCCAGTTTGTGTGAATACAAAACAAAATGGCATTTTAGGGAAAGAGTTTAACCCTATTTTGAATTTGGATTATTTAATGCAGTGATTTTATAATGTATTTATGCAGTAAATACATTTTCTTCCTAATTTAACCTGTACAGAGACCTTCTATATATATGAAAGAAAAATTGCAGACTAGAGATTTGGAATTGAAGTTGTAACAGGGAACCAAGAGCTTGGACCCTTGGTCTGTATGTTTTTTGTAGCAGTGCTGAGAACCTCTGTAAAGTCTGAGGCCGAGAAACTTGGCTCTTTCAGGTGGTTTTTCAGCCCCGCCAGGAGTCCATCCTGGTAGGGGTGCTTTATAGGGTAGATGGCAAGTAACTGAGACAAGAATATCCCTGACTCTTGAATTCCTGTAATCCACCCAATCCCACAGCCCAGCTGCACTCCTTCACTTCTCACTGTGCAGACACAGATTTCATAGGCATTGTTAATTGTCCTAGGAAAATTAACTTGATCACTTGATCTCTTGACATCCCGTTTCTCATCGATTTGCTCGAGCGGGTGCTAGTAACATCTCCATTCGTCCCTGTCGCATGCTAGTGTAGCCCAATGGCATCTGCTTGCTCCAGGAGCACGAAGAGCCTCAAACTGATCATTCAGGATCTTGACGAAGAAGTCTGACCACCTCATAGGTGGGCCACCATGCGATCTTTTGACATCCTGTGGAATCCAGTCAGTAATGGCTCTAGTCCAGCAGTCGTCTCTAAATCATATTATGTGTCCAGCCCATCTGATTTTCGACGTTTTGGCAAACGAGACAGCATCCCTGATTCTTGATCGTCGATGGAGGTCGGAAGTCCAGATTCTTTCTCTCACTTGAGTGAAGCGGGATATTCCAAGCATAGCTCTTTGTATTCCTCTTTGGGAGACCCAAGTACCGTTCTCATTCTGTTTTCATAGGGCCCAGGTCTCTGAGGGGTATGTTAATGCAGGAAGAACAGTAGAATTGCAGAGATGTGGCTGGAGCCGGAGGTTCTTCATCCTTTAGCTATTTCTTCGACGCTCTTGAAGGCATTCCTACTCATCCTGCACAACTCAGGTGCCAGGTCATTCATCATATTGAGTTGTCAAACTGGGTACACATAACTGTTGCATTTGGAGATGTTTGTTCCATTGAGAGCGAACGAAACGTCAGAAACGAGACCGTTTCTCATAAACATTGTCTTCGTGAGATTCAGCTGTAGTCTGACCTTTCCACACTCACTGTCGAAGTCAGCCAGCATTTGTGCCACTTGCCTAATGTTTGGTGTTATTAGAACGATATAATTAGTGAAGCAGAGGTGGTGTAATTGCCGACCATCTGTCTTCACTCCATTCCCTCCCGTTCCAGTCGTTGCATGACATTCTAGTGGGTGGCATTGAAGAGTTTCAGTAAAATGATATCACCCTGCCAAACTCCTCTCTTGATGTCGTTGATCACTTGCTTGTAGAATGGTGAGATCCTGGTAGTGAACCATCCTTAATACAGCTCATGGAGGATCCTGTTGTATTGAGTTTGAACACTCTGTTTGGCTAGGGCTTTGATGACCGCTTCTGTCTCAACAGAATCAAAGACCTTCTTTAAATCAATGAACATTAGACAGAGTGGCATCTTGAACTCCTGAGAAACCTCAGTGATCTTGGTTATCATGTGGATATGGTCGATTGTGCTGAATCCTTTTCGGAACCCAGCTTGTTCGCATGGTTGTCCTTCATTTAGTGTTCTGCTAATCCTATTCAGGAATGACGAGAGTGAATTGCTTGTAGATGACAGACAACAGGCAGATTGAGTGATAGTTGCCAGTGTCGTGGATGTCTCCCTTCTTGTACAGTAGTACAGTCCTGCTGGTTTTCCACTGGGACAGAACCTTGCGTTCAGACAAGTAGCATGTGAAGACCCAAGCCAGTGTATTGATGAGTATTGATGGCAGTTTCTCCAGGTATTCAGATGTGACCTTGTCTGGGCTGGGTGCTGTTTGCTTCTTTACCAACGAAATGGCATATCAGATTTCGGAAGGGAGAATGTTGGTAACAACATATCCATCCTGTGGAATTTGGTATGTGGGCAGGTGGACGTGGCTATTGAAGAGATCTGAGTAGAAGTCATGGATAATCTTCTCCATTGCCCTTCTGGAAGATGTGATAGATCCATCAGGACGTCGGAGGGCACTCATCTTGGTCTTGTAGTTGGTGAAGGATAGGCGGGCGTTACGAATGCTTTTTCCCGCTTCTGCTGCATCTACCAGCACTGTTGCTCTTCTCTCTCTTTGACATCTTCCTTGATCACTTCTCTGCACTGTTTTGCGAGCTCAGACGTTTGCTTGTGGTAGCCTGAGGCTTGCACCAAGCCACGTTGGTGAATGAGCTCAAGAGTTTTCAAAGACAGGCATATTCGAAAGTTAAAATTTAATTTAATTTTAAATTTAAATTAATGTAAATTTAAACAGGAAAATTAACAACTTCACAAAACACTGCTTTGGGATTGGCACAAAATAAATTTGATTACTTCATGAACATAGCTAATATTTCTTATTTATCTAATTGATTTGTTCTAAGAACAGATGTAAATATTCATTATGGAAATGCTTGTCTTCTCTTCACGGAGCTTACGGAAATAGAATGCATTGTCAGAGGAACCTGAGTGAGGATTAAGCCTCCTAGGCAGCTTCTGGCTGCATTCTGCTGTGCTGAATTCTCTCTCTCTCTCTCTGAGTCCTTTTTCTCATGTATCCATTTACCACATTGAAATAGTTGGCCTGTGTGAGAGGAAAGAAGAGAAATTGAATCTCAGAGCCACAAAGCTTTTTAAAAACTTTGCCTCAGTAAGATTTTTTTTCTTTATTACAGACTTTCATTGTTCTTGGTGATTTGGTTCACTGATAGAGTTATTTATTTATTTATTTTGCTTTTTTGGGTCACACCTAGTGATGCTCAGGGTTTATTCCTGACTCGGCACTCAGGAATTACTCCTGGCGGTGCTTGGGGAACCATATGGGATGCTGGGATCGAACCTGGGTCGGACATGTGGAAGACAAACGGCCTACCTGCTGTACTATTGCTCCCGCCCCTGACTGATAGAGTTTAGAGGCTTGAGTTTCTCTTAAGTAGGAGTTGGTTTCTTCCAGCTGGAGGACTGTTCTAAAATCAAAATCTTAATCTTTCTGGATTTTCAGAAGTAGTTTTTATAGTGTCCTGGGAAAAATGTAAACTTCATTAGATATTGTTCTTACATTTACACAGGTTTATTGATGTCTTTTATATCATAGTGAGCTCTGTAACAATATCATTTTCATGATTGTTGAAGATACTTGAAAAATACTTTGGCAACAGGAACTTTTATATTACGGATATTACAGGTGGCTTCATTATAGTGTAAGAAGCTGCTGCTTATATGCAATACATATTTATGCCGTTTGCTGACCAACTTGTACTGTGAAATGTATAATAATGAATTCCACTTTTCGATGACCCCTCTTGCCTTATTCCTTGCCAGGCTGTGTTTCAGACCCTCAGAAAGGCGCCCCTGTGGGGAGGTCCTTCTCCCTCAGTTGGAGAAGCCACCCTGACGTGATGGAGCCCATGCGGTTCAGGAGTGCCACCACCTCGGGTGCACCAGGAGTGGAAAAAGCAAGAAATATTGTTCGCCAAAAAACAACTGGTAAGTTTCCTTGAATATTTTTAAAGGTCTTGTTGCGGTCTAAAATGTATTTCTAGGAATATAATGTTTGAAAATTACAGTCAAAATATATGTAGTTAGATTTTTGGTTAAATGAGATATTTAACTTTTAAATTTTCTGTTCTGGTTACTTTTCAGTGTTCTAGTTACTTTTCAGTGATCTGGTTACTTTTCAGATCAAATTTTGGTATTTATTTTCAAATCTTCCATAACACTTGAGATTTTAATATTTAGTGAGATATATGTATAAAATAGAAAAAAATAAACATTTTGTTCAACATTTGAGGAAAGTAGATTCTTAGTAATAATGCACTTAGTTGTATTATTGTTGCTATTGAACAGTATTGATTTTATGAGAGTATAGAAATATGTTCAACAGAGAAAAGAAGAGGACTGTTCTTACTTTTCAAGACATATAGATACATTTTTATTTTTTGTCTTTGGAAAACAGCTTTGTAGTCATACAGATGTACTATATGTACCATATGTTTGTCACCAGAATTCTAATTTCTAATTGGGAATTTTATGAAAATACCTTAACTCTCTTTCCCCTTTCTATCTCACCCCACTTTTCATATAGCATTTATTAGCAATTATCACATTATTTACATCTACCTTCTGTTTCACATCTTCCTGCTTCCCTGAGAAGATGCCCAATTCCCACCTGCAAGTGAATTTTGGGGAGACTTAGTCACTTATTCCCTTTTCTAAAAACTCTTCTTTCCATTCCTGGGTTCTTAAAGGGACTTATGCCTTAGATACTCAGACTTCCTTCTGTTCCTCACATTTACCAAATTATGATTATAATAGAAGTGATCACTTGGAGCACTTAAAAATGGTTACTCGCATTTTCCTGGGCAGCAAAATATTTTATGTTATTTGTTCCATAAACTACTACTTAGTTAGAACTCAGTCCCAGAAGAAATAGCATCTTAATTTTCAGCAAATATTTTAACCCAGTGATGTTGTAGAGGTAACAGTATGTTTTAGAAAGTACTCACTGCATTGATAACAATGTGATTCTATTTTTTTTATTGTCCTCGAGTATTTAGAAAACACTGATAATGAACAGTTTTACAAATGTATATAAAGGTATTTTTATACCTATAAAACTATAAGTCTGGATTGTGTATGATTAAATTAAAAACATTTGGAGCTACATATTTTGTAAGAAATGGTGAGGGTTAAAAATAAAAGATAATGAAAATAAGAGATATTGTGTTAGAATATTATCCTTTTTTTTACATATACAAGTAGTTCCCATTTTATTTGACTTTCTTAAAAATGATAAACATTTGGGCCTGAGAGATAGTATAGGGTTAAGGCACTGGTCTTGTGTGTAGTTTGACTCCTAGAACTGTTTTGGTCCCTCGAGCCCTACCAGGAGTTATCTCAGAGCATGGAGCTAGGACTAAGCCCTGAGTATTGCTGACTGTAACCCAACCCAACCCCTACTTTCAACCAAAAAATATAATCTTTTTTGTTGCCTGTAAAAATAATATGCCAAACACAGTAACAATAAGTCTCACAATGGAGGTGTTACTGGGCCCGCGCAAGCAAATCAATAAACAATGGGAGGACAGTGCTACAGTGCTACATTTGTTTGGTTTTTTATTTGGGGGCCACACCCAATGGTGCTCAGAGTTTACTCCTGGTGAGGCCCGGGGACCACAATGAATGGACCAGTCAGCCTCATACAAGGCAAGTGCCCTACCTGCTGTACTGTCTCTCCAACCACAAAATTATAGTTTTTCAAGATTTTATTGTAGCATTCTGTTTTATATGATTAATCTGTATAAGCTGTATACTATTAGTGGTCTTATTCTACATTATTTTTTACATTGTATAATAATTTATCTTTTTTTTTTAAAGACGCCCAGAGTATTTTCTTGGTAGGTTTTGCTTTTTGTAGAGGTCACTTTTTAATGAAAGAAAAGCAGTTCATGAAGTTAGTTTCTATTCCTTTTAGCATTCAGATGTTTATGCTTGGAAGTATAATATTTTGATCTACTATGAGAATAATTTGAGATCATTATACTTTATGTCCTGCAGACTGCAGGACTTTCATAAGCAAAATGTCAATGGTGGTGGCAAGAGAGAAAGACAAAGGAAGCACTAAAGAGAAAGAAATGACCATTTAACATAGTGTATAAGTTTGTAAATTTGAGACTGGCAAGGAGAATCTTAAAAAATTACAAAGAAAAATTAGCTCCTAAATTAGTTCCTTGATAGTATAGTGAGTAAGGTGCTTGTATTACACTTGAATAATACTGAAATATTAGAAATATAAAATAAGATTCAAGAGCGTTTCAATTTCCAAGCAGATGATTACTTTATATTTAGTAGTTTTGTAATGCCTTATGATCAAATTTGGAAATATATGCATATGTATATATGTATTTTTTTATTTAATAGCAGCACATGATCCCCACATGGGGCAGCTTGGGGAAACCCTATAAAAACCAACTTGAACAAAGGAGGGGTTCACACATGCTGCCCAAGTCCATGTGCTACTTGTATCCATGTGACCAAGCACATGTGGTGCCTGCATCTCTTCTCTTGAGAGCTGTACTGGGTTGCTCTCTGCCTTTGGAGAAGCCCACATTCTCTCTTTCTCTCCCTCCTTCTCCTTCCTAAAAGCCTCCAAATAAAATCTATTTTTACCTTAAAAAAAAGGAAACATTTTTTCACATTCACATTGAATGATGAATAGATATTCAACTTGCGATCGATCAGCTTGACTTTTACATGAAAATCATTTTCACTTAAATATTTTCTTGCTCTTATGGAATTTATGTTTTAATTGCATTGAAAATAGTCCCTTAACTAAAAGTGATATAGGATTTGGTGGTGGTAAAAGTACAGAAACTTTGTATGTCAAAAGCATAAACACTAATACTATTATAACCATGTTACCAAAATTATAATAAAAAACTTTTTAAATGATTTTAAAAGATAGTCTTAAATGTAAGAATTAAAATTGAGGATTCCCATAACTATTTTTATTCTAAGGGTTAAAACCTATTTTACTGATGATAGTTTTATGTATATGAGGAATAATCTCTTCCTGTGTCCATTTTCCCAAATATCCATTTGACTGGTGGTATAGAGAGAACTTCATAATATCATAAAGTCCATACTAAGAAAATTATGGATTTAATCAGCAGGAAGTAGGGTATAATTATGGGTATTAGATATTTTACTTCTTTCAAATATCAAGTATGTTAATGTCTACTGTGTTATTGTGCTTTTAGGATACTTAATTTACTGAATGATATGGTTTTGAATACAGTCATCTCTCAGTAGATTAATTTTTAAATTGTTCTTGATAGAAGTCTGCATTTTCTTCCCATTCTCTCTGATTTTTGTTTTTGTCCTTTAGGAAGGGTAAACTGAATGTCTGCCCAAATAATTGATCAACCCAAATGAGAATCTGATAGACACAGTGGGGGAAAAACAGAAAGGGAAAGGCTAAACATAGCAAACATTCTAAAATCACATTGATTGTTTGTGAATTGTCCGTTCTCCTGTGTCATCAGAATGACTGAAAGTTGGCTGTATTTAGAGAATGTGATTAAATGCTGTGCTTTGTACTGACTTCTTTTAAAGTTTTAAAGAGGCCCAGAATAATAATTAGAAGTAAAAGAGTCTTCTACTCTACTGACATAATTATTACTTTATCTCTCCTGGAAGCTAAGCGAAGCCAATCAATCAGCAACTGTGTGCACCTTTCTGAGGTTTTGCCTGCCACTAAAAGCGTCCCGCTCCTCCTCCACACCGTGAGCGCTATCTTACCTGGTCTCTCTTACTCCTCTTGCTCTCACAGGCTGGCAGGTACTGTAATGCTGTCTCGTGTGTCCCTCAGTGTACCTGGCTTCTCTGGCTTACCCTGGGCCTCGCTTCATTTGTTAATACCTTCACCTCAAGCATGTGTGCCTGGCCATTGCACTTTGCATTTATGTTAATGAATTCTTTTTAGATGGTTAGTAGCAATTAGTCCAAGGAAAGTTTCGGTAATGCTGCTTGTCTTTGTATTCCCGTCAAGAATGATAGAAGGGGCTAGAACTATAGTACAGTGGGTAGGGCACTTGCTGTGCATGTGGCCAACCCGAACTCAGTCCCTATATGGACCATGTATTGTCCCTTGAGCCCACCAGGAGTTAGCCTTTAGCACCATTGGGTGTGGCCCGAAAAATAATTTTTAAAAAAAGGGAAATGCTCTAAGAACTCTTGGTCCCTCGTTTTTAGCAAGGGAAAACATTGATGCCTGCTTCAGCATGCTTTCTATAGAACTATAGAAGGAAATTGTCATAAAATTTCACAAAAGTTTTGGGTATGTCAATGGTTGCTGTTCTTTCCTATAGGGAAGAATTCTTTGAATTTATTAATGATTATAAAGATACTAATGGTCAATTTTTAAAGATTCATAGTGGTTTTTGAGTAAAAAGAAGCCAACAATAAAAATTACTTATTTCAGAACGAAGAAACATGTTCTTCAGTTCACTTAAATTGATTCTGGCTACATGTGCCTTATAATACAGTAAATTTTCTGGTTTATTAAGATGTTGTAGCACCAACAATGATTTTTGGCATAGTTTCTTATTTAAAGGAGTTATTTTGCTCAACATTTGAATTATTAGGCCTGTTTCTACTGATTTCAATAATTAAAAGATAAACTGAATCTTCCTTTTAAAGATGGAAATGTTTTCTTGATTTTCAGAAAGATAGCATTGAAGATTAACATTTAATATTGGAACTAGTCTAATTATGGTTTTCTGTAACAGTAAATTATGTCATACTGTGGTTTAGCAAAACAAAATTAAAGCCTAACTCTTCTGTTGTGTGTAAAAATAACACAGACTTATTTTTTTAACTACTTTGTCCTGAATTTGTGAATTTTTTTTCTCTTATTTAGTATTATGTTTTAGTTTTCTTTATTTTTGATTCCATACATACATAGTCTAAATATGATTTAGAGTGGTGATTCTTAGCTGGGCACAGTTTTACCCTCCATGCCTTCTTGCACCCCACAAACCCAAATACCTGGCAAGGTCTTCAGGCATTTTTTCTTGTCCAGCCATGGCAGTCACTGGTATACTGCTAACTGCCCTCCACAAAGAGTTATCTGACCCCAGTTATCAAGAGATCTGATGCAAAAGTTTGATTTGAAGTGAAATGAAGCAGATTGTTCTGTGTATTTTCCTGCCTTTGCTATTCTTTTTTTCTGGTTTAATAGCAGAAAGGGTAAAGGGGTTTAGAAGGACAGTTTGGCTTGGGAGCAATTTTCTATTCTTTCTGTTTCTTCTGACTACTCAACTGTGAGCGCCTGCTAATCTGGTGCCATTTGTTCTTTAATATTAAAATGATGTTATTGCCCTTTGTGACTCTTCTATAAGAGACCTGGCCAAGAGCAGTGCATTTGAAGCCTTCCTCTTAGTCTGTGCAGTTACTCCTGGTTGGCCCTGTAGAGTAATGAATTTGTGTTCCAGTCTAAGTCCCAATGTTGATATGTCTATATAGAGATATATGCCCATGTAGACACAACAATACTTCTAACATTGACTTTCTGGTCACAAATTCTTGACTATAAAAATGATTGCATATTTTGCTTACATTTAAGTTAGTGGGTTTTTTTAATCTATATTGTAGTTCAACACACCAGAATTGTTTTAATATTATAAGAAAGAGAAAATTTCTTATATTCTGCCTGTTACATTTTATCCTGATTTATTTGGGACTCTTTATTTGGTGGAAGTAGGATTTGAGGAAAGGGAAACCCCTGTATTCCATCACTATGAAAAGCAACAGGTCAACCATGTGACAGATAGATTTTTCTACTTTTTTTCTTTGTGGAAACAATTCTTTCCAGCTCTAAAATCTGAGCTATTATGTTATATTTTCTTGGGAAAATTTATGATTTGGTATCTCTTGGATTGAATATAACTTTCTAAAATGATTTAAACAGAAATTATATGACTTTGAAAACAAAATATAGACCTCAGAATTTACAATGTAATTTTTATGTAATTATGTTGCTCTTTTCCTATTGAGTATCAGATAAGCCTGTGTCTTAAAATCTGAATATCAGTGTTAAAATATTTTTAATTTGTTGTGAACTTAAGTGCTGTAGTTGCAGTGTAGCCTGGGACCATTTAAACAGACGGTTTAAATATAATCTATTTAAAATATAAAGCCAGCAGAGGGAGCCCAAGAACTGTTTTAAAACAGAAAGATGTAGAGAAAATGTCAGTCCTTTGTATGAAATTTGTGAGCGTAGATTTAATAAAAATTATTAAAAGACAAGGAAATATATATAGTAACAAATATATATAGTAAGAAATTGGGAAACTGGTCCTAAGTTGGGGAGAAAGATAACTTAAAATTCACATTTTCAAGTTAATATCAGAGCAGTCAGTGACAGGGCAAATAGCACTGGCAAAACATTTGACACTGAAATCCTAATCACTCCTGTGATATCTCAGGTTTGGACTTTGCCCATCTGAAAAGTCCCTTCTGATGGCTTTGCAAAAACAAAGCCTTCAAGCTGCGTTAGGTTAGCATGTTGGAAAGGCGACCAGGTGGTGATGGCCGACTCTTCACCCATCTGTTGTGTTGAGGACCAGGGGATACTTGACTTTGGAAGCCATAGTGCTGTGACTATGTTGCATCCCTCCAGATGGTGATATTATCTTTAAGAAGATGCTGCCAGTGTTGGCCCAGCTCTTATTTGTGTCTGCGCGTAGCCAAGAAACAACATCTACCAGTTTTGGCTTCAAGTTTAAGAGACTGAAAACCCACTCTTTCTGTTCTCCCCAACAGCTGGCTCTGGCCAGTGTTGTTTGGGTTATGCAACTCTTGAGCTCCCTCTTCTGACATTAGATTAGCAAGTAGGTTCCTTTTATAAATACAGATTCTTCTCAGGCTTCAGTGTTTTAAAGAATTAGAATAAATAATGAAAGAATTCAGCCAGAAGTTTCTCCCAGTGTTATCTGGATTCTTTTGGCTAATGTCAAAGAGCCTGATTGTAGAATTATGCAAAGGATCTAGTCTATCCTTTTAGATATGTGGATATATTGCAAATATGTGCATACGTCTTGTATTTTTTTCTATGGAAAAATGAACAAGTCTTTTCTATTCAAGGTAAGAGGAAGGCAAAGATGGATTGGGAAAATCTAGGCTTCAGTGGGTCAGTATTCCTGGTACCCTTGCCTTCCTGTTACCCAAATTTAGCTTCCCATGTGCATCAGAATTTATACTTCAAATTCTAAGTGAAAGATCATGAATGTTACATAGTTTTGAGATTTTTTTATAGTGTACTTTAAAATGGAAATTTTATTTGGATTTTATTTGGATTATAAAAATAAGGCCACAATGCTTTGTTGAAATTCTCTGCATTAAATTTAGAGTCTTTTATGGTTAGAGTGAACCAACACTTTGACTTGGGATTTAAGTTAATGGGTTATACAAAGGATGGGACATTGGCAACAAGTCTCATTTCAGACAGGAAATGGGGCGACACTATCACACCGAAGATAATGCAGGCTAGATTTTGAGCTGTCTTTTTTTAGAACAGAGAAAGCAGTAATTAAGATATTTAGAAAGCATGATGTTACTGTTCTAGAAATATAAAAAGTTTTGTGACAAATGAATGAGTGTGGAATTTGTTAGGTGATGCAGTGATGAGCTTCATCTGTAGATGTAGCAACCCCCATAGGAGAAGTGTGCGAAGAACATGGGAGGGAAGATGAGGGAAGGAAATAGAGAGAGTAATGGGGGTCAAGTGGTGAATATTGCTCAGAACAAGAGTCACAGGTGTGGGAGAAGGGATCAGTCTTGGTGTGAGAGTAAGGAAATCTCTGTATTTGCCTTCAGGAAGTCTTGATGGTAAAATTATGGAAGATTCCAGAAAGGGAGGAGTGAAGTTCTCAGATCTTTACTGTTGAGAGATTTCTCCAGAGGCTATGTGGTTAATAGTACGAGGTGGCAATAGAGGGAAACAGTGAGCAGTTAAGAGTTCGTTATAACTTCGGCAAATGATGTACAACTCTGAAGCTCATTTAAGAGTGATTCTTCATGTGCCTTGGTTGTTTGGGAGGTAAAAATGAATCATGATGTTTGAAATTTGAATTGGGAGGAATTTTATCCTCTCTAAAGATATAGTGCATTAAGGTCAACGATAATATAGAGGGTAAGGCACTTGCCTTGCATGCAGTTCATCTTGGTTTGATTTCTGATACTACATATGGTCCCCTGAGCATTGCCAGGAGTGATCCCTGAGAACAGAGATCCAGGAGTAAGCCCTGAGCACTGCCAAATATGGCCCCAAACAAAAATAAAATGTAATAATCTTTGATGATAGTAGTCAGTAGTTACCTGTGGTTTTCTGTTTTATGGCAGATGTATTGCTACTCTAAAAATACTAGTGGATCATTTTTGCATATTAGTGATTAGTCAACATTGCAGTTGTTGATAGAAGCTATTCAATATAGTATTTTTTTTGACCAACCATGTATTTGAATATTGCTAGTAGTGACCCCTGAGCACGTAGCCAGGAGTAAACCCTGCGCATGCTTTGTGTGACCCCAGAATTTTTAAAAAAGCAGTAATCGAGTTGAAATTCCCATGTTTTTCTTTATCTTCCTTTATGGGGTGTATGTGTGTGTGTGTGTGTGTGTGTGTGTGTGTGTGTGTACACGTCGGTCACTTTCTCCTGTGCTCAACTATAAATTGCCCATTTTATTCGTCTCCTGGATCACTTCTTCATTGGCATGCCTGCTCTTGAAATTCAAATGACATTTACAGTCCTCAACCATTTTAGTACCTTACTTTTCTGCATTGTGATTGAAAATTAAAATATTTTGTAGAAATTTAAAGGAAAATGTCAGGGTGTGGTAAAGACTGAGAGAACTAGAGTGTATTCTTTTGCAAGTAGAGGCTCCAATATTTATCCTAGCATCCCATGACCCCCAAGCACACCGGGCGTGGCCATGGTCATCCCTGCCTCTGCTGGATGCAAGAAACACATATTGCTGGCCTGCACTGAGCCAGACAGAATATCACCACGTCAAGAGTGGCCTCTGGGCCCCCTGAGCACAGCTTGGGAGATACACCGCCCCCTAAAAAGCAGGAGGCAGATATAGGGCTAGAGTGATAATACGGGGCAGGACTCTTGCCTGACAACATGGCCACCCCCAGTCTGATCGCCAGCATTATGTAGGGTCCCCTGAGCACCACCAGGAGTGATTCCTGAGTGCAGAGCCAAGAGTAAGCCCTGAGCACCACGAGGTGTGACCCCAATCCAAAAAAGAGTGGGAAGGAATATTCTGAGATAGTGAATTAGTGTTAAGGAGTATAGGAAACAGTGATGCTGAAGTGGATTAGCCTGTTGAATAACGTGTGTGCAAAAGTGACTGAAATTATATTTTCAGAATCAGTTTTAAATGATAAAATAATTTTTTTCCAACATGTAAATGCCATGCATGTGTTGATGCCTACAGAAGTGGAGGAGTGTCAGCAGGCAGAGAATCCAACCAGTCTTGACTCGGGCCAGATGCCCCGGAGCTGCAGCACACCCGATGTCTCGGAGCCCGTGCGCCCTGACCCCTCCCAGGGTAAGTCTCCAGCACTCTGCTCACTCTTGGTAAGCGGAACTCTGGGGCCTCTGGGGGTGGGAGGGAGCTGCATGTCCTCTTGCTTTTAACATTTATTGTAGCTCATTTATTTTCCAGGAATTTATTTATCTTGCCTTTTGAATCACACCCGGTGATGCTCAGGGGCTACTCCTGGCTCTGCACTCAGGGCACCATATGGGATGCTGGGAATTGAACCCAGGTCGGCCACGTGCAAGGCAAAGGCCCTCCCTGCTGTGCTGTTGCTCCAGCCCTGGGATCTTATTTTTTAAAATGATTATAGAATGTGATTTGCTGCAGTATTTTTACTATTTTAATATTTTTGCCTAAATTATAGATATATGTCTACCAGCATCTCTACACACTCTTCGGATGTGATGGTTTGAGGACTGGAAGAAGTCCAGAGAGCCTAGAGTAGGAGGTGACCCCTCAGTCAGGGAGCAGGCAGGGACACAGGTCCATGGGAGTGTGGAAGGGGGCTCTGAGGAAAGCCATACAAAGCTGACAAAGTGAAAAAAATAATTAGCAAACTTAATTGACTCTGCTGAGGTTAAAAATATTAACAGTGAACCAGTGAGGTAGCTCAGTGCATGCTTTGCATGCCAGAAGCCCACATTTGATCACTAGCGTTGGGTGGTCATTCAAGACCACCAGAAGTGACCCTTGAGTACCCAGCTGAGAATACCTCCTGAGCATTACCAGATGTGACCCCCCCAACAATAAATAAACAAGCTATTTATTTAAACAAGCTGTGTATTTTATAAGACGAGGCATAGAAAGCAGCAAGACAGGTAGATTTATCAACAGTGAACAATGTATTCAGTGAAGCATATCTTGAAGTTGTGTCTTATTTCAATTTACGTACTTATTGTTTAGTTTTTGCTTCACAAATGAAGAAACAAACCCACCATATCAAAAATTTGCATCATTCTGATCTTGTTTTTGGTTTTGTTTTGGGATCATACCTAGTAATGCTCAGGGTTTACTTGTGACTCTGCACTCAAGGATCACTCCTAGCGGTGCTTGGGGGACTATATGTGGCGTCAGGGATCGAACCTGGGACAGCTTTATGGAAAGCAAATGTTCTGCCCACTGAGCTATCACTCTGGCCCAAGTTCTTACAAGATAAGTAGGGAAGTATTCCTTTTTTGAAATTGTGAAATGAAATAAGAAGTACAGCATAGATTGACTTAAAATACATTACCTGAATGATTTTCTATTTTATGAATAGAAAATATCTTATTTTTACTTCGACTTCTTGTGAATTTCCTCCTAAGTATTTGCAGAATCTACCAGTTACCTAGAGTTTTCTAGTAGAAAGTCTTCAAACAAATTCAAAGTTTTAAGTAACTCTGACTTCTAATTTCCCTATTTTAATTATGATGGCTTTTTAAAAGAAATTTTGTTACCTGTGTTTTTCCCTGAATTTATTGGTCCCAGGTTATTCATTAAGCTCTCTTATTTTTTCAAACTTATTTTTGAGGGCATGTCCAGCAGTGTTTATGAGTCACTCACAAACTGTGGTGCTGGGGATTGCACTGAGGATTTCCTCATGCAAAGAGGGAGTATATTTTCTCATGCAAAGCATGTCTTCCTGCTCTTTGGATCATTTCCCCCACTTCTCATGACCTTTTAATATTTGCAACTTGTGGTAATATTTCATTCTTTGTTACTGATACTGGTTATTTGTGCTTTCTCTCATGAATCTTAGTTCTCAGACATTACCTTACCTCTCTCTTCTTCCTATTGGCTCACCTGATTAATTCGGTTTTCTTTGAGGTATCTTCCCTATGATCCCAAAACAGATCTTGTTCTCCTTTATGTTAACAAATGGATCTTTTGGCTCCCACAGTAAATAACATTCAGTCTGCTCATAGAAACTCTGTGCCCAAGAAACTAAGTTTTGTAGTGTAGTCTTGATCCAGAGGCTACCGTTTTACCAGATGTATAAATCCTATTTTTATTTATTTTGACATAAATACATAAAAATTTTCTAATTTACCATCTGAAATATTCCTTCTATTAAATTTTTTCACAAAATTTCAAGGTCAAAAGATGGAAAGTGCACAGAATTTAATTTCTTCAGAACCCAGGCCTCTTCAAGAGAATAAAGGACATGTGAAGAAAGAACATGAAGGAATAACAGTAAGATTCTTCAAATTCTATCAGTTTTTCATTAAAGATTTGAAAAATAGATGCACAATAAATTTATTAGTGACAGTGATAATTTCCTTTAAAAATATTTCCACCAAGATGGGTTATGGACCCAAATGACCTTTGTTTTGTTAATGTTATCATGTTACAAAATTATGGAAAAAGTAGCATACACGTAGAATTTATCCCTGGTCTTGATGTGCCACTCTTTATTCTTAAAAGATATCCTATATGTTAGATATGCAGATTCACCTTTCCAGATATAGTTGATTTCTTTTGTGATTTTTTAATGTAAAATCACGTTATAGATTTTTAATAAATAGCAGGAAAATTGATAGAATATTTAATATAATATTTTTGTCACATGGTTACAATAATGGAAATGTTTAAGGTTTTGATATACAGAGTCACTGCATCTTACCACAACCAAAGTGCCCCAGTTCATCCAACAATGTCATTATGTTATTATAGTCTACCTCTAAAAAAGAAATATTTAAAAGTTGCCCTACAAAGCTATATACCATATATACATATATATTTATATTTATCTATATGTATGTATATATATATATACAGGGCTGGAGTGATAGCACAGCCGGTAGGGCATTTGCCTTGCACATGGCCGATCCGAATTCGATTCCTCCTCCCCTCTCGGAGAGCCCGGCAGGCTACCAAGAGTATCTAGCCCGCAACACCAGAGCTTGCAAGCTACACATGATGTTTTCAATATGCCAAAAACAGTAACAACAAGTCTCACAATTTGTTGTGAGATGTTACTGGTGCCCGCTTGAGCAAATTGATGAACAACAGGAGGACAGTGCTACAGTGCTATGTGTGTATATATATATATATATATATATATATATATATATATTTATATATTCATAGAGAACTGTAACATTACAGAAATATATAAAAGAAAAAGAAAAATTCTTCTTCCCTGGAAGATAACCAGTCTTAATTTTTTGTCATCATTTTTAAAGGGCATATGCTAGCTAAAATATGTCTATTTTGTATATGAAGGTATATTATTTTGTGTATATAGCAAATACTCACAAACTTCCCTATCTTATAAGTTTAAATATACTCCTAGTGTGGTTGCTTTGACTTATAAGTAACTTCCTTGTCCCCTCAGAGCAATATTATCTTGGCTTTATTATACTCTTGAGCTCTGCTCAATTGTGTATATATATATATATATACATATATATACATATATATACATATATATGTAAAACCTCAAAATAATATTTATTTTAGTTTTTATTATGTTTGAACTTTACTAAATTAATATTACTTTATTTGCTCAGTTATCTATTTCTAATGTTCATCCACATTATGACATATAGCTATAGTTCATTAACTTTTTTTTGCTATATGATATTCCATTTGAACTATTACAATGAAATTTTCCATTCTTTTTATGATGGATATTTAAATTGTATAAAATTGAATGTTTCCAACTGGGAACTCTTTGGCTCTGTTGCGGCAACATGGGAAGATGCCGTCATTGACAACATTGATGAGGAATACGATCGAATGATTCAGCACCTCCATGATTGTGCAAGGAATGCCAAGAGAGAGATAACCACAAAAAACCGTCTTTCTTCAAACACTCTTGAACTTATTCGCCAACGTGGCTTGGCACGTGCCTCAGGCAACCACAAGCAAACGTCCGAACTGGCAAAACAGTGCAGAGAAGCCATCAAGGATGACCTCAAAAACAGGAGAGCAGCAGTACTGGTAGATGCAGCAGAAGCTGGGAAAAACATTCGTAATGCCCGCCTGTCCTTCACCAACTACAAAACCAAGATGACTGCCCTCCGACATCATGATGGATCTATCACATCTTCCAGAAGGGCAATGGAGAAGATTATTCATGACTTCTACTCAGATCTCTTTAATAGCCACATCCACTTGCCCACATACCACATACCACATGATGGATATGTCGTTCCCAATGTTCTCCCTTCCGAAATCCAACATGCCATCTCGTCGGTAAAGAAACAAAGAGCACCTGGCCCAGACAAGATCAGACCTGAACACCTGAAGAACTTACCATCAGTACTCATCAATACATTGACTCGACTCTTCACACGCTACCTGTCTGAATGCAAGGTTCCATCCCAATGGAAAACCAGCAAGACTGTACTACTATACAAGAAAGGAGACATCCACGACATTGGCAACTATCACCCAATCTGCCTATTGTCTGTCATCTACAAACTATTCACTCGAGTCATCCTGAATAGGATTAGCAGAACACTAGATGAAGGACAACCATGTGAACAAGCTGGATTCCGAAAAGGATTCAGTACCATCGACCATGTCCACACAGTAACCAAGCTCATTGAGGTATCTCGGGAGTTCAAGATGCCACTCTGTCTAACGTTCATTGATTTAAAGAAGGCCTTTGATTCTGTTGAGACGGAAGCGGTCATAGAAGCCCTAGCCAATCAGGGCGTACAAACTCAATACATCAGGATCCTTCGTGAGCTCTATTGCGGATTCACTACCAAGATCTCACCATTCTACAAAGAAGTAATCATCCATATCAAGAGAGGGGTTCGGCAGGGTGATACCATTTCACCAAAACTCTTCAGTGCCACCCTCGAGAACATCATGCGATGGCTGGAATGGGAAAACATGGGAGTGAAGATAGATGGTCGGCAACTACACCACCTCCACTTTGCTGATGACATCGTTCTAATAACACCAAACATCAACCAAGCGGCACAAATGCTGAACGACTTTGACCGTGAATGTGGAAAGGTCGGACTACAGCTGAATCTTGCGAAGACAATGTTTATGAGAAACAGCCTTGTTCCTGACGCTCCATTCGCTCTCAACGGAACCACCATCTCTGAATGCAACAGTTATATATACCTAGGTCGAGAAATCAACATGATGAATGACCTGGCACCTGAGTTGAGCAGGAGGAAGAGAGCGGCTTGGAATGCCTTCAAGAGCATTGAAGAAATAACTAAAAGGACAAAGAACCTCCAGCTACGAGCACATCTCTTTGATTCCACTATTCTTCCTGCATTAACATATGCCTCAGAGACCTGGACCCTACGAAAACAGGATGAGAACGCTATTTGGGTCTCTCAAAGAGGAATCGAAAGAACTATGCTTGGAATATCACGATTCACTCAAATGAGAGATAGAATCTGGAGTTCTGATCTTCGTCAACGCTCAAGAATCAGGGACGCTGTCTCATTTGCCAAGACATCAAAAATCAGATGGGCTGGACACGTAATGAGGTTTACAGACAACCGCTGGACTAGAGCCATTACTGATTGGATTCCACAAGACATCAAAAGATCACGTGGACGCCCACCTATAAGATGGTCAGACTTCTTCGTCAAGACCCTAAATGATCGGTTTGAGGCTCTACATGTTCCTAAAACGAACAGATACCATTGGGCTACGCTAGCACGCAACCGGAATGAATGGAGACGTTACTGGTACCCGCTCGAATAAATCGATGAATAACGGGGATTAAGTGATTAAGTGATTAAAATTGAATGTATTATGTACATATAAAACTTAAATGTGATTTCTGGTGTTTCAAGATCTATATGTTTAAGGCTTTCTCTGACATAGCTATCCAGCAATGTAACTAATCATAACTAAGGAAATAATTCATTAAAGAATATTATTCATTTTCAAATTGGTAGCACCACTTATATTTCTACCAGCAATGTAGAGTTGCTGTTCTTTCACATTCTTGCCAGTGCTTGATATTGTCTGACTTGAAATGTTTTATGTGTTGCGTACATGAATGTGGGACCTTATTTTAATTTGCATTTCTTCAATTACTAATAAAATTTAAAATCTCTTCATATGTTGATTGGCCATGTGTCAACCTTCAAATGTATTTGAATTTATGCATTTTCCATTATTTTAGATGTCAAGTGATGACTTGCTATTTTCTATGTAGTGTAAATACTGGTCCTATTTTAGTTATGTTTCTGGCAGATTTCTTTCAGTGTGTGGCTTGTATTTTCACTTATGGTGTCTTTATCTTTTGAGGATATAAGCTGTCATTGTTGACATAGTAATTTTCTATCACTTTGATAGGCTTTTTGAGAAATTAAAAACAATTACACCGGGATAAAAATTTTAGTCTTAAAAATATTTTTTCAACTTTTCTGTACACATTTAAGTCTGTCATTAATTGAAATTGATTATTTATAGACAAATGGGTTATACAATTATTTTTTCCCCATTTGAATTTGACCCACGTTTTGTGTATTGAAAGCATTTTTTCTTCATTAACCTAAAATGCCATCTCTCATATATGCTGTTTCCTGGATGTGAAAGATTTTAGTTTGGTGCTATATTGATTCAGTAGTTACTTTGTTTTTTTTAAAATAGCACAACAATGTTTGATCACTATATTTCCCTCACCCTGTATTTCCCTCACCTCTCTTAACTCTTCACCTACCCCTTTTTTTGTTTTTGCATTACTCCTAAGAAGTCTTTTCATTCTATTAGCTCTTCTTATTCTTCTTTGTCTTTGCTTTGCTTTAATTACAATGTTTTTAGGTGCTTGTTGTATTTTTCTCTTTTGATCTGCATTATATGTCATATCTGTTGAAGTTTGTCTTCTGTTTTTCTGGATCACCTTCAAATATTTCTTCAAATATTGCACTTTTAAAATTCTCTCTGCTCTGTCCTTCTGAAGTTCTGGATAGAAATATATCAAATATTGCCCCTCTGTCTTTCCTTTCATAATTTTCATTTTTCTTGGCCTTCTGGGTACGTTCTGGGTAATTCATCAAGAAGAAATCCTTTCATTCAATTTATTAATTCTCTCTTTTCTCATATATGGTTATTTACTAATTTAATTTAGTACTTCAGTTGAATTATTTGGGTCAAAAGTTATGCTTTTAACTTCAAGTTCAGATTCATCCTTTTAAGGTATATCTTAGAATTTTAATAGTTTCTTATTCCTTGCTCATTTTTGTGCTTACTATCTTTTATTCCTTTGAAGTGCTTACAGCTAGCAATTCTAGATTTTTAAATCTGATTATATGAAATTCTTGAAATCTAATGTTATTTGTTATTGTTCAAATTCTTGAAATCTAATGTTATTTGTTTCTGAGACCCTTGTGATTAATTTGTAGTGGTTTATTTCCTTTTGTCTGGTGGTCTTTTATTGTGAGTTCCTAGATGAATAATAATTTTTAAAAACCTGGATATATAGTAATAGATTTTTATTAGGACAGCATTTACATTTGTTTTTTCCAGAAATCAGGTAGTAGTACTTTAATCCTTGAATCTTGACATTCATGACACTGGTTGATCCTTATGATGATCCCAATTCTTTACCCTGGTTTTTGCTCACTTTTTTGGAGGAAGAATGTAGGTCACAAAGTGGCATGTATCACTTTGCTCACATTCCATGTAAATCTAATAATTCCATGGCCATATCTAATAGTAAGGAGGAGGAGAGAGAAGTAGTGAGGTAGTTTGAACTTAGTTCTATTATTGGGAGATTGTAGGGGGGGGGGGGTCAGTCATACTGTTTTCAGAGGTTCCAAAATTTATCTGGCCTGTCTCCTTTCAGATCATTCAATCCCTTGTAAATCTACCTTTCTTTTAGAAAGCAAAGTTGAAAAAAAAAAGAATGTAGGTCACTTGCAGGTTTCTTTTACTTCTGTGACTACCATCCCCCACCCAAAGTTACAATCTGAATTTTAATGTAAATTGAATTTTGTGACCAGTAAATATTTCATCTTTCATACAATCAGAGGCAGAATAGCTTTTATACCATAACTTTCCAATAAAGGAAATAATCCTGGGTTTATTTTCACTTAGCACATTAGATCTAGATCATCCTTCTTTAAGAATATGCAATATATATACATATAAATATATATGTCTTCTAAGTATTTTATGATGTATTTCTGTCTTTATTTTAATCATTCTTTTAATTATGCATTTTTGTTCCCCATTTTCACTTGTTTGCTTAATACTCATTGCTTTAATTGGCTTATTGAGCTTCAGGTCTTTTAAAAAAATACACTCCACTAAAGGAACTTAAGATGTATCATTATCTCTGATTTTATTCTCTATCTCAGAATCCTGAAAATTTTTTGCCCTCTAGTAGAGTATTCTATTTTAATAACCCAAATTTAAAATTTAAGATATCAGAAACTTTCTTAAAATATCAGGAAAACTTCCTTTTTCTGTCAATCTTATTCCCTTTCCATCTGTCTCTTCTGCTTGCCTTCCTTCCTTCCCTCACTCCCTCCCTCCCTCCTGATTTCCTCCCTCCTTCCCTTCCTTCCTTCTTCCCTCTCTTGCTTCCTTCCATCAGTTTCATGTTCCACTAAAGTTATGTCCTTTTGCCATTTGAATTTTCTTTCACTCCCATGTACAGCTGAGTTTGTGATTCTACATTTTCTTACATTTTCCCATTTCCACCTTATCTACTCTTTTCTGTACCACTGTAACAGTTCAATAGCAATGTTTTTCTTCATTTCCCCTTTCTCTCTCTCTCTTTCTTTATACATCCATCACTCAGATAACTGGGCTTATCTTTCTTATTATGCTTTTAATTGTAATAAGCTATTGTCTGGAATAGACTGTTGCTTATTTTATCAGTGTTGAGTTGAGATTCTCACCCCTTTCGTTCTTGACCTGACTCTTCCGGAAGGCCTTCCTCTCCTGCACATAGAACTTGCTGATTTCCACTCATTGGCCCCAGCCTGAATCCCCTCCTTCCCTCTCTTTCATTTCATGTTTGTTGCCTTCAGCTCTCCTATAATTGTGAGCCAATTAAGGTCATCTTTATTCTGTATACCTTTTAGAGAGAGTTTATTTGCATATTTTGCTTATGTATGTTATTATATGTGATTTATATATATTTTATCTCTCCGACTTTTAAAAATTAAAAGTTTTAGAGACTACAGATTGCCTCAGAATGTCTTAGTCCTCTGTATTGAATACAATGCCCAATATTGAGTTGTGCTCAAGAAACTCTTTTGTACATTTAATAAAGAAGGCATTTGAGTGACCTTTTTTTAGAAGTCTAGTAAGGGATATATGCTTACCAGACTATATGCTTACTAGACTTTAGAAGTCTAGTTGGGATATATGCTTTTCCTACCAGTATGCTTAACATTTTCAGGGAGCCTAGACCTTCTGGAGAATTGCATTACTATTATGTGTGCTCAAGCTGATGACTGAATAGAATTTCAAAACAAATTATTTCCATAAAATTTGGCATCCCTTCTCGGTAGATCAATTTAATTGGATGTCAGTTGACAAAGTAAAGGCCATAAACTTCCAATCTTGAGTAATTTAAATTCAATTACAGTAATTTTCAAACATATATTCTTTAATTGGAAAACATCATGTATTTTTTGTTTCTATTATTACTGTTGTTTTTTTGTATTTGAAATGTGTAATAGAAACTTAATAGTCTTGTAAATATTTTAAATTTTTCCTGTAACAAATACACTATTTCTTTTTGTCTCAAGATCTTAGTTCGAAGAAGCAGTAGTCCTGCTGAATTGGACTTAAAAGATGATTTGCCACAGACACAAGGAAAATGTAGAGATAGACAAAAAAGTAAGTTACGGGGTACATAATTTGTGTTTATCCAACGTCAGAGTTGTGTATTTTGTTCTTTTTATTTTCTAAGTGCTTTTTTTAAAACCTGATTTTAAAACATAATTTTATTAAACATGGCTGTAAAAGAGATGTTATTATTCCGGAAGTTTCAATATTAATTGGTAGTTATTCCACATATTCAATAACAAAGCTCCACTCAATTATCTAGAGCCTACCCTTACACCTTTATCCCGTGAAGAGACACAGCCTCTGATATGCTGATTTGGGTAAGGAGACAGTTCCAGAAGAAAAAAGTAATTTCCCCCAAAATTTCCACAGGCCAGTAGCAAAGATCTTCAGAAGTACATTGACATCAATAGCATATTCAGTAGCATAACTATCTAAAAAATAGAATTTGGTTGGGTTGGTGAGGTATCATGTACTGTAAAATATAATTAAAATATTCTAATTCTTCTAAATTACATGTTAGACCATCTGCTTCTCAACATAGCCTTGTAAACTATAAGTCCTGAAAGCCTCGGGCAGTTCTGAGTAGGGTACAAAGAAAGATCTTTAGTGTTCACCACTGGCTTGGGGTACTGTGACAGATAAAGTTGGGAATCTAAGAGGTTGTTTAGTGGGAAAACTTTCCATTCTTTGCAAGTGAAGAGAGGCAGCCTATTAGAAGTCCCAAAGGCTGGTGACTGTCAGCAGTAGATCAAAGAGCAGCTAGGGAAGCCCATGTGCCCAGGGAAGAGGAGGAGGAGGAGGAATAGGAGGAGGTGGGGGAAAACAAACAAACAAAAAAAAACACAAAGAGCATCTAGGAAGAGTGAGCAGGCAGAAAGTGTAGCCATGTACAACTGCTCTGCAGTAGGCAAGAGACTGTGAGAAATAGGCTGTCTAGCCCTTGAATCAGAATTTTCCTGTAAGACTTAAGAGTCTTTGACAGCAGCATTGTATTATGACAAATAATAACTTCTTCATGTTTAAACAGGAGTCTTTATATCGGGGAGATATTTTGCAGTGGGGTACCTCATCCTTCATTGATCTTGTTATTCACTCTGAATTTCCATCTAGACATCAAGCTTGAGATGTAAGAGCATCCTTAGACTTCTCTGACAGAATAAACCTACCTTTGTGGTAGAATCAAACTCCATACACTTCCCCTGCCTACCCCATTTTGTAGTTGAATATGACCCAGTAGAAATCTTACAGACTTAATGTCATCTTTTGTGTGTATGTGGAATAACTGAGTTAATACATGGAAACTTTGTTGTTAAAGGAACCCCACAGAGGTACTTTCAGCACTTGTAACTGAATGATTCTTGTTATGTCAGCTATTTGTTTGATTACTTGGATATTGGTAATTGTGAACTTTCTTGTTCTCATATATTTGATATCTCATATATCTGGGTCTCAGATATTTGTTGTCTCAAATATTATCATTTCTTATATTGTTATCTCATATATATGGTTCTTCTGATATGCCAGGTGACAGTGTGGGCAGTGACACAGCTCTGGGCTCTAATAATGAGACAGAGCTGACCATGAGCCCATGGAACCCCTGTGAGGAAGACCCAGAGCTGAGCACTCCCACAGATTCTGATGCACGACATTGGTTGCAGCTAAGTCCTACTGATGCTTCAAACTTAACAGGTAACTCTGTCTTTTAAAATGTGGCAATCCATGTTAACGGTAGGGAAAGCCCAGAGTTTCCTGGTTGTATGAATTCAGGCACAATAATTATGGGAAACACTACCTCCAAACAAATTGGTGTGAGAGTACCAACTATCTGTTCATAATCCATCATAAATTCTCAGAGTCTCGTGTGGAAAGGATTCCAAATTAATGACCAGATATGCAAAGAAATAGGATGTAACATTGGCTTCTGTTGGAAGTGATGATATCTGTACCAAGCCTTTGCCACTCCTAAGTAAATGTACTTTTTTACATGTAATAAATCCCAGATGTTAAGTAATTTGAATATTAATATTTTCTTTATTGTTTTGGAGCAAGAGCACAGCGGGTAGGGCGTTTGCCTTGCAAGCGGTTGACCTGGGTTCAATTCCTCCGGCCCTCTCAGAGAGCCCGGCAAGCTACCAAGAGTATCTCACCCGCACGGCAAAGCCTCGCAAGCTACCCATGATATATTCGATATGCCAAACACAGTAACAAGTCTCACAATTTGTTGTGAGACATTACTGGTACCCGCTCAAACAAATCAATGAACAACGGGAGGATAACGCAGTGCTACATTTGAGATATATATATATATATATATATATATATACATATATGTGATAAGATTGCTTATATATCTAAGTTATGGTCCCCTTGTACCTCCTTCAGGAGTGACAACTGAGCACAGAGCCAGGAGTAGCCTCTAAATAATTATAGACGTGACATTCACACATAAAAGATGTTATGTCAGATTCCATATTTTTCCTGTGAATCTTGTATTGAAAATTTTACATTAAAACTTTGTAAAATATGTAGTACCAAGAAGAATGATCATAATGTATATTTAATGTTTGTATGTTAAGAATAGAATAAGACACAGTTAGAACCAAGTTAGCTGTATTTGAGTAATGCAGTGCCTTATAATTCTATAGTGCTGCCTTAAGACGGTGCACAGTTTTCATCTGTGTACTCATTTGTGCCACTGGTGAAACCTTACAGAGGCAGTAAGAAAATGGTTGCAAAAATAATGCTTAGTTTTGTAAATTATTGGGAAGCGACTTCCCAAATTTTTGGCTTTTTTAAAGATTAAAAGTAAACGAGAGTATTCGATATGCCAGACACAGTAACAACAAAGTCTCCAATGGAGACGTTACTGGGCCCGCTCGAGCAAATCGACGATCAACGGGAGGGCCTTTTAAAGATTATATGTATTTATTATTACATGTAGCTTAATTATTATTTTGAGTAATTTTATATATAGTTTGTTTAACATTTTACAAAGAATTTTGAAGCACTCTCTTTGATTCTGTATGGTAAGCAGGCCAAGATTTTCAAATTGTATTTTAGAGATGGGGAAACTAAACCCTAGAGAAATCTTATTATCTAGCTATAGCTAAGTGCCTGGTACAAAAGGACTTTCAAAGTATTTTGACTCCAGAGGAAATGCTGCATCTGTTGCTTTCTACTACACTGCTCTTAAAATTAAAGCAGCAACTCCTTTTAAAACATTTGAGAATCATTTATAAATTTATACATGGAATAAATTGCTTATTTGAGTCCGACATGTAGATTTTCTAAGGAACACTCATCATCATAATATGGTTACAAACAAATTTTAATTATTTTTATTGAAAAAAATTAAAATTGGATGATTACTTCTTTTATCTGTTCTTTAGAAAGATTAGTTTTGATCCATTTCAAAGCATGTATAGAACAGTTCAATTTAATAAATTTGCGTGAGGTAACATTATATGTTGCACTCTGTGCTGTGATTAGCTCCTCCAAGTACTTAGGTCTTCTTTGAAACACTGATATGAAGAATAAGTACACTCAGTTCAATAGTTCATCTTGTCATCTGTGAAAAGGACAAACTGTAATATGATAAGATTTAAGGATTATCACAATTCTGAATTTAACTTTCTGTCCTGAGGAGAACAGTTTCTTCACAAACGTACAAAATAGCGTTCATGTTGGCCTGATCTCTAGAACACGCATAGTGTGATCAAACAATCTGAATGTATTTGTATTTCTTGTCAAACATTTCTACTGAATAAACCCTAACTAATTAAATACTGTTTCTAAAATCTTAAATGCCATTATCACTTTCAAGCTAACATTTTAGTTTTTTGCTTTCTCATTCAAATCACTTTATATTCACTAAAAGTAACAGTATTGGTGTTGAAACAGAAGGCCTAACACCATGCAGAGGGGCCTCTGAGCCACAGGGCTGGCCTGGAGGCAGCTGGAAAGGGGAAGCATGGCTTAAGGACTTTCACTCTCCTTTCCCACCAGCACACTTAGATTTGGGTAGTTCGAATCATTTTAGCAGACTCTACCCCTGGAGTTGGAGCCCTGCAGTCATCTGGGCAAAGGGGAAAATTGATGTGTAAGAGCTAAATAAAAAAGATAATAGAATAGAAATTTTGGATTAGGTAATTTGCAAGTAAAAATTTGGGGTTATGTAGTTTGCAAATGAAACAAGTGCCTCATAGAGTTGTTTGCTATCTTTAGGAATTAGCCAGCCCTCCTGGCAGTCAAGGAAACCCCAGATGCCAGAGCATCAGGAAGATGGAAAATTTATTTGATGCATGCATAATGCTTTTTGGAGCTAATGACTTTGAGGGGCGATACTTATGATGATAGCTAAAGATTAGCATTACTGCTAATGTAATGCTTTAATCAATTTGAAGTTTAGAAACACTTATTTTGATGCTGTAATAATCAAAAGATGAATGGGCCAAAGCCACCAGTGATTTAAGGGCTTACAAAGTTGTAAGTGCTTAACATTTTTTAAGGAGAAGTGTCTTGACTTCTGTTAAGATAATTACCCTGGTAGAAAATAATGCGCTGAGAGTATGCTCTGGAAGGTGGATCTGAAAGTTTTTGTCTAAAAGTTTTAGTTAATCCTATATAAGACTATGTGATTTTACCATTTGGTAATAAGTTTCTTTTTAACCAGTTATCAAGACTTATTTCATGGCAAAAGTTCTTTGAATATTATGCAGTTTTAAAGTTTAATTTGTTCTCTGTGTTTGAATAAAAAGATATAATTTTGTTTGTTTGCAAAAGTTCCCACTTAAGTAAAAAAATCAGTGACTCTTTTGCATTTAAATGAAGTAAAAATATACTAGCTTTGTTCTGAAAAAGAAAATAGACTTAAATATTTGACATTTTTAGAGTGAACATGAAATATTCTAAAATCTCTCAAATCCCCATTTTTAATTAAGTGCTTCTTTATTGAGAAACCATTTACATGTAAAATGTCAGCATCTGTTCTGTAACTTATGCCATGAATGAAATAATTTTGGGCAAAAAATATTTCAGCTCAGCTCATTGAATTTTTTTTTTTCTGTAACATTGAGCATGACATCTTTTCAGGTACTTACAAAAGGCTCAACATATTTTGATAATCTGGTAGGGATATTGCCTAGGATTGTATCATTGAGGTTTAAATTTTTCTGAGCACAAGGTGCTATTGAAACAGATTTTCTACAGGAGATCCTTTCATAGCTATTATTTGCTGATGCAAGATGGGACAAGTTATAATGTGCCTGGCCTACATTTACATGGTGGTGTTACTCAAAACAAAATCCAGTGTGATTATAAAACTGTGGGCTAATCTCTGTTGATTATCATATTTTGGGGGTGGGAATAAGAGATGAAATAGTGCTGTAAATAATATAATTCCCTTGCACTTTTCCCTCGTAAAGGAATAAAAGGACTCATGTCATTTTTTATCAGAAAATAATACTATATTATGCTGATTGTTAATTTGGGGACCATGTGGGTATATCAGCAGGGGCTGGAGCAATAGCACAGCGGTAGGGCGTTCGCCTTACAAGCGGCCAACATGGCCGACCCGAGTTCGATTCCTCCGCCCCTCTCGGAGAGCCCGGCAAGCTACCGAGAGTATTCGGTATGCCAGACACAGTAACAACAAAGTCTCCAATGGAGACATTACTGGGCCCGCTCGAGCAAATCGACGATCAACGGGAGGGCCTTTACCTTTACCTTTTTAAACATTAGGAAAATGAGGTTTTTTTTCCTGAGGTATTTTAAATGTAAAAGAACCTCAATGGCACGTAATTAAACTTTTGCTTTCTATATTTCTTATTTTTCCTGGTGCATTGCGTAGGAATACCATTTCATATTTTCTCTATAGAACCAGTGGTACTCAGGGGACCATGTGATGTGAAGGGAATTGAACTCAGGACCTCATTCACGCAAGCCACTCTCCGAGACCTCTATAAAAAGGCCTTACACATGCAAGGCAATACTGTACATACATATGCATGCATGCAATATTATACATACACGTACTATAACACTGTGCTACAGTCTGACCCCACTATGAGTACATTTTAATAAGTCTCCTCAGTTGATTATATGATAGGTAGGAAATTCAGATATTTCTTCCTCTGAGCAATAACGGTGCACCCATGCTTAGGAATGCCTTTCTATGTACTGCATGCCTTGCTTACTAAATTATTTGTTTCCGTGTTGGGATTTTTTACTACTAAATCAGTAAATTCACAGTAGCTGTTATATATATAAAGTTGGAAGATACAGAACCATTCTAGAATCTCTCTTGGCCCCTTGTCATGTTCACTTTAGCAGTAGCCTGACATGTGTACACACACACACACACACACATATATATATATATATATATATATATATATATATATATATATCTTGAGGTGTATTGGGAAAATGGTGAAGGGACGGTGACAGTGGTATTGGGATTAGAATGATGAATACCTGTAACAAATCATCATGAACAATTTTATAAAACACAGTATTGAAATAAAGTGCGTCGGGGGGGAAGAAATTTAGTGAGAGAGTCCATGAAACAAGTCCATGAAACAATCTTTACAGAGTCCATGAAACAAGGACAAAGAGTATAAAAATAAACTGGGAGCAAGTATTGAATAATAAAAATAGGACCAGAGAAATCAAATCAAGCCAGTGGAACAGTTGCAAGGCAGAGTTAGAGATAGCCTCTTTTATATCTGCAAACTAGAACAGTTACGCCCCCCCAATAAAAATGGGAAATAGAAGTGAAAAATATAGTAACAGAAGTATCTGCATGAGGAAGTGAACCTGAAATAGGTGGTTGAGGAAAAGATAATAGGAAAAATAGAAGATTTACAATATCATCATTGATATAAGTAAGATTACTCAGATTTAATTTTTTCCAGAGTTAATTTTTCCCTAAAAATTTTCAAGTCATCAAAATTTTGCAAACTTCCTGGCTATAATGATAGTGCAGTGCTTGTCTTGTATATAGCAGAACCCAGTTCAGTCCCCGCACTTGAGCCATGCCAGAAGTGATCCCTGAGTGTAGAGCTAGAAATAAGTTCTGCGTACCACTGGGTATGACTCAAAAACCAAAACCAAACTTTTGCTGACTTAAAAATTACAGTGTAAGTTATAGCAAAGTGATTCTGATACAGAATACTATGCATAAATATACATCATGGAAAATTTTTTTAAAAAATGTTTCTAAACATTTAGTAATTCAGGATATCAAATTTTCCCAAAAAAATATTGTTAAATGAGATTAGTGTGACTTCTCCCTTTTTTTTTACTTTTAAATATGTGTCTCTTAAGTATTCCCCAGGACACATGATCCACTAAAAGCTAAAATAAGCAAAGAAATAATGTGTGCCATTTTATGATGCTGGGCCTAAAACAAAAAGGACATGTGTTCATACAAAAATTCACACCCAAACATTTATGGTAGCTTTATAATTGCCCTAGATAGGAAATTAAATATATTTCAGCATTTGTTTGAAGGGATAGACAAATCACTGTCACTGTCTTCCCGTTGTTCATTGATTTGTTTGAGCGGGCCCAGTAACATCTCCATTGTGAGACTTGTTGTTACTATGTTTGGCATATTGAATACATCACAGGTAGCTTGCCAGGCTTTGCTGTGCGGGCGAGATAATCTCAGTAGCTTGCCAGGCTCTCCCAGAGGGGCGGAGGAATTGAACCCGGGTCAGTCAGGTCAGCCGGGCACAAGGCAAACACCTTACGGCTGTGCTATCGCTCCAACCCAGACAAATGGATACACTCATAAAATAAAATATTAATATGCAATAAGGAGAGGGCCAGATTGACGGGATAGCCAGTAGAGCAACTGCTTGCTCAGGGTCTCCCTGGGTTCAGTCCCCAGTACGGTGTATGGTCCCTGGGTGTGAACCTTATGTGCAGAGCCAGGAACTGTGCTTAGCACGACTATGTGGCCCCAACACAAAAGGAGAAACTGGTGTGTCCAAGTACATGAGTAATACATACATTACACTGAGTGACCAGGCAGAAAGGGCATAAATTCCATTTTTCCAAGATTTTGGAAATAAAACTAGAGAGAGAAAATAATAGTAGTTACCGAGGGGGGGAAGTTAGGGGAGGAGAATCACTACCCAGGGGTACTATGGGGGCGATGAGGCTGTTCCGTATCTCAGTTGTGCCGTTTTATGATGACAATGACATAGTTTTGTGTATTTCTTAAAACTCATTGAACATAAAAATGATAAGATTTATCGTAATAAAATCATACCCCAGTAGGCATGAGTTCACAGTGAGAGCTAACACAAATGTGTCTGTGTTAGTGAGGCATTTCCTGGCCACCTTTTTTTTTATGGTGCTGTTCCTTATCCATTTACCCAAAGCTTCTCCTTCTGTTCCTTACCCATTTCTCCCAAGCTTCTCCTCCTTCCATGACTATTTTGTCATTTCTAAGTAATAGTCCTTTTTGTTTGAAGAATGGGCTGGAGCGATAGCACAGCGGGTAGGGCGTTCGCCTTACACGCGGCCAACATGGCCGACCCGAGTTCGATTCCTCCGCCCCTCTCGGAGAGCCGGGCAAGCTACCGAGAGTATTTGATATGCCAGACACAGTAACAACAAAGTCTCCAATGGAGACGTTACTGGGCCCGCTCGAGCAAATCGACGATCAACGGGAGGGCCTTTACCTTTACCTTTTACCTTGTTTGAAGAATCATAATCACTTGACCTTTCTTCATTATTCTGTTCTTTTTGTTTTTTTTTAAATTTTTATTAGTGAAACATCATGAGGTACAGTTCTAGACTTACAAATTTTTGTGCTTGGTTTTCAGTTATACAATGATCAAGTACCCATCCCTCTACCAGTGCCCATTTTCCACCACCACGGGTCCCAGTATTCCTCCCATCCCCAATTTCCAGCTGTCATATAATCTTCATCATAGTTCCAGATATGTAAATTTTCAAGCATATGTGATTTCCATTAAAGAAAAAAATGCTGTAAAATGATGAAAACAAAATTACTCTGTATTATGCATTTTTATTCAGATAGCAACGAATGCCTTGTGGATGATTGCAGCATAATTGCTGGAGGGAACCTCACTGGCTGGCACCCAGACTCTGCTGCTGTGTTATGGAGACGGGTCTTGGGGATCCTTGGAGATGTGAATAATATCCAGTCACCGAAGATCCATGCCAAAGTTTTTGGCTATCTCTATGAACTCTGGTATAAACTAGCAAAGGTAGGTCTTAATTTTTGACCCTTCATTCTAATATGCAGAAGTTAATTTAGCAAAAACTATTGCAGAGAACTACTAAACATGTTCTGGAACACAAAATGTTACACAAAATATGTTTGGTAGTAACAACAAGTCTCACAATGGTGACGTGACTGGCCCACTCGAGCAAATCGATGAACAAGGGGAGGACAGTGACAGTGACAGGAAAAAAAAAATTGATCCTTTATTTGATAATTAAATTCAGCAAGTTATTTATGTTTTGGCTTTGTGGTCATACCTGGTAGAGTTCATGGATCACTCCTGGTGAGGCTTGGGGGAACAGCTTTGGGATGCTGGCAATTGAACCAGGGTTTACCGTGTGTAAGGCAAATGCTCTACTCACTAAATTAGCCCTCCAGCCTCTTCAGAGAGCTATCTAATGCAAATTTTGAACATAAGTTAAGTAATATATAAGAATATTGGGGGCTTGGGGGCTGGAGTGATAGCACAGTGGGTAGGGCGTTTGCCTGGCATGCGGCCAACCCAGGTTTGATTCCCAGCATCCCATATGGTCCCCTGAGCATCGCCAGGGGTGATTTCTGAGTGCAGAGCCAGGAGTAACCCCTGTTCATTACCGGTGTGACCCAAAAAGCAAAAAAAAAAAAAATACATATATATATGCATATATATATATAAGAATATGTGGTAATTAAAGAATAAATCTTAGTTTGGTTATTCATTTTTTAAAAGTGTTACCGATTTTATTATAATTTGAAATATTTATAAAAATATTAAGAAAATTATTAAAATCACCACTTCACAGAAACTACAATATTATTTCCATGACAAACAGATTTATAAAATTGATTTTTAAAATGCATAATTTTCTTTACTATTTTTATAATAGGTGCTCATATTATTAAATTTTTTTACAAAACATGGTTCATGTTTACATAAAACTTGTTATGTAATTCCTTAGTATTTTGAGCTCAGGACCTTTTCAGATCTTGGAGAGTGCCCTGGTGTATAGTAAATCAAATCCATAATTCAAAAGGACACTAGATTACATTAAAAAAATCAACAACTTGCAAATACTTTAGCTTTTCATTAAATTATAGAAATCAAATTGGAGACATCTATTTGACCATGGATGATAAGATTGAAATATCATTGTGATAAATTGAATGTTTTCTTCTCTAAAATTTTCTTCTTTGTCTATTAGATAAGGGATAACCTAGCAATAAGCCTGGATAACCAGTCTTCTCCATCCCCTCCGGTCCTCATTCCACCACTCAGAATGTTTGCATCATGGCTGTTTAAGGTCAGTGGCTATATACTCATTTATTTATGTCAATGTCCTCATATTTTTTGAAGATTTAAAAATTGTGGCTGCTCAAAACTGGGTCATAATGAAGTCACCACATCCTACATCTGCATAAACAACTGTTAATGGAAAACTGAGAAGTAAAGGAAATGTTGAAGTACCTTTCATCTGGTGTTGATATCTCTAAACACTATCTTCCTGGCAGGCAACTACATTGCCTAATGAATATAAGGAAGGTAAACTACAAGCCTACAGACTTATCTGTGCCATGATGACCAGACGCCAGGATGTGCTGCCAAACTCAGACTTCCTGGTACATTTTTACCTTGTGATGCATCTGGGATTAACCAACGAGGATCAGGTATTCTTTGACTCATTCATCATGGTAGCTTATTACTGGGGTTATGCATATATGATATTTGAATGTTAAATTGGGGTTTATAAAATCACATCAGAAATATTGACATCCTCAGAAGTTTCAGTTCTTTTTGTTTTAATTATTTGTATTTAAGAACTGTATTTACAAAGTTACTTATAGTTGGGTTTTAGGACTAATTTCAGTTTTACACACTGCAGCTGTGCTGGTTGTTCAAATATGGGTTGTTCAGAAATGATTTTATCATGCTTCTTTCTACCTGCTTTCCATCATGCCAAACCACACAGTTGAATTTTATCCTAGAGGATAATTGGTTCTCATAAAATCTAACTGTATTAATCACTTAGTCACTTAACTTCCCGTTAGTCGTCGATTTGCTCGAGCGGGTGCCAGTAATGTCTCCATTTGTCCCTGTCGCGTGCTAGTGTAGCCCAATGGCATCTGTTCGCTCCGGGAACATGAAGAGCCTCAAACCGATCGTTCATGATCTTGACGAAGAAGTCTGACCATCTGGTAGGTGGGCGGCCACGCGGTCTTTTGGCATCCTGTGGAATCCAGTCAGTAACAGCTCTAGTCCAGCGGTCATCTTTAAATCTCATTATGTGACCAGCCCATCTGATTTTTGACACCTTGGCAAATGAGACAGCGTCCCTGATTCTTGATCGTCGAAGGATGTCAGAACTCCGGATTCTTTCTCTCATTTGAGTGAAACGTGATATTCCAAGCATAGCTCTTTCTATTCTTCTTTGGGAGACCTGAATAGCGTTCTCATCTTGTTTGCGTAGGGCCCAGGTCTCTGAGGCATATGTTAATGCAGGAAGAACAGTGGAATCAAAGAGATGTGCCCGGAGCCGGAGGTTCTTCGTCCTCTTAGCTATTTCTTTGACATTCTTGAAGATGTTCCAAGCCGCTCTATTCCTCCTGCGCAGCTCGGGTGCCAGATCATTTGTCATGTTGACTTCTCAACCTAGGTACACATAGCTGTTGCATTCAGAGATGGTCATTCCGTTGAGAGCAAATGGGGCGTCAGGAACGAGGCTGTTTCTCATGAACATTGTCTTCGTAGATTCAGCTGTAGTCCTACCTTTCCACACTCATGGTCAAAGTCGGCCAGCATTTGTGCCGCTTGGTTGATGTTTGGTGTTATTAAAACAATGTCATCAGCAAAGCGGAGGTGGTGTAGTTGCCGACCATCTATCTTCACTCCCATTCCTTCCCATTCCAGTCGTCGCATGATGTTCTCGAGGGTGGCACTGAAGAGTTTCGGTGAAATGGTATCACCCTGCTGAACCCCTCTCTTGACATCAACGATCACTTCTTTGTAGATTGGTGAGATCCTGGTAGTGAATCCGCAATACAGCTCATGGAGGATCCTGATGTATTGGGCTTGAATGCCCTGATTGGCTAGGGCTTCAATGACCGCTTCCGTCTCAACAGAATCAAAGGCCTTCTTTAAATCAATGAACGTTAAACAGAGCGGCATCTTGAACTCCCGAGAAACCTCAATGAGCTTGGTTATCGTGTGGATATGGTCGATGGTGCTGAATCCTTTGCGGAACCCGGCTTGCTCGCATGGTTGTCCTTCATCTAGTGTTCTGCCAATCCTATTTAGGATGACTCGAGTGAACAACTTGTAGATGACAGACAATAGGCAGATCGGGCGATAGTTGCCAATGTCATGGATGTCTCCCTTCTTGAACAGTAGTACGGTCCTGCTGGTTTTCCATTGGGACGGAACCTTGCATTCAGACAAGTAGCAAGTGAAGAGCCGAGCCAGTATATTGATGAGTACTGACAGCAGGTTGTTCAGGTGTTCAGGTCTGACCTTGTCTGGGCCGGGTGCTGTTTGTTTCTTTACCGACAAAATGGTGTGTCGGATTTCGGAAGGGAGAACATTGGGAACGACATATCCATCCTGTGGAATTTGGTATGTTGGCAAGTGGACATGGCTATCGAAGAGATTTGAGTAGAAGTCATGGATAATCTTCTCCATTGCCGTTCTGGAGGATGTGATGGATCCATCAGGACGTCGGAGGGCAGTCATCTTGGTCTTGTAGTTGGCGAAGGACAGGCGGGCGTTACGAATACTTTTCCCGGCTTCTGCCGCATCTACCAGTACTTCTGCTCTTCTCTCTTTGAGGTCTTCCTTGATCGCATCTCTGCACTGCTTTGCGAGCTCGGACGTTAGCTTGCGGTTGCCTGAGGCATGCGCCAAACCACGCTGGTGAATTAGCTCAAGAGTTTTCGAAGATAGGCGATTTTTTGTGGCTATCTCTCTCGGCGTTCCTCGCACATTCATGGAGGTGCTGAACTAGTCGATCGTATTCCTCGTCAATGTTGTCAACAATGGCATCTTCCCATGTTGTCGCAATAGTGCCAAAGAGTTCCCAGTTGGTAGTCGTTCTGGGAGTTCTCTTTTTGAACTTTGCAGCCCTTTCTCCCCACTCTGTGAAGTAGAATTTTGCACGAAGGAGACAGTGGTCCAATCCCGTTCGAAATTTTGGGACAACAGCGACATTGGTCAGGCAAAACCGTTGATTGAATATGATGTGGTCTATTTCGTTGTGAAATCGTCCACCGGGAGACTCCCATGTCCATCGTTTAGATTCTGCCTTCTGAACTGTGAGTTACCATGGATGGTCTTGGTCGACATGATGAACTCAGTCTCTCACCCTGTTCGTTCCATTCTAGGCCATGGGTCCCGATGTGAAGTTCTTCAGCTGATCTTCTCGGTCCTATCTTGGCATTAAAATCTCCCACATTTAGTGGACACTACCTCCACTACCCAGCCGTCACCACACTCCAGGACGCTTTCCGGACCCGCGTGACCGCTCCGGCCGAGACTCACGCACGACTGAAGACCCACAGAACAAGATAAGCGGAACTCTCTGAGACCTTGGACTACAGGCTCGGCGGACCCAGGAACAGAGTTTCTCTGCTTGCTCCCACCAACCACAGGTGACAAAGGGATTCTAATCAGGAGCCCCACCCTACCCTGCCCTGTCTGCTTCCATCAACCACCCAGGGATCGAATTGCGCACAGAAGACCCACCCTACCCAGATAAATACCCCACTGGCAGACTTCCACTATCGACACTACCTCCACTACCCAGCCGTCGCCACACTCCAGCAGTCCAGGATGCTTTCCGGACCCGTGACTCATCATAAGACACTAAATACCCATCTTCCGGAATTATCGCACCATATTTGATAGGGTTCAAATATGGTAACACCTACAAGGGTGATTAGAGGTCGCCCCAAAAGCCTCTATCCCTCTCGGAAAGACTGGTAAGCTACCGAGAGTATTCTGCCCGCACGGAAGAGCCTGGCAAGCTATCCGTTGTGTATTCGATATGCCAAAACCAGTAACTACAACTGGTCTCATTCACCTGACCCTGAAGGCTTCACCGACATGGCAGCACTGAGAAGGATGAGAAAGGAGAGGCCGACAAAATCTCAAGGCCGACCTAGGCTGCCACAACGAAGGAAGACAAAAATGATCGTCTGTACTTTCAATGCACGTACGCTAGCATCAGATGCATCCACCGAGGTCCTGACGGTACAAGCGCGAATGATCAAGTATGACACCATTGGTCTGACCGAGACAAGAAGGCACGAATCTCACCATGCCGTTTTCGACACTGGAGAAGAATTGTTCCTCGGAACATGCGATAAAAGAGGTGTCGTAGGCGTCGGTGTCCTTGTCAACACAAACTTGGCCAAGAGCATTGATTCATTCGAATGCCTAACAACCCGAATCGGACGTTTACATTTGAATAGATGTGGCTCACTGCCTGCAGTTTCTATCTTCGTTGTCTACGCACCAACATCCCATTATGATGAAGGAGAAATTGAGAAGTTCTACATGGAGCTGGAGAAGTTCTATAGAGAAGACCACACCTTCTACAAGATCATTGTGGGTGATTTTAATGCCAAGATAGGACCGAGAAGATCAGCTAACTGTATTATCACCTCAAAAATATGATCTAAACTACTTTTTTGTTGGGGTTCTATTTTATGTGTTACTTGAAGACATTTATTCTTATCATTTAGAAATGTTCAAAAATTCTTGTTTTAATAGTTTTATAAAAGACCCTACCCATAAATTAGAACAACTGCTGTCTTTTTTTGTTTTTCTATTAGTGAAACACCATGAAGTACAGTTGCAGACTTACAAACTTTCGTGCTTGGGTTTCAGTTATACAATGATTGAGTACCCATCCCTCTACCAGTGCCCATTCTCTACTATCAATGATCCCAGTAGCCCTCCCACCCTCCACCTCGTACCCCCCAACCCACCCCACCTGTGTGGCAGGGTATTCCCTTTTGCTCACTCTTTCCTTTAGGGTATTGTAGCTTGCAATAGAGTTATTGACTGGCCATTGTGTTTGGTTTATAGTTTACTTTCAGCATGCGTCTCTCATCCCGAGCGAGTTCTACAAACATCCTTTACTTGGTGTTCCCTTCTCTATCTGAGCTGCCTTTACCCCCAGCATGTGCTGCTAGCTTCTAAGCCTTGGAGTAGACCCCCTGGTACTTATCTCAACTATTCTTGGGTGTTCGACTCCCATTCTGTTACTTTATATTCCCCAGATGAGTGCAGTCTTTCTATGTCTGTCCCTCTCTTTCTAACTCATTTCACTTAGCACGATATTTTCCATGTAGAACCACTTGTATGTAAATTTTATGACTTCATCTTTTCTAACAGCTGCATAGTATTCCATTATGTAGATGTACCAAAGTTCTATAACCAGTCATATGTTCTCTGGCACTTGGGTTTTTTCCAAATTTTGGCTAATGTGAACAGTGCATCAATGAACACAGAGGTGCAGAATCGTCCATACTGTTTTCCAAAAGGGCTGAACCAGTCGGCATTCCAACCAGCAGTGAAGGAGGGCCCTTTCTCACCACATCTGTGCCAACACCAGTTGCTTTTTTGTTCTTTTGGATGTGGGCCAGTCTCTGTGGTGTGAGATGATATCTCA